GGGACTATTAAAAGTATTTAGAAAATTGGGCAGACTAGATGGGCCAAATGGTTCTTATCTGCCGTCACATTCTATGTTTCTGTGTTTCTAGAAGTCTCCTAAAAGTTGGTCCTCAGGGGCAGGCAATACTTAAAACATAAGGAAGCTTATCAGACATGCCAGTAAATAATATATAATATAATAATATATAAGTATAATAATGATAAGCAGTGGCGTACACATGACCCATGGGGCCCCGGTGCGAAAATTGATCCGTGGGCCCCCCCACACCCCGCGCTTACTCTGCGCAGGCCGAGGCCGCAACACATGGAGGCAGGCACCTGGTCGCAGAGGTTGCAGGGCTGCGACCCCTGCGACTGCGGTATGTACGCCAGTGCATGCAGATGCACACACACTTAAAGGACCACTACAGACACCCAGATCACATCAGCTCAATGAAATGGTCTGGGTGCCAGGTCCCTCTAGATTTAACCCTGCAGCTGAAAACATAGCAGTTTCAGAGAAACTGCTATGTTTCACTGAGGGTTAATTCAGCCTCCAGTGGCTGTCTCATTGACAGCCGCTAGAGGAGCTTCCGCGGTTCTAAGACACTGAACGTCCATAGGAAAGCATTGAGTAATGCTTTCCTATGGGCGGTTTGAATGCGTGCACGGCTCTTGCAGCGCATGCGCATCCTGAGCCGAGAGGCGGAGGGATCCCCAGCGCCAAGGGAGCCCAGCGCTGGAGAAAGGTAAGTGCTGAAGACACACACACACTCTCACGAACAGACGCATACACACTAGCTAACAGACACACACATTTACTGAGAGACACACTCAGCAACATACATACACACTCACTTACAAAACATACATACACTCTCACTAACAGACATCAAACAGACTCACTAACAGACACACACACAAACACACTCAGTAACAGACACAAACAGTAACACACTCACTGACACTCACTAGCAGACACACATTCAATAACAGACACACTCTAACACTAACACACACACTAACACTCACACTAACACACACACACTAACACACACACTAACACACACTAACACACTCACTAACACACACACTAACACACACACTAACACACACACAAACACACACACTAACACGTTATTTTTTAAATGTAATCCCCCAGCCTCCTTACCTTTTGGAGTGCTGAGGGGATTCCCTGGGGTCCAGTAGTGCTGCTGGGCTCCTGGGCAGCCGGGCAGGCAAGCTGGCGTGCGAGGGAGCACTCTCCCCTGAGTGCTCCCTCTTCAGCTCCCTCGTGCGCCGCGTACTGATGCCGGAGCCAAAAGGTGACGTCATCTTCCGGCTCCGGTATCAGTACAGTGCGCGAGGGAGAGGAAGAACGGAGCCGAAGAGGAAGCACTCACGGGAGAGTGCTCCCTCGCGCGCACGCCCGGTGATACCAGGGCCAGCCTCGGGGGGCCCTGAGGTGGCCCCCCAGGAGAAGAGGCTGGCCACAGTGGGTACATACCGGGTTGCAGGGGCGGCCAGGCCCTCTAGTGGGCCGGGCCCGGTCGCAGCCGCAGTATGTACGCCACTGACAGTAGGTAAAGGTGAGATGCCCAGTGACAAGCAATGCCCAAATCACGTATGCCTGCCTGGAACAGCTTCCTTATATTGCCTGCTCCTGGCGCTGGTAGCTCCGTCATCATTATGGGTAATTTTATGTTTTTGTTACCAGTGATTTTATTAAAGCTTTAGCAAACTCTGCAATGCTGCACAACACAACCCCAAATACTGAATTATAAGGGGACCTGACGCTTCCCAAGATTTTTGATAGTATTTTGATTTATCCCTTTATTCAACAAATGTGTTTGCGAAGTATTTCAAAAATGTAATGTTGAAATCCACAATATTGTATTTACTTCTGTCCTGCAACTGCACACCTATATCTTAGTTCCTTGTCAATCTTTGTTAAGATGTGCCCTTTGCACTGGTTAGTCAGCAGAAAAAGCAACATTGGCATTTTCCAAAGTGAGACTTCAAAGTGAATTTCAAACCTAAAGGAACACTATAACATTAGGAATACAAACATGTATTCCTAACGCTACGTTCTTCTAGCTGTTTAGGTTACTGGCCCCAGATATTTGCAATAAAAAGATATGTTTTACTTACCTTTCAGCCCTTGTTGTGTGTCAGTCTCCACGATCCCGTTTACACTTCATTGGCTGAGATCATCAAAGCTGATGATCTCAGGCAAACTAATGCCTTCCCATAGGGAAGTACTGGAAGCCTTGTGTGCATGTTGGAAAAATGATTCACTGTGCCAATCAAAGGCTGGTCTATGAGCAGCATTGATATATAAATGAGTTTGGTTGGGTAATAACAGAGGAAGTGCCTCTAGTGGCTATCTTCCTAACAGCCACTTGAGATATGTTAACCCAGAAATTTAAATATTGCTGTTCCTACAGAACGGCAATGTTTTACAATGCAGGGTTAAATGGCAGAGGCACTGCACCCAGACCACTTCATTGAGATAAAGTTATCTGGATACCATTGGAGTCCCTTCAAGGCCAACATAGCCAAACTGGAAACATTCTCTAAATTGGTTTGCTTCCAGTAATGCTACTTTGGTCTAAAATTTGAAACTCACTTTTAATTATCATTTTAGTAAGTAACCACATCATGTTTATTTAGTAAACAGCGAATTGTATTTAATTGAAAACAAAAATTGCAGAACTTGGTCTAACCTAACAACACTGTGACTTTAACTGGGTTGTAATTTTTTTTAAATTGGTTGCAATTCAGTTTCTAACTTAATACAAATCACTGTTTAGTGAATATCCCCAATGTTTTTATGTAAATTTCTTTAAAATACAAGGCATCAATATGGAAAAACAATGCACATATAGCACAAGTCTAATTTTTCCAAGGGTTTGGACCCACTGCAACGTGTCAGATGTAGTCGACCCCAGACAGTGCCACAAATTAATCAGAGATAAAGTCGAGTCAAGGGCCCTAAATATTATGACAACAGGGGAAAATAGTCGCCATCAGTTTGTCCATCAAGAATTTCTCTTCAATCTTGGCAACAGGCTCATGTATTAAGGGGTAAAATCGCTAAACCAGACTGCGGCCAAGAACCTGTATCACTAATATAACTTTATAGAATAATTTTTAGGAGTAAGTCAGAAATTGCTCAATCAACCAGCAGAGCAAAGAGGACCAATTCAAACTGGAAGACAACTGCAAGAAGGTCCCCAGTCTCCCTCCAGAAGGAGGCTACCTTGTAGATGTATGTTCCCCTCCGACCACAAAATCTCCAGCATAAGTCCACCGCCAAATCAGTGCAATCTGTACTGTAGCTGTGCCTGGACTGAACTATTATATAATTTACTAAATATTTCATAGAACTTTAAAAGAAAAAAAAGTGTCTTATAAAAAAAGGTTAACACAAGTTGTAGGTAATTGTCACGGTTTCATTTATTGATGCAGTCTATTAAATGGTGTAATTTGCAGAGAAGTCCAGCTCCCCTTCAAATAGAAACAAGAGAAGCATGCAGTGAACTTTAGAGCTGTAAGTTTAGATCATTACAGACATGTGGCTGTCCAGTTGTTGTGGAACAATTCCAACACTGCTCAGCTACCACAGACAAACCATTTTTGTTGTAAAATTATTGGCAAGCACAATAGGACTTGTAGTTTCCAGATAAGATCTACCAGCTGATTCCCCAGACCTATGGGTTATTTGATTATTTCAAACTTGCAGGCCAAATGAGGTCTTGCGTGCAGAGCTTACAATCTAAACAATTCTATGAAAAGCTTGATGAGAGCAGCCTGAGAGTCAGGGATTGCCTCCAAGCGACCTTTCACCCCATACACTGTTCGTATGATCATATGGGTGGCATGACACATATACAGTAAAGCTGTTCGTAGGCAGAAGGGTACGTTTTAACCCTATCTATCCCAAAATTCTGCTCGTGTCAGCCCCATGGATTTAGGCAAATTAAATTTTTCAAAAGAGAAGAAAAACTAAATAAGGAAATGCAATTTCAAATGATTTACCATCTGTCTGTATTGGCAAGAGAATACAGTTTCTCTGTGTCTTGCAATAATGCACATTTAGTGTTTAGGAAAAGCTTTTAACAGTTTCCTAATGTACTGGGTATAAGAAGACATTCTCGTCTCGTATTGATCTACTAGGAGAATTACAGACTCAGCTTAATTTTTCTTAGTTGCAAAATTATATTTGTGTTGCATTTTAACCCTTTGACCATGTTTAGTTCTTATGATTTTATTAGATGAAGAGCAGTACAGATATCAAACGACAATATGCTGAGATACACACTGATAAGTAGAATTCAGTCTTACCTGCCAAGTTTCCCATATCTGGCAGGACAGTCCCGATCTTGGACTTTTTCTCTGGTGTTCTCCACAAAGTGCAGCAAAGGGCGTGAGCTGGGTTATTTTGGTGCTTAGTGTGCCTTGAAGTGCCCCTTTAATAAAATCATGAAAAACCTAGATATTAAATTATTGCTACATTTTGTGTTTGGCAATAAAAATAATTTATTAATTAGTGAGCAGTAAGTATATTGTCATAACTTTTCAAACATATTGCACAAATAGCACTATTTTTCACCTCATAGATCAATTTAAAAATAACAAACAAAGTAAAACAGGGTGTAGGTTATTCGTTTAGCACAGTTTATTAGTTTGAGGCTAAAATTGTTGTTTTGGAAAAATATAGGCAACTTAACTATAGTCACAACTTTAATTTGGTTTTCTGTTTTCTACAGTTTGAGGTTTAGTGAATATATTGTATGAACCTATGTTGTGTTCCTGTTTAAAACATTTACCTTCGAGGGCTGAGCCTGACAGCGCATGAGAGCAGTAGCCATTATCCCGAGCTCCGACAAAAGAGAGCAATAACTAGCATAAAACAAATACACCGAACCCCAACTAACCACACGAGTACCAGAAAACAACAGGGTACGACCCGCTGAACACGTCGATGCCGTTCTTCCAACCCGCGGCAAGAAAAACCCGCAGCCGCGGCTCCAAGGCCTACCGCGCGGGAAACCTCCAGCCCGAAGCAGACTGGGCTCCCCGCATGTGGAGCGACCTTGGCCTACCAGACTCGAACACACGCATAACGGAGGAGATGGGTCGGAAGTCCCAGAAACAACCCACAAACACTCACCATGATATTGGCCAGATGCTGCGAACGCCAGGGCCAAACACGGCCCAGAATCAACAGGTGGATGGAGGGGAGTCTTCCCGCGAACAAACCCCAGCAGAAACCAGGAAAACGACCCCACCCAGGGCAGAAGCCGAGCCCCAGCAACAAAGGGGGACATACAGGACATGCTAACCAACCTTCAAAGAAACCTCCGCCAAATGTGGGAAGCTGACCTGGCAGCACTGAAAACAGAGGTACAAACACTAAATGCTCGCACCGAAACGAATGAGACAGACATACTTACCCTCAGACAGGGCCTCAAAGCACTAAACGAACAGATGCATCAAATACAAGCCCAACAAGTCAACCTCACTAACCAAGTCAGCATAATAGACGACAGGGGCAGAAGGAAAAACATCAAGCTCAGAGGAGTCTCAGAGACAGTACCCTTAGAGGAACTACCACACTTCATTAGAAGGCTGGTGTCTTCCCTCATCCCAATGCGACAGGCTAAACACTTTACCTTCGATGGGGTATACAGGATATCTAAATCCCCACAAGCTCCCACCACAGCACCACGGGACATCATTCTCCGTTGCCACTCGCTAACGGACAAAATGGGCCTGCTAGCCGCCCTTAAAGGGAAAACCCCGTACAAATTTGAAACCAGCACCATATCAGTCTTTCAGGACTTGAGCAGATCTACACTGTTATGGAGAAAGGGAATGCAGCCCGTCACGAAACTCCTCCAAATAGCAGGACTAACATATAGATGGTCAACACCCAGAACGCTCCTGGTCACGAAAGACGGGAATAAACACAAGGCGTCAGACCCTGCGGACAGCACTGCCTTAATGACAGCACTGGGCCTCACTCCACAAGGACTACCCGCTCCAGAAACACCCAGCACTCGCCCACACAGCATAGAAGACTCCCCTAATCTCACGGACGGAGAAGAGGAAAGAGGCCACCTGAACTCACAGAACGCGCATGTTATTTACGTTAATGTTTTACCTATGTTTACCTATGTCTTAAGGTTCGATTGCACACTACTACAAACACACTCTTTATGTCGGGCTCACACCACGTAGCGGCAGCTCCGCGACCCGACTACACAACTCCCTCCCCCCCCTAGTGCCCCAGGGTAAAGGGACACAACCAACCATGGAGCGCTACACCCTACACCGGGAACCAGACAAACAGGGGACACATAACCAACGCACGTAGCCATAACAGGCGAACCCCAAGAACTAAATAGACACCCATGCTCCGAACCACAACCCATTCCCATATAGAAGATGACCTGTTCGCTAGGCGAAATAACATTCTGAATCAACCCTACACACGGGGGACGTGGCAGACTCTACCGGCACAAAACGATAAGGGTACGCTAGACCACTACGATGGAACAAACTAGTTAAACTACCCCACTTCAGTAGGCACTCTGAGCCACAGAGATAAGGGACACCAGACATAAAGAGGGAACTATACACCCACCCCAGCATACGAGGTGACCCAACACATAGAATGACGGGTAGTGGGACAAATGCCCTAAAAGCCTCAAGGCCAAAACAGTCACTGCACCCCCATAAAGTTCATAACGGTGAGGAATCACCGGATCACAATCTCTCGCCTAGCAACTATCAGTACTTTAGTAGGCACCTCGTTACAACCCACCAGACCACTATACAAAAACGTGCATTTAATGTTATAGCCAAATCACTGTATGGACATGTTTGTTACATTAACTTAACCTTATACAATCGTGGCATAAGCAGAAATGTCTGTATCACTGTTGATGCACTGAAAAATAAAGAATTAAAAAAAAAAAAAAACATTTACCTTCTGTGGAGATTAAAACTGGAATTGCAAAATTAGACAAATAAAACATCAGACTGGAAAAAATAATTTGATTTGATTAGTTCGACCAAAAATTAGCAATTCCCAGATTAAGGTAATAACCTAACAAATATATGTCTTAGAACTATTAAAGGAACCCTATAGTTTTAAAACCACCATTTAACACCCTGGTCCCTCCTTTGTCCCCCCTAAATATAGTAAAATCTTACTTGTATTCCAGTCTGCTGCTGGATCTTCCCCTGATCTGCCTGCTTGGCTGACATAATCAGAAGTCATTATGTGAGCCAATCACAATGCTTTCACAAGGGATTGGCTGAGACTGTCAAGAAGGCAGATCAGGGGCAGAGCCAGCATGATTTAAACAGCCCTGGCCAATTAGCATCTCCTCATAGAGATGCATTGAATCAATGCATCTCTATGAGGAAAGTTCACTGTCTCCATGCAGAGGGTTGAGATACTGAGTGGCAGTGCTGCACACTGTGCATCACTGCCCCAGGAACCACCTCTAGCAGCAATCTGAGGAGTGGCCAGTGAAGTTATCCCTAGGCTGTAATGTAAACACTGCCTTTTCTCTGAAAAGACGTTGCTTACAGCACAAAGCCTGAAGGCAATGATTCTACTCACAAGAACAAATACAATAATCTGTAGTTGTTCTGGTGACTACAATATCCCTTTAAATAAGGTGTTCTCCAGCTGCCATGAATGTGCGGTAAGTTTTTTTTAATTCTCTATACATGGTGATATTATAAGCAATATTAAATAGGAACGACATTCTTAACTACATTTGGAATAATACATGCATTCATTTTTTTGTAAACGTTCATAACCTCCTCTCATTAACCCTTTTCTTTCCCTCAGTTGTGCCAATGAATGTCAGCTGTACCCGTACAGACTTCCAAATTTTAGTTCCAAGTCAATCTGTCCCTCAGCTGGAGAGAAGTCACATTTACCTGGGAAGTCCTTCCTGCCCCTCTCAAATATCAGGCAATAATTACAAGATATACGCCCGATTCGACACATGTGGAACAGAACCTCAGGTATTTAAAAAAAAACAAAAAAAAAACATGCACACATACAAAAAAATAATAATCCAAAGGGTATTTGACGATATAAGTTTTAAAACATGCTAAGCAAAGACAGGGCTTGCTGGAAGTAATGGGAATTGTAAGCAGTAGAATCACAGATTGGCTCCACACTAAGCCCCGAGCGGAGACCTGCAGCACAGCTAGGGCGGCCAGATTTATCAGAAAGAGAATAGTAGTAGTAACTGAGTTACAGTTTTATGTTTTGGGGTTTTTTCAGTTCACTTCAAAATTGAATAGACTGTGGCACAACAGATGAGACCATTGCATAATTAATCCAGTCATGTTTGTACATGTTGTAGCAATATTGATTTTTTTTTTTTAAAAAGAATTGTATAATGTATCAATCCAATAAAATATAACAAAATAATAATAAAAAAAAAGATTTTACAATTAACAGACTTTGCAGGGTCTGCAGTGAACTCTTTCCAGTCAACGATGTGACTCCCTAACGGAATCTTTATAGTATTTTACTCGGTATGCATTGGATACCTTAAATAAAGAAAATAACAATAATAAAAAAAGATACAGAATGTTATATATAGAAAAATGGCTCCATATCAAGGATCCTGGGACATCCATAAACCACCTACCTTAGTCTTTCCCCCCGGAAAAAAAAAAAATAGAATCTTTATGAAATACTCATATTGACTATGTTGGAATTTCTCTGAAATTCGAACCCTTTCAAGAGATTTTCTGAGACAATGTATATATACAGACTTTGTATATTTCCTCCGCCTGGCACTTCTAGCAACTGGGCAGAGCTACCGCCGTCTAGAAGTGTCAATCACCCCGGCCATCACCAGTGACGGCTACAGGGAATGGGTTTTATCTATGGAGGAACCCACGCTCTTGCAAAATCTTCCACAGACCTCAATGCTGTACTCTTGCGCATGCGTGTGACTACAGCAGTGACGCTTAATTACAAGGAGCTGAAGAGGACCCGCAGGAAGAAGATGGCTGCACCCACGAGGGACAAGTTCATTTAAGTAGAATTCACCTTTGCCTGCCCCTCACACCGCTGCGGCGATGTCACTGACGAGGGTCTTTGAAAATTCTGCAAAGTCCCCAGACGGTAACAGGCTGATGTTGTCTCCAGAATATCTCAATGCCTTTATTTTCCCACTTAATTATTTATCTTTTCACTTTCCTATATATTTCTTGCAGATATAGTAAATGATTATATAAAAAAGGTTTTTTTTCCCCATGCAAGATCTGGAGATTAAATCAACAATTGCATAATCACAATTAATATGGAATGGATTCTGGCCAGCTGTCACATTCATGCTATTCACAAGAATGATTTGTTGAGAATTCAAAGTGAATTTCAGGTTTAGGCCAACATCTGAGTAGAAGAATGTTTGCTATTGTACTATTTTGATCTACAATTTTAAATTCACTTTGAATTTCCACTCTGACTATGGCCTCAATTTAATATTTTTGGATACACATTTTAAATGATTTGATATTTTTGGATATACATTTAAAATGATTTGATATTTTGAAAAACTTTATATGTTTTGATATATTGATTTTTATATTTTTTTCTATGTAGGAATCAGTTTATATTTTAGTATTTTGAAAAAAAATGACTTCAAAAGTTTATTTAAACATATTGAATCATCTGAAAAGGCATATCCAGAAATATTTGAGATCTATTTTTGTATAAATCCCAGCATAGGCCCTAAGCAGTTCTCTAATTGCTGTATTTCCAAATCATTAACGTTGTATGTCACCAAGCAGTGTCCTGAATATATAGGGGTGTTATTAAGAAAGCAATGCATTGAATAGAACTGACAAGGGATAGAAATTTTTAGAAATGAATAAACTGGAAAAATTCTTTATTTTTTGCCAATTTTTTATAAACAAAGAACACACGACATTACACAAAATGGTCATAAACAAGTGCACACATATCCAGGAACAGTGACTACAATGGGGACTTTAGTATAATGCATTAAAGTAAGAAAAAAAGGCCAAACTTCCAAAAGAACATTAGGAAATGAAGAAATTAGAAGTGAGAAGAATGTAGTGTCCCAGCTAGGTACAAGGAGGAGTTATGCATTAGCACAGGGGTGCCAAAAAGGTAGATCCCCAGATGTTGTAGCACTACAACTCAAATGATGCTTTAAATGCCTTTAGAATGAGAAAGGATCGTGGAAGCTGTAGTTTTAAAACATCTTAGGATCTACCTTTGGGCACCCTTGCGTTAGCAGATGAGGGTAGGGGGTGCAAATGGGACATTATCAGAAACAAATGAACTCACAAGGGTGCGCATAAGTAAAAAAAAGAGGAGGTGTGACAGCAAAAAGCGAGATGAGAAGCAAGAAAAAAGAATAGAAAGAGTAAGGAAAGAAAGGGGACGCTAAAGAAGAAAAAAGTGAGAATACCGAGAAGGGGGATACATAGAAACAGGGAACCAGGTAAAGGACGGGCATCAGCTTCAGGAGGGGCCAGCCAAATAAACCATATCATCAGGGTACACACTCAGGATTGGGGTTCAATATATTCAATCCAGGGGAACCAGACAGCAGAATATTCATCGTATCGCTTGTATAGTGAGACAGAACGTTTCTCCATGTCTTCGCAATCCACTGCGCAACCATCGGAGAACGGGATCAGGGATTTAGCCATATTAAGAGCATGACTAACAACTGACGTCTTATAGACAGACAATGGCAACTTAGTGTGGTGTAGCAACATGGCTGCTGGACAAAAAGGTGTGGTGTGGGAGGTGGATGGAGGAGTCAGCTATTTTTGTAGCACTGTTTTGCCCTAAGATTTGCAATTCCCTTGCCAAACATCCACAATTCCCAAGTTTACAGAATAAACCCCACTGCACAAGTTAAGTGAACTCCCATTCAAATATAACTCTTTGCTGTTTCATTGTTCTTGGTTGCAGAAGAGGAATAATACATCAGTCATTGTGAGTGTCTTATATGTGGACTTCTCCTTCGGCACTCATGAAGATATCCATGAGTATGAAGTGCAGTGCGAGCCAAAGAGGAAGGAGGCATCCGTGCATATCCTATCTGGATCAGATCCACTCCGACTCAATGCATTGCTAGACAGTGCAGCAGAATCAAGGCTTCCGGAAGCAGAATCTTCAGAGACCAGTGACAATGGACAGGATGGCAGCGACGTGATTTTTATCAGTATCTGTATCTTAGCTGGCATCCTCATGCTTATAGCAGTGGTGGGCCTGGTATTACTGTGACGAGGTGCCTCTATCACACGCCAGTAATAAACTACTCACCATTACCGTGCACCCACAATTATTACTTTTCAAAGTGGGTAAGACAATGGAATACTGAACTGTGATTCAAGCGATACAGCAATAGACATTTTAGAATGTTTACGAAAGATAAAATGGGCAGACCGTCTGAAGCAGTTTGCGGTCTTCTAAGATTCTGTTGTAACTTATCAATATTTACTAGTTTCGATAACGGGCTTTCCATTAGCCAGAATATGCAGTTTAACGATTGTACAGTTTTACAAGGTCACTGTTACATGTGCAGATGCTCCATACAAGGTATTAACTAAACAAAATGGCAACTAATTACAAAATATTAGAGAATGATGTACTACTGTGCCTTGGAAATTAAATACAAGCACACATCTCTATAGAATGTTTTGTTTTAATTTGTGTTCCCATTTAAATTAATGTTACATTGAAGCAAGGTGTGGTTAAACACAACACATATATACACCCTGTTCCAAACTATTATGCAAATGATATTTTTCTCATTTACCTAAATAATTGATGTAAATAACAGTCAACATAATTCTCATGTTATCAACTATTAAGAGTACAATTCAAATTTTACTGAACAAACCTCCTAATGATAACAGTATTTTTTTTTAAACATAAAAACTTACAATGCACTGTTCCAAATTATTATGCACAGTAAGTTTCAAAACACTTTATAGGTTGTAAAGAACTGAAAATTGTAATTTGTTGTGTTTGCAGCATATTTACTGAAATCAAAAGCTATTTCAATCAAACGTATAACAACATTTTAACTTTTTAAACATATTTTAACATGTCACGTTACATTTTAACATAGGACCCCTTATTTGATAGCAGCTTCACAAGTCTTGCATCCATTGAACTTTTGAGTTTTTGGACAGTTTCTGCTTGAATTTGTTTGCAAGATACCCGAATAGCTTCCCAGAGCTGCTGTTTGGATGTACAATGCCTCCCACCCTCATAGATCTTTTGCTTGAGGATGCTCCAAAGGTTCTCAATAGGATTGAGGTCAGGGGAGGATGGAGGCCACACCATGACTTTCTCTCCTTTTATCCCCATAGCAGCAAAGGTATTCTTTGCAGCATGAGATGGTGCATTGTGATGCATGAAGATAATTTTATTACAGAAAGCATAGTTCTTCCTTCTGTACCAGGGAAGAAAGTGGTCAGTCAGACACTCCACATACTTTGCAGAGGTCATCTTTACACCTTTGGGGACCCTAAAGAGGCCGACCATCTCTCTTCCCATGATTCCAGCCCAAAACATGACTCCACCACCGCCTTGCTGACGTCGCAGCCTTGTTGGAACAGGGTGGCCGTCCACCAACCATCCACTACTCCATCCATCTGGACCATCCAGGGTTGCATGGCACTCATCAGTGAACAGGACTGTTTGAAAATTAGTCTTCATGTATATTTCTGCCCATTGCAGTCGTTTCCGCTTGTGAGCATTGGTTAGTGGTGGCAAAATAGAAGGTTTATGCACAGTTGCAAGACTGTGGAGGACTCTACACCTTGATGTCCGTGGGACTCCAGAGGCACCAGCAGCTTCAAATATCTGTTTGCTGCTATGTAATGGTATTTTAGCAGCTGCTCTCATGATCCGATGCATGGATCTGGCAGAAATCTTCCTCAATGTGCCTTTATCTGCATGAACCCGTCTGTGCTCTGAATCATCCACAAATCTCTTAATAGTGCGATGATCACGCTTAAGTTTTCGGGAAATATCTAATGTTTTCATACCTCGTCCAAAGCATTGAACGATTTCACTCTTTTCGGCAGCAGAGAGATCCTTTTTCTTCCCCATATTGCATGAAAATGGTGTTTTGCTTAATAATGTGGAACACCCTCCTTTAGTATTTTTTTTTTTTAAATTGGGCTCACCTGGCAATCTAATTATCACAGGTGTCCGAGATTGTTTTCAGTGATCAAAAGAGCCCTGAGACACAATGCCATCCATGAGTTAAACTGAAAAACAAAATATTTAATCTTTGTGACACTTAAATAGAATTTGCATAATAATTTGGAACAGGGTGTAATGTAGCAATTGGTTGGGCAATACGTTTGGTAAATTTAAAATTATAAAATTTTAGATATTGCATCTTTGTTGATTTCAATGCAAGATGGACAAGCATTGAAAAGGTTAATTGCAGATACTTGATTGCTTTTGATGTGCTTTCTTACCTGTAACTATGTTTGTGTTGGTGCTATGAAATAACCATTTTTTCCCCAAGGCAGCTGCATTTTCAGTTTCGACGTAATATTTTAAATTCAGTTTTAATTCACACAGAATTCCAGACAATTCACTTTAGTTAATGTTTATAGAAGATTAAAGAAAATAATAATAGGAAGAAATCCTCTCATACAAGGACGAGGGGAATCCTCCTACCGGCACCACCCTTAGAAAAACATATGTACAAGCTTATAGAAAAAAAAGATATGTATAACTAAAATAAACTTTAATGAAAATTCAAAATACACATAATTCCCAAATAGTGGGAATAAAAACCCAAAACAAAAGAAAAACGTGATACTATATTGGCTGCCAGTCGCTGCTAAATGAATCTATGATAGCATGAAAAGGTTACCACAAGTGTAGCAAACCTATTCATAACATAGTAATAATCAGTAGAAACACTGTTGCAATGCTAACTCACAGAATAACGGTCTGCAGATTTGTGAATAGATGCCAAAGAAGCAGTGTGCTGTGCTCCAGTACATAAACCAGAGGGCAAAGACACATAAGAAATCCCCAAGATAAGTCAAAACATTATCTAGATAGTCTAAAATACCCATATATAGCTGTCCTATCTGTTGAAAGGTAGGACATCGAAAGGACAGTAAGATATATAAGGAAAAATAAAGAGGTAGAGAGGTAATCACCAGGGGAGTCCAGAGCAAAAAGAGGAAAGGACACCCCCACTGTAGATACCTCTTATATAGAAAACCAAATGCCCCTACTGGTAAGGAGACTGGCCGGCCAAGGTCTGATGTAGGCACAGCACGGGATTGCAATAAGTACTCTAGTAGAATGCTAAAAACAAAAGTAACAGCATCGGAATAGCCCTCTCTATTTTTCCCTATATATCTTTCTGTCCTTTCGATTTCCTACCTTTCAACAGATAGGACAGTTATATATGGGTATTTTAGACTATCTAGATAATGTTTTGACTTATATTGGGGATTTCTTATGCGTCTTTGCCCTCTGGTTTATGTACTGGAGCACAGCACACTGCTTCTTTGGCATCTATTCACATATCTGCAGACCGTTATTCTGTGAGTTAGCATTGCAACAGTGTTTCTACTGATTATTACTATGTTATGAATAGGTTTGCTACACTTGTGGTAACCTTTTCATGCTATCATAGATTCATTTAGCAGCGACTGGCAGCCAATATAGTATCACGTTTTTCTTTTGTTTTGGGTTTTTATTCCCACTATTTGGGAATTATGTGTATTTTGAATTTTCATTAAAGTTTATTTTAGTTATACATATCTTTTTTTTCTATAAGCTTGTACATATGTTTTTCTAGTGGTGGTGCCGGTAGGAGGATTCCCCTCGTCCTTGTACGAGAGGATTTCTTCCTATTATTCTTTTCTTTAATTTATATTATATGTAGGGTTATGCCCTTTTTGCTACCCCTATAACCAAAATCTAAAAAGGAACTCTCTAGCCAAAATAAAATAAATATATGTATACATATACACACACACACACACACACACACACAATACTAAATACATAAATAACTATTACACTGTGATTCTTTAATATGTATTTGCTTGAGTACAGAAATGGGGTAAAATCTCATACAAAAATAATGTTTTATTGAAATTAAAAAACAAATTCAGATTTCAGAGCACTTTTCAAACACAGCATGTGTTACAATCATTGTATGCAGAATGACAAATACATATAAGTAGCCAAATATACAATTTATATGTCAGTAATGACTAAACAAGAGCTGTGCATAAAAGAAAAGGGACGTTCCTATTTAGTTGTGTCTATTGTCAGAAGCCCTGCATTATAGTGAAGTTGGGTAATGTGAATAACTGTTCACGCTGAATTCTGATTGGCTGTGTTACATTGTAAAATGCAAAGTGAATTTCAAAACCAAGGGTAAAATAGCCACTTCAGTGAATAAGCTTTACTGTTTTGTTTTGTCAGTCTCCCTCTTCTTAGAGCCTCTCCCCAAGATATGAGTAACGGGAGAGGGGTAGAATTCATGATAGCAGCGTGACTCTTGTCAATCTTGACAGATCCTGCACTACACTATAATAATAGGCAGAGATAATGGAGTTATATACATTTTACACACTGAATTTTAAAATTCTCAAAACATGTTTATGAATATAACAACTTATGTTTAAGAATATTATTTTTATTTTTTTTAAACACCTCTGTGACTGTGAAAGCATGTCTAGCCTTTCCTGGTTTGAACTCGCAAGTACATTGCCCAATAACCAACCACGAGAAAGGGCCGGCATCTCAAGATGTTAACAATGAATGTATTATACTGTGTGTAACTGAGTCCTGCTATATTAACCTGGCAATCTCCCGATATTAAAAAGCCTACACAATAGGCATATCATGCTCCATTGAAAGAAGAGTCTTGTGATGGTAACCAATGGAAAAATAAATGTATGACAGAAGAAAGGGCATTAGTGCTAACCAGCCCGAGAACCTACATGTAGTATTCCCTGTAACATTAACTTGATCCAAGGTTACATGTCCTGAATTTTCCTGAAGGTGTTGTACAGTTGTTCTCACCCAGGAGTTGAGAATGTTCTTTTTTTATTTCTTATGACTTTGCACCAACTCATGAATCTTTATAGTCCCTTCTTTGACTTGGCATCGAGTCTCTGCCTTGTGCTTCAGTGCAAATACAAGTGCCCGGATTGTTCTGCGGTAGTGAACATTGATCAGACGGGAGGTCTGATGGAAAACTTCACGTTCAATACATTCAACCAAAGAGTGATCAGCCTGGAGATGGAAACAGGTTAGGAATTACACCTACAGTGATGTGTTAAGAAAAATCATTATCATGTGAAAGGCAATGATCCTTGCAGAACTCCACATAATGATTGCTGCGGTTAAGACACGCACCCATGGGAAGGATGGACCACGTGTCAAGTCACCTTAACATATACATTTTAGTAGGAGCCTCCCTTGTACAGTGTTTGAATTGCCGCCCCCCCAATTACTTACAAGGAAACAAATTATTCACATATTTACAAAACAAGAAATATAATAATGAAAATGTAAATATTTGTTTCTCATTAACCCACCTTTTGTTAGAGCAACAGAAATGTCCTACAATTCCAGGACATTCATTCACCTGCTTGTCATGATGATTACCGTACTATTCCTTACCTCCATATTTTGTGCTTCAGCCAACAGTCGCCTGGCATTTTGGCGTAGTTTCTCAGTTGCAGCATCACATCTTACTTCAATGTTTGGTTTGCTGCGATTCTCCTTTATGAACGTTTCCCACTGGTTGTAAACTTCCTGTGCCAAGTGTGACACATCCTTATCATCATGTGTCTGTAGGCTTCCAACTGCTTCACCTAAACATACAGAGAAAAAGAAAGAAAGTAGTAAAACTTTGAAGACAAACCGGGATTAACAAATCTTAAATGCTAAATGTTCATAGAAAAGTGCAAGTGACATGGGTTGCTCCTGCACTTTTTGGACGTAATACATCCTTCACATTCAGGAAAGGAGAGAAGTAAGAAATTTAAATAAATTAAGATACCCTATGGCTGTTTTGGACATAGTATATAAATGAGAAAGTGACAAATTAGGAATAATGGATTTATACTGAGTACAAGTTATATATATATATATATATATATATATATATATATAAAAAACAAAAAAAAGCAAGACTGTAGATAAAACACTCTACTGCACTGAAAAGGTTTGTTAAATATGTTTTAGGCTTAGACATAAACCGTGGAGTACATACTATTTATTTAAAAACACCCAAAAATAGAGACATAGAATGATTGTTTAATTGCTTGCATTCTGTTACATTAAAAAGAGTAATACTGGTGACATATCGGTCTTACAAACAAAAAAATTACTTGGAATAAGTATTTCAAAAACAATATATCTAAGAAAGAAGCACTCATTAAGTCACTTGTTTAAAAATATATCTTTGCTGGTGACGCTGGGAGATGTAATGTGAGATGTGTTTTTCTTTAGAGAAGGAAGAAAATCAGCGCTTAAAATGTCAAATCTTTTGATACCAGTCGAGCTTACATTTACATCAACCTGTGCACAAATGCAGATACCTACACCCACTTGCAGACAGGCATAAAGCCATATAACAATCACACAAAGATTTGCAACATGGCTACAAGTATTTGGCGGGGTGCTCTTTCCTTCAGCTTCTGCTGCAGGACACGCATAAATGCCCTTGACTTATTGGGGGAAGCATTTGCCCTGAAACTCAAACCTTGAATTCACCACTACACATTCTACAGACTCAACAGCCTGCAGATTTTAGTACCGATTTTTGTTGATCTTATCACTTCTTCAGAAGGAATTTTTTTCTTAAGTTCCTTCAGAGTATTCATCAGATTTTCTCTTGTCTGGTTAGGAAACTCCAGAATACATTTCCATCTCTTTATATCTTCCAGGACCACAACTCTCTAAACAGAAAAACCGTTTATAAAAATTGATGAAATCATAGATTGCTATAGTTGCATACAGCACTTATAAATCAGGGATGGCAATTCTAAAGTACATCTTCTAGAGCAAAGGTAGGCAACGGTCGGCACTTTAGATGTGGACTAAATCTCTCTCAAGCTTTACCAGCATTATGGCTATGAGAGTTTTCTGGAGTGCCGAAGGTTGTGTAGCACTATTCTAGAGGATAAATATATTTGAAAATGCAACTGTACATGAATTGAAGTATCATATAGCATTGATCATGTTGCGTAGACTGCTCCTTTAGAATGGTATAACCCCTCCTAATCCCAGACAAAACAGGACAAGTATAATAAAACATTAGATGACAGTGACCATTTATAGGAACACTCCAAGCACCTTAACCACTAAAGTGCACTATAGTGATTATGCAGCCAGGAGTGCCGCCCAACGTAAGTAATCAAATTGTGTGCCTTTATGAGAGCTAGAAACACCCCTGCGTGGAGCTTCTGACACCTCTCTGAGGCTAAACCCTGCAGTGCAGTGTCAAGTCATTGGATGACAGAGTCAGCTGATTACACTTAGCCAATGGTCTAAGCCCTAAACCACTAAGCTTAGCTGCAAGATGAAAGTTCCTGCTCTCATAGAGGCGGTGCCTAGTGGACCCCAGGTAAGAAATCAAACCATTACAAAAAGGTTTGATAACTTACACTGAGAGCTCTAATGGCGCTTGGTATTCTCCTATAACGACTAGAAATGTATAAAGCTGGACCTGCAAATAGAGAATTTAAAATGCAAGATTGCCTTCACATCTATGCTATTTTATCAGCCTGCTTTGCAAAGTACGGTCAAAGTGCCCATACTGACATTTTACAGGAGCTCAATAAAAACATCACAAGAACAACAATGGTTATTATCAGAGTGTGCCCAGGAACACCTTGACATAGAGATGATTTTTTTTTTCCCCCCTTTGTCATTCATGTATGTCTCTACCTGTACTATATGTCAATACTGATGTTTATTGCCTTGTTTAAAAGAAAAATGGCCTGCACATTCAGATATGTTTGGTTATTCCTAGAGCAATATTTGGTATTTTGGAATTCACTTTGAACAAGTTGTATACCTTATTTTCTCTTGTATCTTTCACAGAAAATGTGTAATACTGACTTGGTTTGAAGAATAAAATTAAATGCACTGTATGAGTGAGAGATCAATATACAATAAATAATAATATCCTGTGCACACCCAATGATAGGGATGAGCAGGGTACAAGCTGTCCCCCAGAGCTCCCCTCTCACCTTTAGTGAATACAGAGTGGCCTGTCCTTTGGTTTTACTGGGGATTTTAACCTCTGGCTGCAGACACTTGGGTTTTCTAACAACGAACTTATCCATGCTTCCCCCCAAGCAGCACACAGACTGAAAATAAATCTGAGTTTCCGCCCGCAGAAGGGCAGAACGTCGTCGCGCTGTCATGACGAAAACGCACGCAAGTACGTACGCACGCACGCACGCGTCTTCTCGATGTCAACAAAGGCAGTCGCTCGTGATTACGTGGCCGTTTACCGGAAGTGGTTTAGACAGCCCTTTTTGCTGCAAAAAAAAAAAAAAACAACACACAAAACAAAACACGGAAGTAGAGTTAGAGTAGGAAGATGGCGGCCGTACAGATGTTGTTGGTTGTTGCGCTGCTTGTTTGTGCCAGCAGCGGGTCCTTGGAGTCTGCCCTGGGAGACAGTGCCTCCTGTCACATGGTGTGCGATGAGACCTACCCCCTGCACACTTACCCCGAGGTGAGCAGCAAGGACACTCTATCCGCCCCTCTATTGGTACCTACCTGTCAGGGCTGGACTGTGCATGCCGGCTGGGGGGGGAGGGGTCATGGTTTTCTTCAGCATGGGGGGCGGTCATTCAATCTTCAGCTGGGGTAATAAGTGGTTTTTAATTCAGCAGGGGGTGGTCAGCGGTTTCTTAATCTCAGCAGGGTGGCCGGTTTCTTAATTCAGCAGGGTGGTTATGGTTTCTTAATTCAGCAGGGGGTGGTCAGTTGGTTTCCCTAATTCCAGCAGGGGGTCATGGTTTCTAATTCAGCAGGGGCGGGCCGCGGTTTCTTAATTCAGCTGGGGGTCATGGTTGTCTTAATTCAGCAGGGGTCATGGTTGTCTTAATTCAGCAGGTGGTCATGGTTTCAATCAGCAGGAGTGGTCATGGTTTCTTAATTCAGCAGGGGGTGGTCATGGCTCTTAATTCAGCAGGTGGCCATGGTTTAATTCAGCAGGGGTGGTCATGCATTCTGACCAACAGGTGGTCATGGTTTTCTTTAATTCAGCAGGGGTCATGGCTTTAATCCAGTGGGGGCTCGCTTGGGTTTCTTAATCTCAGCTGGGCCAGCGGTTGTCTTAATCTCAGCAGGGGGGTCATGGTTGTCTTAATCAAAGCAGGGGTGGTCATGGTTTCCTTAATTCAGCTGGGGATCATACTTTTCTTAATCTCTGGGGATCATGGCTCTTCAATTCAGCTGGGGACTCGTGGTGGTTTTCTGACCAGCTGGGGGTCAGCGGCTCAATTCAGCTAAAATGGTTTCCTTTAATTCAGCTGGGGTGCGGTTTTTCAATTCAAAGGGTGGCCGCGACATTCCTTAATTCAGCAGGCATGGTTTCTAATTCAGCAGGGGGTGATGGTTTTCTTAATTCAGCTGGGGGGTGATGGTTTTCTTAATTCAGCTGGGGGGGTCATGGTTTTCTTAATTCAGCGGGGGGGGTCATGGTTTTCTTAATTCAGCAGGGGAGGGGTCATTGTTTTCTTAATTCAGCAGGGGGGGGTCATGGTTTTCTTAATTCAGCAGGGGAGGGTCATGGTTTTCTTGTTGTGGACTACATATCTGATGCTTTGCCAACAACATGGTTGTAAGAGGGAGATGGGAGATGTAGTCCACAACATCCGCAGTGCTGAATAGTACCTACTTCTGCACTACCTCCTTTACCTGCCCTTTTGACTCAGGGTGGCAAAATTGTGAATAACTCAATGATTACATACCTGCCCCTTGCTGTCTACTAAAGGGCACTGCTTCACTCCCACCTTGTTGGATTGCTATCCCCTGTCCTATTGTGTTTTATACCCCACCTCCTCTAGACTGGAATCTTGTTTGAGCAAGGTGCTCATCAACCTACTGTAACATTTTGAATTAGTCTCACTTATTGTGAAATCCTCAACCCCACTCACCTTATAATATTGTAAAGCTATGCGTAAAATGTTTGTGCTATTTAAATGCTCAAGTAATTATTATTATTGATAAAGTACCAACAAGTTTTGCAGCGCTGTACAATAGGTGGACTAACAGACAAGTATTTGTAACCAGACAAGTTGGGTGCAGCAGAGAGTGTTGAGGTCCCTGCTCAAATGAGTTTACTTGCTAGAGGGAGTGGGGTAAAGAAAACTAGTTTTCCCTGAGGATTTAAAAAAACAAACAAAAATAAAAACAACACATTTCTTTATATAATTGTAGTACTACAATTACCGTGATGCTTTATAGTGGCAAAAGCTTAACGGGACACTATAAGCACAAAAGCAACTTTTAGCTTAAAGGACCACTCTAGGCACCCAGACCACTTCAGCTTAAAGGGACACCGTAGGCACTGTATCTGCTTCATCTCATTAAACTGGTTATAGTGTATAGAGTCCCCTGGTGCCATCATTTCTTTCAGCATTAAACAGTTTTTAATGTTGTAATGTTTTAATCCTAAACAAGAGACCACGGCAGTCCATCCCCTCTGTGCTGCTTTGGCTAATAAGGAAGTATTAGCCTGAGCAGCAATGGGTAGCTGTGATTGGCTGAGAGTGTCAGCTGACTGCTTTTAACCTGTCAGAGCTCCAACTGACGGTGTGAATGGGTATGACAACAAGGAAGTGTGTAATCTCTGCCTTAGCTACACATACAGAAGGGGCCGGACTGTGGGTGGCCAGGGACTCTTATTTTGTGGCATACTACACAAACATGGTGCAACACTGAATGGAGGGACAGTGCCAGGGCACTCCAGGCACTATAACCAATTCAAAGAGACAAAGTGGTTATAGTGACTACAGTGTCCCTTTAATGAAGTGGTCTGGGTGCCAGGTTCAGCTAGGGTTAACCCATTTTTTTATAAACATAGCAGTTTCATAGAAACTGCTATGTTTATAAATGGGTTAAGCCTTCCCCCAAAGCCTCTAGCGGCTGTCTCATTGACAGCCGCTAGAGGCGCTTGCGTGATTCTCACTGTGAAAATCACAGTGAGAGCACGCAAGCGTCCATAGGAAAGCATTGCCGCGCGTGCACATTCAGCCGACGGGGAGGAACGGAGGAGGATCGGAGGCAGAGAGCTCCCCGCCCAGCGCTGGAAAAAGGTAAGTTTAACCCCTTTTCCCCTTTCCAGAGCCGGGCGGGTGGGGGCACCCTCAGGGCACCATAGTGCCAGGAAAACAAATGTGTTTTCCTGGCACTATAGTGGTCCTTTAAAGGAGCAATATAGTGCTAGGAAAACAAACCCCTTCAGCCACTTACCTTAATCCAGCGCCGGGCTCCCTCGGCGCCGGTGACCTCTCTTTCCCCTGCCGATGTCAGCTCCGCATGTGCAGCAAGAGCCGCGTGCGCATTCAAACCGCCCATAGGAAAGCATTTTTCGCTCTGAGAATCGCGGAAGTGGCCTCTAGTGGCTGTCAGGGAGACAGCCACTAGAGGCTGGATTAACACTCAATGTAAACATAGCAGTTACAGCTGCAGAGTTAAAACTAGGAGGACCTGGCACGCAGACCACTTAATTGAGCTGAAGTGGTCTGGGTGCTTATAGTGGTCCTTTAATGAAGCAGTTTTTATGCATAGATCATGCATCTGAGATTTCATTGTTCATTCATCTGCCATTTAAGAGTTAAATCACTTTTGTTTCGGTTAATGCTGCCATAGCCACACCTCTCCTGGCTGTGAGTGACACAGACTGCATGAAAGCAAAATGATTTAATTTCAATCAGATGTAACTTACTTTAACTTAGTTTTTATCTCCTGCTCTGTAAATTGATCTTTTTTTTTCCATATTTATTTTTTATTGGTTTTGGTAGTACTCCAGTGCATGGCACCGTGAAATAATAAAACATTTACAGTGTTGGTACAAATACAGTAATAGAGTTATACAGTGGTTTAACGATGTTATGATAATATTACAATGATAATGACAGTGATGCAATGCCAACATTACTATTAATACAGTACTAACGGTAACATTACTGCACAACAATACATACAATACGATACCTTACACTGTTGCTGTCGTAACGGCTCATTGATCAAATGTGGCCTCGTTAGCTTATACACAGAAGTTCATATAATATGATAATGCGTGTAGTGACGTTAGTGTCGACATCAGCACAAATGCATCGCCGATGTTATGTTCTAACTCCGTTTGTATGACAGCTCGTTTTTGTTTTTGGCTAGAGCTATAGACATTTGTGCTATCTGTTGTTGATGTCCACATGGGCTTCATTCTCTATCACACCATGCAGCCAGGTACAAGGGAGGAGAACAAAGGGTTGAGGGAAGGGTAACATTCAACAGTAACTCTACTAATATAACCATGTACCTGAACTTCTCTGTTTAGTATTACTATCGGACCTTGTGGTGTGACTTGTTAGTGGCCAGGTTTGTGACATGTAGGATGTAGTATGAGTATTATAGCTGGTATAACTGGTATATCCCTCCTATTATTTCTCTGGGGCGTGTGCTATCGTGTCATAGTGTCTCATTCATCTGCGTCGTCCAATGTTCGGATATTAATCCATCCGCACCATTGGATACCATGTTTTTCCGATGTACCTAGTAAGTTGTGCGCCATTCTCTCGTACAAACACACGTTGTCCATTCTCTTTGTTACCTCCTCAATTGTCGGTGGTAATATGGCCTTCCATTGAGAGGCTATCGCAATCTTGGCTATAGTCAGTATGTTTATTGCAGTCATGGTCGCTGAAGGTCTTACTGAGTCGCTCGTGGGAAGCATATGCAGCAGGTAGTGTATAGGGTCTAATGGTATGGCTAGGTTAGTTGTTTCGCGTATAAGTGATTGGACTGAGGTCCAGAACGGGGTTATGATCTGACAGTCCCAGAATATGTGAAGTAACGACCCTGCCGTGCGGTTGCATCTCCAGCACAGCGGGGAGGAGTTGGGATACATTCTTGCCAGTCGTGAGGGAACTAGATACCAGCGCATTGCTATCTTGCAGAATGCTTCCCAGAGAGACAGGCTTTTAGATGCCCGTTTTGTTAAGTAAAAGGCCTCATGCCATTGTTTCAAAGTGAGTGTTGTCCCTAGATCTCCTTCCCATTTTTCCATGTAAGGAAGTTTATGTTCAGATTTCTCTCGTTCCAGTGCATTATAGCAAAGGGCTAGGGGTTTGACATAGCGGGATGTCAAAATGTACCTGGTAGAGGGAGTGTCTGATCGTTTTGAGGGTGTTGTCGGCTTAGTGCTAGATTGCAGTATATGCTTGACCCTTAGATATTTGAATAGGTCTCTGGGGCTCAGGGAGAATTCACTTTGTAGGGTGGGAAACGTTTTCAGCATGTTTTGATGATATAGGTCCTGGATTGTGCGGATCCCTAGGTTCGACCATGTTTGTAGGGGGAGGTCGGGGGAACTGGCCTGCAGTGTCGTGAGTGGTGCTTCTTTGAACAGTGTCTGAGGTTGGCACACATTGTAGGCGATTTATTGGGTTTGGGGAGAGTTACTATGTGGGCTTCTAGCATTTCTGGTGGGATTTCTCCTGTGTCTTTTATATGGTTGAAGAGTTTGGTAATGTGTGGGGCCAGGGTATCACCAAATTTATGATAGTAGCAGTTTGTTAGTCCATCTGGGCCCGGTGCTTTGTGTTTTGGCAGTGTTTTTATCGTGGAGAGAATTTCTTCGTTTGTGAACGGCCTCTCTCTAATGATGTTTTTTGTTCCTGGGTGAGTGTTGGTAGGGTAGTGTCGTGGAAAAAGGTTTGTAGGTCTCTGTCCGTGGGTTGATGTGTGGCGTTGTCACTGTCGAGCTGATACAGTGAGGCATAATAGGAGGCTAGTTCCTCTACCATATCTTGAGGGTTATATAACTTGTCCCCTTTCGCGGATATAATGTATGGGAGTTTGGTGGATTGATGTCTCTTCTTTAGTCTTCTAGCTAGCATTTTCCCTGCTTTATTACCTCCTATATAATGGGTTTGCTTGAGGTAGCGCATATGCTTTTCAGTGGTGTTTAGGGCTAATGCATGTAATTGTAACCGTATTTGTTCCAATTGTTTTTGGGTATGCTTTTTGGGGTTCTGTTTATGTGTAGCTTCTAGATTAGTAAGTGCACTCAGCAGCTCTGCTTTCTGCGTGCAAGCTCGTCTTTTATTATTGGCCCCCAGTTGGATGAGCGCCCCTCTCATAACCACCTTGTGTGTTACCCATTGAGTCGGTATGGGTGTTGTGCAGGATGCGTGGTCGTTGAAGAATTCAGTTATCTGTTTTTCTATATGTTTGGAGTTTTCTGGGACGTTTAGCAGGGCTTCGTTTAAACGCCACGTGCCTCTGCCACGAGCCGGGTACGGGACGCGGAGCGCAATCGTAAGCGGCGCGTGGTCCGACCACGTTATTGGGCCTATGGAAACGTCCGTGAGATGTGTTAGGGTATTTTTGTCAGTGAGACATAGATCTATCCTGGAGTAGGTCATGTGGACTGGGGAGTAATATGTGTAGTCCCTCTCCGCAGGGTATAGGCATCTCCATGAGTCATACAAGTCATGCATTAGGAGAAGATTAGTGAGGTGTCGACCTAATAAGATAGATGGCCTCTTGGGAGTTTTATTCTCAGTTCGTTTCATGTCTATGTACGGGTCAGCTGTGCAGTTAAAGTCACCACATAGAATCACGTGCCCTTGTTTGTATCTGTGCAGCTTTTTGAAAGCTGAGGTTAGAAAGGATTTTTGATCTACATTGGGGGCGTAAAGTGAGGCTATCGTGATCTCTATGCCATTTAGAGAGCCCACTAGTATGAGTAGCCGGCCATCCCTGTTTGCGTGTTGTGTGCGCATCGTAAATGCCCAGTCATCATGGAAAAATATGGAGACCCCTCTTGTAAATTGATCTTTAATTACACATAGGAGGCTGCTGCGTGGTCTAGCAATCTATTAACAGAGCATGAGATAATATATTCTAAATTAAATAGAATTTTAAATTTAAGTTAGAGTAAACATTAGCTGACACTGTGCAGGAAGTGTTTAGGCAGGCTGTGTAAGTCACATGGAGGAAGGTGTAACTAGGGCTGTATAAACAAAGTTATTTAAAGGGACACTATAGTCACCTAAACAACTTGAGCTTAATGAAGGAGTTGTTTTTATATTGATCATGTCTATGAAGTTTCAATGCTCAATTCTCTCCCATTAAGGAGTTAAATCACTTTTGTTTCCGTGGATGCAGCCCTAGCTACACCTCCCCTGGTTGTGACTCACACATCTTGCATGAAAAAATATATGGTTTCATTTTCAATTAGATGTTACTTTACATTTTGTTACCTCCTGCTCTGTAAATTGAACTTTAATCACATACAGGAGGTTCCTACAGGGTGTAGCAAACTATTAACATAGCAGGAGCTAGGAAATGCTAAATTAAACAGAATTTGATTTGCAAAAAGGAAGTGTAAACATTAGCTGACTCTTTACAGGTGTTTAGTAAGGCTGTATAAGTCACAACCAGGGAGGTGTGACTAGGGCTCTATAAACAAAGTGATTTAACAACCAAATGGCATAGAATTGAGCAGTGAGACTGCAAGGGCATGATCTATACACCAAAACTGCTTCATTAAGCTAAAGTTGTTTTGGTGACTATAGGTACCTTTTAAATGTATTTTGGCTCAACATCTTGCACAATGTAGTGCAGAAACATATGCATGCAAGGTAAGCCATCACTGTCTTGGGGCAATGGAATATGTTGCTGTTGTTTAACTAAAATGATTGATCTTGTGACTCTGATACATGGTGATACCTTATTCTTTTTTACACACGCTTCTGTTTCTCTACTCCTTTTCAAAAAAAGTCCTTGATCGATTAGGAGAGCAGTGTTATATTGCCACTTTTACTCAATAATACTTCACTTTATTTGCAGGAGGAGGAGCTTTTTGCTTGCCACCGGGGATGCCGTCTGTTTTCGATCTGTCAGTTTGTGGAAGATGGAAATGATTTGAATAAAACTAAAACAGAGTGTGAATCAGGTGATTCTACCATGGCTTTACATTTTTTTTTGTCACTCTGTGTGTATGTGGGGAGGGGGAGTTGAATGTGTGTTACTTTCGATATTCTATTTAGCTATCCATGTATTTAACAAATATCTATATACGTCAATATCTATTGACGTACAAATCCACACCTTTTTGCACCCCGGTACAGTATACCCGTGGGAGATGTGTCTATCGGTTTGTCACTGTCTGTCTGCACAGTATATATAACCTGGGTTTACAGCAGTCGCTTTATTGTAGCCAGAGTTATGCTTAAAGAAATCGGTGTGTTGTGTTGGAGCTCACCCTGCACGCATCCGATCAGCTCAGAGCTCAAGCTCCGCCCCCGCTTTCCCTATTTTTTATTGTTATATGATTACCTTTTATAGAATTGTCGAGCATTAGAAACGATACTGTATCCCTTGACTTGCAATTGGTGATGCATGTTCAGAAACATCGGTGTAGAACAGGGGTAGGCAACCTTTTAGCAGCACTGTGCCGATATAGGATTGTGATGCCCCATAGCGTGCCGATCCTATTTTTTATTTTATTTTAAATTGACGTGTGTATGTTGCCGTATTATGCTTGTGTTATTTATACTGTTGTACTGTGTTATTATACTATACTGCTTTGTATCATTGTATTTGTGTGTATATGAGCGATTAGATTGAATATGTTCATTAGTAGTTTATGGTATCGTGTATGATACATATAAATGAGGGCTGCTTGCGGAAATGTGTGTGGATGGATATGTCACATTGTGTGTTTGGTAGTGTGTGTGCTGTTTGGGGTATTGCATGTGGGGTTGTGTGCATGTATGTGTATTGCTAGTGGTGTTGCGTTTGTGTGGATTGTGTGTATGTTTGTGTTTGGGCTGTTCGTATTATTTGAACGAGGGAGGGTTATTCTGCAGCTCTGTGTATATCTAGCAGTGTGGGTGGCTTCCCTGGGTTCCAGTGGGGACCAGGCTGGCCAGGTACAGGTCAAGGACAGGAGCAGTAACAGCAGCTGCAGGCTGCTCTACTACGTTGTGGATTCCCATTCACAAGTGCTCGGAGGAAGTGATCTGAGATCATTTCATCTATGTGCTGCAATGCATAAATTGAGGATTGTCCTTCATCACCTTTTTGTATTAGCAGATATCTGAAGTTTCACTGGGACTTCTGATAGGCCAGAGCCTTTTTGGCTCTAGCAGCCTTGAATGCTGTGCAAAGACACCTTGAGTGCCGTGTATGGCACTAGTGCCGTAGGTTGCCTGCCCCTGGTGTAGAAGAACAAATTTACATTTATATACGATTGGCTGGTCAAACATCTTGCTAAAGGGAATATTGAAAAGGAGATTACTGAAATCAAAAACCAGTTTAATGCTACATAATGTCAATGCAGTAGCCTATCTAAAAGTAGCAATCTGTATGTCAGAGGACATTGCTTTGCATTTACGCTTGTGTATGTTGATTTAATTTGATTTTGTATTAAAGGTAAATAAGGATGCTTTGTGCCATTATGCAAAACTATTATTACAACTGCCTGAACTGTCTTTTTTAAATGTACTCTTTCAGTTCGCTAGCAGAGTTGAACTTCTCTTAGATTATACCCCTCCCTGTTTTTCCTACGTAAAAAGAAAATGTTCCTGTTTGCTTATTTTGTTGATGTAATAATTCCATGTGTACACTTTTTGGAAACATCTTAAGTAAATACTTACAATGTACTTTGTCATGTGTCATGGGAAGATTTTAGACAGATGTTTGCTACCATCTCCTGTTACGACAGTGGTTGTTAAAGGGACACTTCGGACATCTAAAGCATTGCTGAACTACTTTGAATAGTGTGTAATTTCTTATTTTATTTATTTGTTCTTCATTTTACAAAAATTGCTGTTTCTGTTGAAACTGGCACTTCTTTTTTTATAAATTATCCATGTTATACGCTCTGGTTGTCAGTTGGGCAACTGGTCCTATTACCTGCTGGTTTGTTTAGCTCAGTGGAGTTAAACTGAAGAGGCAGACAATTGCCTTGACCACCTGCATTGCAAAGACTTCTCATTGGGAATTTTGTGATTGAACAGCTATAGAAGGGGAGCAGAGCTGTTGCAAGCTGTTTTTAGATAACCCCATAATAAAAAAAAAACATGTATAATTAAAAGCATGCATGGTTTCATTTGGGGTGTATCTTTTTAAACAAAGATTTATTTTATTTATTGTATGGGGGCCGTATAGGGTCCCTTTAAACATTTATTTGGACATGGACACAATTTTGACCCTTTCTTCAGATGTAATGTTTAACAAAGCAAATTCTGGAAAATATTAGACCTTTCTTTATGAGAGGATCACCATTGAAATGAAGAAGGCAGTACTGCTGTGATAACCCTTACAGTTGCATGTGTCCTAATGAAAACTATGTATGTCATTGTGTCTGAGTTTTTAATTCTTTAGGGTCTTAACAAAAAGAACAGTTTAACATTGTGTTATGTTTCAAACTATATAAACCTTTTTTGTTTTGTTTTTCCCTGTTACTGCAGCGTGTATTGAGGCCTATCCTAAATCCAATGAGCAATATGCCTGTCAACTGGGCTGCCACAGCCAAATGCCTTTTGCAGAGAAGAGGCAGGAAGAAGTAAGTATGTCGTCCACTGATTTTAAACTTTGAATGCTGGGATGATTCTGAACTAACTATTGCTGTTCATAGGGTAGGCCAATTTCTTTGCTATTCTGAGAAAACGTGCATTTAAAAACATGTTGAATGTTAACAGGGAAAGGCACTTATTTTAAATAATTTTCTTTGTAAAGAAAGTGGATTTTAATTATCCTTCATGTGTGACTGGTTTGGGGTTTTAGAAGATCCTATTGGACAGTGACTGATCCCACTACGTAGCTTACACTGTACTGTATTTGGAGAGAATGTAAGAATGATGCTTTAGAGCAGAGAGCTTTATTCAGTAAGTAGGAAACTGTAGACAACTGACAAAGGAAATGCAACAGTGGAAATAAAGTGGAGTTTGAATTTTTTTCCTTCTCAGGTTATGTTGGCCTAAAGTTTACAGTTCCTTTGTAAAGTCTCCACAATTTCAGAAATGATTGCACCCTGGGAATTAAACTTTTGTTTTGAATGCTGTGTTTTTACAGTTGTCGCAGGGACATGCTTGAAAATTAGACATTATAAAAGTACACTATAAGCACGTTAACAGCTACAGCTTGCTGTCATCCTGGAATGCATCACCTGGACTGGCCGTGTCACTTTTGCTCAAGTTTGGTATTTATCGCATTTGCCAGGTGAAGGAGGTTGTGTGGCCTTTTGTTTGGAAGTGCTGCAAAGTGAAAATGCCTGCAAGCGACAGCAGTCATGTGTCTGAAAGATCCACAGTTGTTACCAAGTACCGCCTTCCCTCTCGAGGCTTAGAGCACTTTTCATCTACGTGCATCCACTTGTGGAAAGATGAGGATGACAGAGGGTGGCACGTTATATAGGAGGTGGGCAAGCAGTGCCTACAACCCAGTGCTTCTCTATGAGCGTTTCATTGGGGAATGCACAGCATTTAAATAGGATATTCTTTTTAAATGTCTTAGAGGCACAGACATCACTTGACAATTTTTGTTTTTTTAAAGGAACACTATAGTCACCTAAATTATTTTAGCTAAATAAAGCAGTTTTAGTGTATAGATCATTCCCCTGCAATTTCACTGCTCAATTCACTGTCATTTAGGAGTTAAATCACTTTGTTTCTGTTTATGCTGCCCTAGCCACACACCCCTGGCTATGATTGACAGAGCCTGCATGATGATAAAAAAACCGGTTTCACTTTCAAACAGATGTAATTTACCTTAAATAATTGTATCTCAATCTCTAAATTGAACTTTAATCACATACAGGAGGCTATTAACATAGCAGGGGATAAGAAAATCTTAATTAAACAGAACTTGCAATAAGGAAAGCCTAAATAGGGCTCTCTTTACAGGAAGTATTTATGGAAGGCTGTGCAAGTCACATGCAGGGAGGTGTGACTAGCGTTCATAAACAAAGGGATTTAACTCCTAAATGGCAGAGGATTGAGCAGTGAGGCTGCAGGGGCATGTTCTGTACACCAAAACTGCTTCAAGCTAAAGTTGTTCAGGTGACTATAGTGTCCCTTTAAACTAGCAAGCAAACAAGAAAAATGTTATATTCATTTTCACATTGCAGCACTTACAAACAAGAGTATGCAATAAATGTTTATAAACTTGACCAGATTGCATTGTTGGACACACCCTTCATGGCTAGGGGAGTTTCTTCAAGCTCACACCTTCTCTTTCAGCCATCCAGCTCAGTTTCCGATCAATCCACTAATTATACATTACATTCCTAGGGATAGGGTACTGGTTACATCAGTGTTCCCCCTGGAGTGGGCGTGGAAAGCATAAGAAGCAGAAACAGGTTAATAAAGAAGAATTTACCTGTGGAGTGAGGCAACTGTCTCATTCCAAGCTAAATGTTTTTTTAAAGAGACAATTGTCTGAAAGTGATGCATAAACTGGCATTTTCTAGCCTAGAGTTTTCCTTTGATTTATCTGCCTGCTAAAACTCGTTGTAATTAAATGTTTGTGTACTCTTTTAATAACTGAGAAAACATTGTAGCACTTGTTGAGATCTTTTAAAGATTGTGGGATAAAGTTATAACAAATCTGTAAGGAAATCTCCAAAACTCTGAAGTTCTCCATCATTGATAATTACATCTTTTTCGTTACAGCTCTCTGATATGGTCCCACGGATCCATATACTTTTCCCTTTGACTCTGGTGAAGACCTTCTGGGGAGACATGATGGATTCTGCCCAAAGCTTCATCACATCATCCTGGACTTTCTATGTCCAGGCAGATAATGGGCAGATTGTTGTTATCCAGGTATGAATAGCAGGAAAGGATAGTGTTAATCTACAGAAACCTTACACCTGGATTAAAGTGCATTTGATAGGTTTGGGCTTCATATTCATGTTGTTTTTTTCTCCTAATTTAAATCTCTTCAGTTTTTGTTAAAACAAAAAACAATAGTTGTTTGCTGCAGTGTAAATGCACATTTTTCCTCCTTTCACAAAACCACTTCCTTATTAGGCATACTCTGAGTATGTACGCAGATTAACCAAAGAGAGTTCTATGTGAGCTGAGTTGCTGATGTGACTCTGCCCTAGAGCCATTGCTGTCCACTTGTCACCTGCCCTCTTTCCACATAGCATGACTTTAAAATAATTACAGATAAGAACAGTGATTACATGTGGGGCAAAGGTAAGTCAGCATCTCAGTGCACACTGATCTCTCACTGGCTGAGCTACACTATTTACCTTCCAATCAGGAAGATGTTTGATAAAAAGGGGAGATGTGGCTAGGTACTTTGAAAATGTTTGTCTCTTTTTTTGGGGGCTTTTTTTTTCCCTTTTAGATCCATAAAATTTAAACCTGACATACGCGAGTTTTACATTTTACTAATCTGTGTATCTATCTATTTATTATGCATGGCATTTCTGGTGGTATGAGTTTTTGTACCATACCAAGTATGGGTCAGGACCAAGTGAACTAGGAGGTATATCGAGACAATATTACTCTGTTCCAGATTAAGAGTTCTTTGTCAGCCGCGCAAGAGTTAAACATATAGTGCATGTATAGGAAGCTGATGCTCTGGGGAGATTTCTCTGGCACTGAGAATCTCATTACCTTCTAAGAGTCGTGTGTCCTGCTGTTCTCCATTGTTTTCCATATGTTAGAGCAATTGAAAAATAAAATATATATATTCTTTGCTTTGTTTAGACGCAACCAGAAATTCAGCACTTTGGCCCGTTACAACCAGGAAATCCACCAATGGACCTGATGCTGGAAAAAATACCATGTAAGTTATGCCTTTCTAGCACACAGATTTTGCATATAAAAATATTTTACTGTAAAGCAGTAAAAGGCTGTTAGAGGGAATTTCATAATGTATGAGTTTAGCATTTTATTAGCTCTCTTTAGTAAGTGTATACCGACAATTTAAATGTTTGTTTTGCCTTAGAAACATGACAGGTACAATACCAATTATAGGATATAGTATTTCTGTGTGAAATTACAAAGTTGCTTTTCAACCTGTACTTGCTGTGTTGAATGCATCTTTCACATTCTACTTATCCATAGGAAGTAATCATGGATTAAATGAGGGAAGGTGGATCAATTTAATTTTGTCATGTTTAAGTTTCTGTCCTTGACGTTTTCATTTTTAGTTTTTTTTGAGGTTTTCTCTTACACTACATGGAGTACAATTATGTAAAGATAACAAGTGTTTTTATTGTCTCTGCAGCAGATCTGGCACCTGGTGAATCTATAGGAGATGGACCTTGGAACCACAGAGCTGGTTTTCTAAGCTTTGATGGTGGAGATCGTATTATGAAATGCTTTTCTATGTATGTTTTTTTTGTTGGTTTTTTTTTGTATTCTGCACATGTTTTCTCAGATAGGTTGCCTGTGAGTGTATCACTGTGCATACCTTAACCCGTCCTTACCACTGATAGCAGTGGAATGATTTGCACAATTGTATGATTTCATAGAAAGAAAGTGTACTGTAGACAGATTTGAATTTATTTTACACCTTCAAGGTATAAATGTATTTTTACCTCACTACTTTTACAAAAATTTTTTTTAATTCTGCATGAGCTTATAACTAAAACCACTGAATTGGGGCATTTCCTTTTTATATATGTTGCAAATTCATCTAAGACAGACTGTGAACATGGTCTATCTGTTCAATTTTAAAGGGGGAGAGTATTTACTTTATTTTTTTATACTGTTTGTTTATTCACTAAACAGCAATTTGTGACTAGAAAACCAAATGGCAAGATTTAGGTTAAAATGTAGAAGCTATGACTATAGCTTAGTTCCAGAATTTCTTCAAATTGACTATTTTGTTTTCATTTTGTAATTTAGTCTTCGTTTTCCTTCTTAGTGAATAAACACCAGTGATATTCGGCATGGAGATATTTTATTATTTATATTATATTTTCAGAGATAATCGGCTAGCGTAAATGCTGGTTTTATTGTCTGAGTTGTAGCATCCAAACCTTGTACAGCATCACAAAGCATTAGCACAAACTAATGGCAATAGATGGCATGGCACTAATCAGTGATGTTAATATTTCTGGAAACTGTCCGTGTTGAAATCACAGTTGCAGTAGAATTTATTTGTGAAGCAATATGTAATTGTGTTTATTTTTTTTTCATATTTTCAAAATGCTATGTAAAAATACGCCTTTTTTTCGTGTTCTTTCTTTCCCGTCTCTGTCTCTTATTTTAACTTTGTTTGTTTATACAGGAATTCAAACTGGCTTCTTACTGCAACTTTAATCCTGTCTGTCATGGTGTTGCTTTGGATGTGCTGTGCCACAGTAGCTACAGCAGCAGAACAGTACATACCTTCCGAGGTAAGCGGAAAATGGAATAGTTATGTTTACACATATAGGTAAATTCTACCATCAAATAATAATTATTTTATTTATTTTTTAATACATAATACCCTTCCTGTCATGCATTACAACTGCAGCCTCTATTCAGTCAGCCTTTGAATACTGTATCTCCAGCTTCTAGCAAGCTAAAGCTATATGAACCTTTGCCACCCAAAAATGGTTGTCTGCTTCTATTGGCGTTATAGTTTGCAAAGTGCTGAATACACTTGTTAATATGTATTGTCCTTTTGCTTGCAATAAGGAAGGAGTGCTAAAAAAAACATTTCTATTACAGAAACTGAGTATCTATGGGGATATGGAGTACATGAATGAGCAGAAGTTGTACAATTACTCACCCACGTCTCTTGTGGTCGTCCACGGCAAACCTGAAGCAAATGAAGAAGCAGGACCTCTACCAGCAAAAGTGGACCTTTCACAGTCAGCCATATAAGCTTAGTGGTCCTACTGCCTTTTTCCATTCTTCTTTCACCCCAAAACCGGAGTGACACCTGCAACATCGGGATTCTTTTTAAAAGCCGAATAAAGGACAATTGTTTAGAGTCTTGAGTCTCATGGTGGATGGGAAAGTTGGACTTTCTGGCCTCTGTGCTTTGCTGTAACTGGCTTTAGTGATAAAATTTTCTTTGGGGCTCGGTATAATTCTATAAATCCTTCCCTAATAAGGGTGGTTGGCACATTATTTTGTTAATCTGCACCCCGATATGAAGTCTGCAGGAAATTACTTCCAGAATTCGATGCAAATGTTTGTTTTTTACATGTCCCTGTTTTGCAAATGGAATCATTTCACAGCTGGAAGTTTGTACTTTTATATCTATATATAGTCAATATTTAGATAATCTGACAACCAAGTGGCGATGCAGCAGTTAAGCCAGTGTACAGATCTGGGGTTTGGTGATGAGGATAGTTATTGCACACTAATTTTACCAATAGAAAGGGCATTTTCTAGCCTTGAAGGAATAGACTGTGTAATCTATGTCATTAGAATCGAATGCTTATTCTCTTGAAAATCCTGCATATGAAGGATTCTCTCCTATTATTCTATTTAACAAGTGCATTTCCAGGCATTATTTGAAGTTAAGTAACGGTTGAGTCTTTTTTTCTGAAATGTCCATACTGGTAATAATAAACTATATATTTCTTTTTATGAAAATAGAAAAGGTGTTGACTGAACAAGAGTGGCTTATTCCAATTGGTGATTAATTCTGCAACTGTAGACACATGTAAACATCAGCTGGTGTTTAATTGAGGGTTAAAAAAAAAAAAAAGCATTACAGTGGGTAAAATGGAGATCTAAAATGTGTTCTTTTTTCTGGTTTCCTTTGTAGTAGGCAAGCTTTAAAGGTTGTAATGTTCCTATGGATTTCTAAAAGTAATTTACTGTAAACTAAGTATAATTCACCTAGAGTAAACTGGGATGTAGGAATTTGGAGCATTTGTTTTATGGGTTGACTGATGTTTAATTTTACTGTTTTCCTATAATAAAATCTTACTTGATTAAAACTAACTTTGTGCAGATTTGTTTTTTGTTTATCCCCCCCCCATGTATTTGATATGCTGATAACTACAGACATGCATATATGTTGCTATCTTTTCACGAAATTACAAGTTATGGCGACTTAAACATTCAAAACTATGATAAAATAACAGAATTGGAGAAAAATCAAATACATTTTGTATTTTATTTTTTTATGTTTTTTTTTAGTTTATTTTTTATGGCCTACAACCTTGTACGTTCCCTCAATTTTCTGTATAGTGAATTAACTAATATATTGGACAAGGAGGATAAATAATATATATCCTTTTGGGAGAGTAGTAGAAATGAAACTCAGATGTTAATGATATTGTATCCGTGGTCCTCGTGTTGTGGTAGTTTTTTATTTCAAATACACTCTCCTCCTTTACTGTGTTTATTCCCTTTATTTTTTTTCATATACTTACTGGCACCATGAACGATCACTGTACTTACAGACATTGGCGAAATGCATCCACAAAACAAAAAAAATGACGGACCAATATTTCAGTGAAAATTTAAACAGGGGGCGGGGTCTGACCGCCGAGCTGCATGAACCGTGTGCTCCGCGCAAGAACTCTCTAAAAGCTAATAAATTGAAATCTTTCCCCTGGCAACTACGTTGATTCAACACAGTAGAGTGCAGGGACAACCTGGATCTCAGCACTGGAGGATTTGGAACCCGGTCGGACAAGCTGAACCCGATAGTGAAATTGCGGCCTAAAGTTGGAGGTGAGTGTAGGAGAAGCGGCCGATCTCCCTGCTACCAGACCAGCTGGAAAATGCCAAAACCGGTGGAAACCCTGTTTGTGTGTGTCCCCACCCCCACCCCCAGCCGGTGGGGGTCATCCCAGCACATATCAGTCACCTGCGGAACCACGACATCCATCAGCCCCTGATGCAAGCACATAGCAGTGTACACGGGGCCAAGATGGCGTCTGCTGATCCTGCTGCAGAGACACACAGTCTACTAAAGCCACTCGAACAGCGACTGGACGACCTCTTCCGCAGAAGCTGCAGAGCAGAAAGGACCAAGCCTTAATGGAGCAAGAGGGACAAGCAGAGCAGAGACACCTACCTCCTGTCAAACTGCACCTAGCGGCTGACAGCGCCTGAGTGTGCGAGACCAGCAAGGAAAAAACCACGTCCTGCAAAACCCAAAGCCCGCTGCTGGCCTGCCGCCTTCCTGGGATGAGGAGCCGAAGGGGTAACACCCGATTGCCTAACCCACTTACTTGGAAGGTACTACCTGCCGCCAAGACCTCCCGGGATCTCTCTTGCGGCGCTGAGAGCAGCTGGAGCGGAGGGACATGGGCTCCCATGGAGGCCTGGGGCTGGCGGAGCGACCAAATTTGGACTACCGGGACACTATCTCTATCCTCCATCAAGCTGGTCAGCAAGGGTATAGGGTAACGGCATGGTGCACCAGGGCGGGAGGGACACGCTCACACTGTAACCAACTATAACTGCTCCCCCTTAAGTCATTTTGTTTGCCTCCCTATCCTTCTATCTGCCTAACAGGTTTATTATTGCTGCCAGAAGGAATTAACCTTCCCATGCAATCTATGTCCCCTATGTTTCTAATTGCTTACTGCTTCTCCATGCCAGGACCTAGACAAACCTCACTAATTGACAGGGCTGTGTTGCCTCACACTAGTAAACTAATGCTAAACAACCTATTTCTGTCAAGAGGGCAGACTATACATGCTAATCATCAGCCATTCGTTAAACACATAAATTTTTCTAAGCCATATGTCCGCTAGTTTAGCCTGTTTAATTTAATACCTTTTAATGAAGATCCACGGACGCAGCAAACTACACTTGTTTATACTACCTATACGCAAAAAAAATGCCATGTATGTGATTTACTATGTTATAAATGCGCTTACACATGCTGTTGTGGCATCTTAAGATGTTTTGTTACCCCATGCACAATAAAAATAAAGAATAAAAAAAAAAAAAAAATTTTTCGTCTGGAAAATTATAAATAGCATACAAACCCCCACAATCCACTCCCAACCCTCCACTGTCAAAATTGACAACCAAACACTGCAACACCCCCTAGATGTAGCAAATGCCTTTAATAATTATTTTGTTGGCTGTGCTACCACCCTGGCTGCGAAGATAACAAATGACGCTCATTTTCATACCACAAATAAAGATCAGGCCCTGCCAAATCTTCAAAATCAGTTAGAGGAATTCAGTTTTAGAACTGCGCCTGCTAGTGTCGTTAGTAAACATCTTAAAGGACCACTCTAGGCACCCAGACCACTTCAGTTTAATGAAGTGGTCTGGGTGCCAGGTCCAGCTAGGTTTAACCCATTTTTTTATAAACATAGCAGTTTCAGAGAAACTGCTATGTTTATTAATGGGTTAAGCCTTCCCCCTAATCCTCTAGTGGCTGTCTCATTGACAGCCACTAGAGGCGCTTGCGTGCTTCTCACTGTGATTTTCACAGTGAGAGCGCGCCAGCATCCATAGGAAAGCATTGTAAATGCTTTCCTATGTGACCGGCTGAATGCGCGCGCAGTTCTTGCCGCGCGTGCGCATTCAGCCGGTGGGGAGGATCGGAGCAGGAGAGAAGGAGGAGAGCTCTCCGCCCAGCGCTGGAAAAAGGTAAGTTTTAACCCCTTTCCCCCTTCCAGAGCCGGGCGGGAGGGGGTCACTGAGGGTGGGGACACCCTCAGGGCACTATAGTGCCAGGAAAACGAGTATGTTTTCCTGGCACTATAGTGGTCCTTTAATGTCAAGGGCAACAAATCACATAAATAACCCAGCAAGACAAAACACTCACATATACACAGGCCAAATATATATCTCAATTAAATCCTAATTAAACCGTTGTCGGGGTGTCTGGGATGAAGGGCAGTGTTTTAATATGGCAGTCCTTCGAACAAGACCATGACAAAAAAATTTGTGCAAGGGGGTATAATTGCCATCTATAGGTTCTCTATTAACCTCAACCATGAGGTCAGCTTGTCTTGGGATACCTTTGAAATGCCCATATCCATTTTTAACTGAAATTTGAGTTGTTTTTTCTTTTTATTCTTTATTTTTGGTGCAATGGCGTTTACAAACAAGCCTGAGGTGCCACGACAGCAACAGTGCAGACAAAATCATGACGATATGCATTTGCACATTTTTTGATATGATAGGTTGTATACGTAATTTAATTTGTTGCAGTTAAGATGAGTGTAACGACGTTTGTGAGATATATTAGTAAGAGGTGTCTAAGAAACAAATTACAAACTTTGCCGTGATATGTGTGTCTCTGTATGATGGCGTTGGTATGGTACTTGCTTGTGAGAGATACACTTGAGTGGTGCCAGGCAGGCGGACTCAGTTTCCCTAAGTGATTAAGTGACAAGCTATTTGAGTGCATGACTGATGCATGCAATGTAGCATTACACTAGTGTGAGAGTCGTATTGCATGAATGTTAACTAAATAAAAGCGGTCAAACAGTAAATAAAAGCGGTCAAGCAGTATATAAAAATGGTCAAACAGTTTATATTTCTTTAGGGTACTGCTTTGTTGGTGAGTCTCTGATTAGGAGGCTGTAGTGTGGCACAGACAGCGTCTGTTGTAGCAGAGGATATGATTGTGTACCTCTGCGGATCCCGACATGTGAGTTCGCTGTTAGCCTATGCCCTGTACTGGGACGGGCTTTTGGGATACTTGTAAGTCCTGTCGGGGCATGGCTAGGTGCATCGCCGCTGGGTCCGGTAGCTGGCTCGCCCATCCGCCGTTGTGGAGGCTTGCTTCGATGACATAGGTAAGTCATGTCCCCCTCTGGTACCCTGAGACTCTCCGCGATGTCGGGTGGGCTTGGGGTTGTTTGGGGAATTTGCCAGTAGTTGGTTGCGTTGTGGGTCTTGGCATATTGCCTGGTCTGTGGGGAGCCTGCAAGCTGCTTCGGGAAGGCCTCTTAGTGCGGCGAGTCCTTGCCTGTTTATGGGAGGGCGGGAGGGGTCTTCTTCTCCAGCGCCATCTTGTAGGTCCCATCGGATGGTCGGGGCGTGTGGTTCTGGTGGGTAAATGTGGGTTCTCCATTGGGTGAGTGTATTGGTTCTGTGGCCTTTCGTTCTCTGTTCACCAGCTTCACCCAGAAGGCGTCAAATAATGCATCAAGCTTGACCTGCATGTGGTACCTTGCTGTGAGGTAGTTGTGATCCCAGGTGGCATCCGCCATTGTATAGGCCCTTGTAGTGAGGGGTTGTCTGAGAGGTTCCGCTGTCAGTGCTCGACTGAGCTCCACTGCCTGGAGGGGTTGGACCGGGATCACCCCCGCTGGTCCTGGGGGGGGGGAGTGGGTAGGCTGTAGCTTTTTTACCTCCGGCGTAGGGGCGAGGAGAGCGGCCGTCTCCCCCCAGCTCCGTCCACCGCAGGCCTCGGCCTTAGGTTCTCGATTGCGGGATATGCTCGAGTTTGGTGTCGGTTGATTCACCAGGGAGCTCCCAACATGGGTAGCATGCCCCTGCATCGTTTCAGGCTTGAAAAATGAGAGTTTTATCCCTATAAACAGTTTGTGTGGAGTGAGCTCCTCCACCATGCGGCTGTTCTGCTTGCAGGTCAGGCCCTGCCCCCGAGTTGTTTTTTTAACCAGAGGCCAATAGGGAACCGAAGGAGGATTCCAATATCTAGCCACCAGCATTTTTGCGACCACCAATATATGAATGAACAAAGCGTTGAAATGACCAAATATTTGTTGAATATTTAGCTGTGATAAAAATAACCTAAGGTGGAAATCAATTATCCAATTAGTTATTGCTTGAATTTTGGTCCTAATCATACTCCAAAACATCTGCATGGGTAAGCAATCCCACCAGATGTGCAGAAACCCTCCTCTGTTGATTTCACAGAGTGGAGTACATATTATTATATCACTGTACCTGAATTGAATTACTGTCCCATCCCATGAAAAGGACCTGGAAGACCAAACCCATGATCTGTATATAGATCTATACATCCTGTCTAATGCCATAGGATGCCCATTCCCGCTGGTACTAACAGGGATACATTTCCCCTTTTCTTCCCTCTGGGCTCTTTATTTACCCATTAATAATATTTTTTTCTATGGAACGCGTTGGTGCTATGATTTTTTTTAAAGTTAGCTCAGGGATTCATCATCGAATGGCTCATGAAATATTTGGCCCCATTTTGTTGATAATTCAGAGAAAGTTTTCGTATGGCTCAATTTCACTTCCGTTTGACAATGTAATTCATTTCAAGAACCAAATTTATAGTAGAGGATTTTGGGTCACCAAGATATGACTGGACTTGTTTTTTGTTTGCTATAAATTGATTTCCCATTCATCAATAGTGAAGAGATGTCCTAAAACAAAATCTACAATCAAACTGCTGCTTTAGAACCAGACCACCTTACCAGTATGTGTCCCCAGGTAAGACATTGAATGATATATATATGAGCGAATCTCAAATCCTCATAGACTGTAAGCTTGTTTGAACAGGGCATTTTTTTACCTCTAAATATCCCATTTCTATAATGGGGAAGCTGCTATATAAATGGTAAATAATAATATAGAGGTTAAAAGGCTTAAAGTAAATTATCAATATAACTTATGCAAGCTAGAATTCAACGTCAATAAAACATTAAACACATTTAAAATTTACTTTAAATGATGGCAAGAATAAAATTTTTTAAAAAGAATGAACGAGAATAAAAAATACCAAGGAAACAAAAAACCATACTAGCAATGAAGACTTTTTATATATTGCCTTTAACTTCTTACTGAGCTAATTACTAGTCTAACCAGATAACTTTACAAGGTGACTAATTGTGTACATGACACTGTCCAATCCCCTCAGCTACTGATTTCTTTTTTACTTGTTACCTGGTAACTGACTTCTGTTACTCTACACACACACCTTGCAAGTTCTCAGACTTTTTACAAGGACTCGTTCAAAGGAGGATTTCAAGGGGAAACTATAACCTAATTTCGAATCACAGGCTGCTTCACAACAATTCAGAATGATGAATAAAACTTACCCCAAGGTGAGACGGCACAATCAGTGCAATAAATATGCTTATTTAGATAGGGGGGAAACAATATTAATAATTTATAATGATGTAGCATTGCTTTAAAGGACATGGGCAGGTGAGGATGTACTTCTGTTGTTTGACAATTCTAAAACTAATTAAGGATTGTTAAACAATGAAACTCCCCTATATGATAATGCACTACACCTCCCAAAATTCTTGGGATGCAATAGACAGACAGATAATCATGGGAGTTGTAGTAGAACAACATTTGGGGGAGCTAGACTACCCTGTCGTAGATGGTGGTTAAAACAACTTGGCAGTTGCAGTAGATCAGTCTGTGCTATAGATAAATGTTACATTTTGAACTGTAGACTATATTAATGGGGGTATCAAAACATGTCCTTTGGGAGTTGCACCCAAATTAACATTTGATCATTTAGCATCCTGCTACAGGACTTTTGATATGCAATGTGCTAATTGTAAAGGTTTGAGACTATAAATTGTCTCATTGCCAGAGGGGCAATGATATGGGGGGAGGGGGGGGGAAAGATCCCAACCTTGTACAAAGTGACACTTTTGATACATTATACTTAAAATATGACTTGACAGACGTTTGAAAGCATGGACATGAATTTTGGATTAACCAACTGTCAAAGATTCGAAAGTTAATAAAAAAAAAAAAATTTCGTTTGTTATTAGAGAAAAAAAGAGGACATCTTTATGTCAAACCATAATATGACTTGACAGAAGTTTGGAATAGCCAACTGTCAAAGATTCCAATGTTAATAAATTGCTGCATTACATTTTTCTTTAGAGTTTGTTATCATTACAAAACAGTGGACATTTTAATTGATCATGCATGGATTATCTGGAGAGCAACAGTAAAGTTAAAATAGTTTACAGACAATGTATACCTTTCTGGCATAATATACCTAAAAGTATGGCATTGAAATGTGGCCAAGTGTGTAATATAAAGCCCCGTTAGATATCAAAATCCTTCATATCTGATAGATCAGAAAATGCTGGAATGAGGTGGACTATGCGCACAGTCAAACTAGCATGACTACAAAGTGTGTTTGATAAAAAGGAATGGTTATGATTTAACAACTAGATTGCAAACTTTAGGTTGTAAGAGTCAAGTTAATAGAAAAGCTGAAGTGGAATTAATTTTGTCTTTAAAGGACCACTCTAGGCACCCAGACCACTTCAGCTTAATGAAGTGGTCTGGGTGCCAGGTCCAGCTAGGCTCAACCCATTGTTTCATAATTATAGCAGTTTCAGAGAAACTGCTATAATTATGAATGGGTTAAGCCTTCCCCCTAATCCTCTAGTAGCTGTCTCATTGACAGCCACTAGAAGCGCTTGCGTGCTTCTCACTGTGAAAATCACAGTGAGAGCACGCCAGCGTCCATAGGAAAGCATTGTAAATGCTTTCCTATGAGACCGGCTGAATGCGCGCGCAGCTCTTGCCGCGCGTGCGCATTCAGCCGGCGGGGCGTAACGGAGGCGGAGAGGAGGAGGAGAGCTCTCCGCCCAGCGCTGGAAAAAGGTAAGTTTTTACCCCTTTTCCCCTTCCAGAGCCGGGCGGGAGGGGGTCCCTGAGGGTGGGGGCACCCTCAGGGCACTATAGTGCCAGGAAAACGAGGATGTTTTCCTGGCACTATAGTGGTCCTTTAACCCTATATTTGGCAACATTTTGGAATCCTTTAACCAATTTGCCATAATATTTTGTAAAAAACAGATACAATTCTTATCTTGTAATACCGTTTTTATTGAACTAACAGAATGTTTTAATGACAAGCTTTCGGGAGAACCTCCCTTTCTCAAGTCTAAAGCATTTCTGAGCAAGACGACACATAGAATTCAAAGTTGAGTTGTGATACAGGGGTTAAAGCGACATGTGCAGATAAGACACAGGTTTGTTAGAAATGTACCTTCTGATTTCAAAGATTTCCAAGGTTTCACTTTTCAGATGAAAACACTTTAATAAATCATCCTCCGTGGTGTGGTCAATCTTGCAGATTGTTTGAAAGACATATAATGGCATATGGTGTTTTTCTATATATTGTGTTCTGTCTTCTCCTTCGGGATCTGTAGCTGCAGGTCAGGTAGCATCAAATATTACTAGATTATTACAGGTTGGTACTAACTTGATGTGTCAAATTCTAAATAAGCAGTGGAGTAACATACCGGATGAGAATGTCCCCCTGGGCAGCACAGAGTTGAGATAAGTATGTCCTGCTAGATTAGAAATCAAAGCACATAGGAATAGAAGTGAACTGTTTTTTCAATTTTTCTACTGATAGCAAAAAATTTAATGAATCAAGCACTCATGCAGTACCAACTGTACATATTTACTGGAGTCACACCAAGAACATTTAGGTCCACTCATGGCTTTTCTTGAGAAAGTGGGAACTACGTGAGTTACTTGATCCTTTTTTTTTTTCATATAATTTATGTGGATTGGAGTTTGCTGTCCATGTTCTGCCATAGTCCCGTTTAAAAAACATCTGATGAGTGCTGTCCCTATTTTGTTCGGTGTTACTGCAATTCTTCTAGCATGTGTTTATTTTAAAAAATGTTAAAAAGGTAAACCAAAGCAGTATTAAACAGAAGGCCCATGGTTAGACTGGGACCCCAGAACCATGAATTTGCTTGGCTCAATTCACCATCTCTATGTAAAAAATGAGGAGGGAGACTCCAAAACAGAAACCTGCCTCTTAAGGAAACCAGATATAAAATTACTTTAATGTTCTTCACTTATACACCATGATTTCTCCAAGGCATCTTTAAAAGGCCTTGTAGCCTATATCATCTCCACATTGTTATCTCATTGCATTCCTTTATTTCTTCCATTAATGTAACATGCAAACACTCGCCTCCATTCAGTGCTGTTTATCTATAGAGCTTTTTATGTTTATTTTTCCCTAGGATAGAGAATTTGACAACAGTTCATTTGGTTCTTCAGAGACTATGCTTCCAAGAAACGAAAAAGGTAAAAAGATTTTGCCATACTAAACAAATGCGTGAAAGAGCTGTCAACCTAGTGAATATAAGGGAAAAATTACAGGGAAACTCTGGGGTAAAAATCAGCCCCTATTTATTAATGCATTCTATAGACAATACGTTAAATTAAAAAAGAAAAAAATGCACACTTTTAAAGTTTCATTTGATTCACTGTTAAGTAAGCCTGCTTGTAGTTATAGGCAGACTCTTTGTACTCTTTGTAACCAGAAAGATACTTTTATACTGATGAATTGGTCTGTGAACTATTAGCAGACACAGAGGGGCCACTATCAGTTCAATCAGTTCACTCCTAGCGAGGTTTATTCTTTAGAGCTTAGTCCAAGTTGTTTGCAAAAGGTGAACTAAACTGATAGCAGACAGTCAAGATTGGAACGAAGAACCACTGGCCCCCAGTGCAAGAATAAAAAAGGATCCCCCTCATTGATCCCGTGCTAAGGAGTACACCAAGTGGTATGTGTGTAGTGGCTGTAATTTTGGTGGTTGTGAATGTGTGATACATATGTGTGGAGTTGGCGGATTGTGATTGTGAGTGTAGGGCTGGCTGAATGTGATTGGGTGTGAGGGCTGAGTGTGATTATGTGTGATGGCTGGTTGAGTGTGACTGTGTGAGAGTTGAGTGTGTTTAAAAAAAAATAATAATATTATATTATCTTCAGGGGCGTACCTAGAGCATTTGGCACCCGGGGCGGATCCTGTGCTTGCCCCCCCCCCAACCCCAAAAAAACAAAACAAAAAAAAACCTGTAAAAAATGTTAAAGGTTTTCTTTAATTAATCCATACTCCTTAATTAAACCATACCCCTTAATTAATCCATACCCCTTAATTAATCCACACTAATTCATCCACACACCCTTAATCCACCCCCCTTAATTGATACACACACCCATAATTAATCCACACTAATTAATCCACCCCCCATAATTAATCCACACTAATTAATACACCCCCATAATTAATACATCCCCCCTTAATTAATACACCCCACTTAATTAATACACCCCACTTAATACACCCCCATAATTAATCCACCCCCCTTAATTAATCCACTACCATAATTAATTCCCCTTAATTAATCCACCCCATAATTAATCCACCCCCCCATAATCCACCCACATAATTAATACACCCCCATAATTAATACACCCCCCATAATTAATACACCCCCCTATGATCACGAAACGCGTAAGGCGGTACTTAACATCGGTCCACAGGAGAGCAAGCTGGAACGCATCCAAAGCCGTAGTGGAATGCATGTGGCTGACAGGCAGCTTTCATACAGCACTCAATTGGGGGATCTTTTAGTCATTTATTATATATGTGTACATGTCAGACAGTTTTTGCTAATAAATCATATTTTTAATACCAGCTACCTGTTGGCTGCACTGTATAAATGACACAGTTCTCTACATTTTTCACTATAGTGGGGTCACTATCTGGTTATTCATTCTACTGATCCCCGAATGTATTGTTTTTTGTTTATATATATAATTTAAAACCCTTACTAGATCAATTATTCAGTTACTGTTTATTCCTCTTGCCCGTATATGGGAAGAATAGGTATAACGGGCTGATACAAACTATCCCTTTAGAATACTGTTGCCAATCTACATTTCTTTGAACGTTGTTGCTAATCCACTTATACATAGCATTTCTATCATTTCCACAGAGTCCTGCAACTACTATTGTTGATTCAATAGGTATCTAATTTATACATTCTCTAACCGCAGGTGGCGGCCATTTTAGCAGTGACACAGTGGTTTTGGTAACCATTTCAGGTCTCATAGCTCAACTTTTTTACCTATACACCAGGGTACAGTGGTGCCTATCTACTAAGTTGTTTTTATCTATATGTAAATTGGAGCAGTGCACTAAATAGAGACAGTACCGGACTGGGCCACCGGGAAATTTCCTGGTGGGCTGGGGCACCGGGCAGACAGCTGGTGCGGTTGCAATTAGGCTGCTGGCAGCCGGAGGGAGACCTGTGCTGTCTTTGCTCTGCTCCCCCGCCTTTACGTGCTACTTAATGAGACCGGGGATGGAATATGCTGTCATATTCTGACCCCGGTCTCATTAAGCTGCATGCTGGGGAGCAGAGACAGAACAGCTCCCTATTCACGCCTACTATTCGCGCAGCCAGCCGCCCGCCCTGCATGACCACCCAGCATGCCGCCGCACACATCCATAATCCTCCAACCTGCCACCCGCCTGAACGACCCCCAGTATGCCGCCCCCCTGCACAATCCCCTGGCCGGTCGCCCATGGGACCCCACAGGTATCAATACAAGCAATAATGGGTGAGTCAATCTGTCAGTCTGAGTGTATGGGTCTGTCATGGTGTGTGTGTGTGTCTTTCTGTCATGGTGTATGTGTCAGTCATGGTGTATCTATGTGTGTGTCTGTCATGGTATATGTGTAGGTCATGGTGTGTGTCTGTCATGGTGTGTGTGTCATGGTGTGTGTGTGTCTGTCTGTCATATTATATGTGTGTGTCATGGTGTGTGCGTCTGTCATGGTGTATGTGTGTGTCTGTGTGGATGTTTAGGTTACCAGACCCCTTTCGTTCGCAAGGAAAGAGTGTTTTTACTCACCTTTTTTTTCCCCAAGCCGTGCTGGTCTCCCCTCAATTGGCCCTGCCTCTATGGCTGAGATCATCAGTTTACATACCCTTAAATGGTTGGCCTTGTTACAGACATACACAGGTTAAAGTGGCAATAGAAGGTTAATTTCTCACACCTGTGGCTTTTTAAATTGCAGTTAGTGTCTGTGTATTAAGAATCAATGAGTTTGTTAGCGCTCACGTGGATAGATACTGAGCCATAGGGAGCAGAAAAGCACTGTCAAAACACCAGCATAACAAGGTAATGGAACTTTATAAAGATGGAAAAGGATATAAAAGACATCCAAAGCCTTGAAAATGCCAGTCAGTACTGTACAATTACTTATTAAGAAGTGGACAATTAAACATATCACAGACACAGACATTCCTATGCGACCACTCCAGATGCTTCTTCACCACACACCGCTACCCATCTCAAAATATAAAAAGACATTAGTCAAACACCTACTGAATGCAGCTAAAACACTCATCCCTACGCGATGGCGCACCTCACAGGTACCCACCCTGCAGCACTGGATGGACAAGGTAGAGGAAATACACGGAATGGAACAACTAACCGCCGCATTATGTGGCACTACAGAAAAATACATGCAGGTATGGACTCCGTGGATACTACACATATCGGGTGGACCGACCCTGCAGCCTGCACCAGTGACCGATGCAGACCCGGAACATGGGCCGCACCGGGTGACGGGACCGTGAGGGATTATTTCCTGGCCCCGAGGAGGCATGCGGCTGGATGTCGGATCGTTTTGTGGGGAGGCCGCGTTCCCGGTGGCGAATGTGTCCTCTTTACCCCTTCCCTCCCCCTCTCCCCCCCTCAGATATGCCCCGACCCTTAGTCAAACATCTATGATCGGCCAGTCTAGTTGGTAGCTAATTCCTGACAATACAAGGAGAGATATGGGAATATAGGATGTCCACGGGCGCATAATGGGAGGCATAAAGGGTCCTAGACCACTCAAGTGGCTGACGGAAGATGGACCCTAGAAATTCACCTAGGTACTTAATCTACATCATACCGGTCACCAGACTAGGATCTCAAATCCCACCGTTATTGAACCCAGACGGACCGGAGACAGTACACCTAATAAGGCCTACTGATAGCACCGACAATTGAGATCTACTCCTAGAGCAGTTCCTTCCAATCCCCCCAGAGTTAAACCAACCAAGACCCCATATGATTATTCGATAAGCACATAACAGGACATGACGATGCTTAATACGCTGCTTAACCACGTCAGTGAGTTCACAACGAGTCCGACTACCAAGCACCACACTTGCAACCCATTATATGAGACCTCAGACACGCGTAGACAGACTACTTTCTAACAGCAAAATTCGACAGCCAAGCTTAGCATGTACACGTTAGTCGGACAGCTGTTACCCTATCGCAACCTCACGTTCACCGAATCTGTAATGTGGTGAGATTAACATGCCATGTCTGGATGTATTATTACCATACCTGCTTTGTTTTTTAATAGCATACCTACTCAGTTATACTGTATGCATGTAAACTAAAGTTGGTGCAAACACGGACTAACTCTTATACCATTGCTTGAAACATGGCTTGTGTTGTAGCGATAGGCGCATCTACCATAAGCTGAGGATGTACCATGTCGAAAAAGCTAAACTGTAATATGAGACCCCAAATGTGTTGGAAAACGTACACTCCCTTTTCCTCATTTTGTACCCCATTTCATAAATGTTTCAATAAAAAAGAGATTGACAAAAAAAAAAAAAGAAGTGGACAATTCAGGGATCTCTTGATTCCAACCCAAGGTCAGGTAGACCAAGCGAGATTTCAGCCACAACTGCCAGAAGAATTGTTTGGGATACAAAGAAAAACCCACAGATAACTGCTCTGGGAAAAGACTGTGTGGTTGTTTCAAGAAGCACAATACGATGATACTTGAACAAAAATGAGCTGCAAGGTCAGGTTGCCAGAAAGAAGCTTTTACTGCACTAATGACACACAAAAGCACGGTTACGAAATGCCTGACACAGCTTCTAGCACACTGTGATTTGGAGTGACGAGACCAAAATAGAGTTTTATGGTCACAACCATAAGCACTATGTTTGGATAGGGGTCAACAAGGCCTATAGTGAAAAGAATACCATCTCCACTGTTAGACATGGTGGTGACTCACTGATGTTTTGGGGGGTGTGAGCTCTAAAGGCATGGGGAATCTTGGGAAAATTGATGGCAAGATGAATACACCATGTTATTAGAAACTACTGGCAGACAATTTGCATTCTTCTGCATGAAGGCTGCGCATGGTAGGCACTTGGCCTTTCCAGCATGACAATGGTCCTAAGCACAAGGTTACGTTGACCCTTCAGTAGTTACTGCAGAAAAAAGGTGAAGGTTCTGGAGTGGCCATCACAGCCTCCTGACCTTAATATCATCGAGACACTGTGGGGAGATCTGAAATGTGCGGTTCATGCAAGACGACCAAAGAACTGGAAGCATTTTGCCAAAACGAATGGGAATCTATACCACCTGCAAGAATTAGGGGCCTCATAGCCAACTATTACAAAACACTGCACGCTGTCATTGATGCTATAGGGAGCAATACACATTATTAAGAACTAAGGGTATGCAGACTTTTGAACGGGGGTCATTTCATTATTTTATTTATTTTTTGTCATTCTTTGTTTTATGATTGTGCCTACAGTTGAATATGAATCCCATGAGAAATAAAAGAAATGTGTTTTGCCTGCTCACTCATACACAAGGGTATGCACACTTTTGAGCACAACTGTATGCTTGATAAATAAGGCAAAATTTTATTGTAACTTTCATAATAATAGACTTTAATTTACTATTAGTGTTCATTTGGTGGTGGGTGATATGTATCCATATAATGCATCTCTTGCATATAATATGTTTGGTGACAATTCCTCTTCATAGAGCTATTTTAGAATACACAGAACCTGCAAGATGGGTTTTCCCCAGGGTTCTGATTGTCTGATTGATGTAACGTTTCTGTCACGATTTCAGATTGCTGTAACACATGTACCCGAAGATGCGTATGTATAACCCTGGCCGTTCTGCTCGTGTTGATGGTTATTGCTGCTGCCATTGCATGCACAGTGACACTTGCCCTCCCGTCACGTACACCAGGTAACATTCCGTAACACATTGATGGGCTATTAGGTTTTTGTATGATTGTTATAAGCACCATGGATGGGGGCATTCTTTTAAATCTGATCTTACTTCTGAGACCTCAATATTATCGGACTTTACCTTCAGTTACTCCATCAGAACTTTAGTCCCACCATATCAGTGAGACCAATACGTTATATTGCCCTACCTATTCAGACGAACTCATATTTTCAAACTCAAAGCCAAAATTACACAATTTATGCCAGGCTATGCAAACTTTTGAGCACAACTGAACTCTGGGAAATAGAGGGTACTATTTCCCAACTTAATTATATTTATTTGATTGACCTTGGAAGATTGAAAACTGAGATGACCTTAAAAGGTTTTAACAGACATTACAGTGATGTCCAAACAAGCTCATCAGATTTTTGCTGGTTTACCTCTGTTGTATCTGTAATGCATTGGCAGCATAACCTTCCGTTTCATGTTTTTAACTATTGGCGCAATCCTTTTCCTGTATTTATTTGTTACCTAATCTACCCAACCACCCAACTTGCAGTTCAAGTTTTTAACTATTGGCATAGCCCTTGTCCTGTATTCATTTGTCACCTGATCTACCCAACCACAACTGTGTGGATGGGTAGCTCAGGTCCCATTGCCCAGTTTGTACCACCACATAAGGAAAAGTCAAAATTAGGGACATTGTGGGCAGATTGTTAGTGGAATGGGGTATGAGCGGAACTGGGGCCAGGTTCAGACAGTATTTCATTTACTCATATCCACACTTATCTCCATTTTGTCCATACCTTGGATATCCAAGCTCGATCCACAACATCTCTTCTTAATTAACATTTCTGGTTGAAGATGCGGATAAGAATGGAGGTATTTTTATTATTTGTGTCTAGTTTTTCTGAGATGTAAATATGATTATTGACAAGGAATCCATACAAAGGTTTAAATGTAGCCTGAATCCAACAAGCTGAGCCGGTTTTGGAAATCAGTTGAGGTGTGTTGAATCTTTTGATTTTCTCATTTTAAGTAACCTTTCTCTTGGTTTCCGGGTTAGTGGTCATAGGGTTTGAATGTTGCATTCTTTAATGATAAATAAATATAATAAACACAAAAAAACTCCTTTATTCAATTGTTTATTTTGATTAAAACTGTAACATTTGGAGAATGAGAGTGAACCTGTATTATGGACTTCCTAATTCCAATTGAATACATAAATATCCTTAAAGGGAAACTATAGTGCCAGGAAAACAGGTGGGTGAGAGCTGCAGCCCAAATATACTTTTAAGCAGCCAACCTTGTCTGGTACAAGTTAAGGTAAAAAAAGGTTGGCGCCTTTAAATTTATATTACTGATTTCCCTCCTGTTAGCTGCCTCACGCTGCGATCCACAATTCAGGGCATGAGCCCTGAGTGCGAGTTTACCGCTACACAAGCAGCGGCCACTGCCCTGCACCTAGCACGCGCTGCTCCTATTGAAAACTACTCGATACTTACCCACCGGTTTCCACTCCATCACACCCCATGAGGCTGCTTCCCCTGTGTGCACCTGCCCAACATTTGTGGCAGAATTACTGCTGAGTTAACTGTGAGACAGTTCAGCCTACTCTTTGTTAGACGCACTGGGTTTAACCGGAGATGAGTCTGCATAGGCCCCACATGTCCTGTAGTGTCTTTCTACAATGCCTTACCCCAAGGATAGGCAACCTTTGGCACTCCAGGTATTGTGGACTTCATCCCCCATAATGCTCTTACACCCATAATGCTGGCAAAGCATCCTGGGAGACGTAGTCCAAAACATCTGGAGTGCAAAAGTTGCCTATGCCTGCCTTACCCTATAAGAACATTTCCCTATAAGAATCTTTGGTTAATCTGTGTCAGCACTAGTTGTAAAAAATTCCATTGATCTTTGTTCCCAGAGAGTCGCCTATGTACAACAGGTAATTATACCGGATTTCTGTGTGATGACAGAATCACCTGCCTATTGCCATCACAAGTCTGTGATTCCAGCAATGACTGCGGAACTGGAGAAGACGAAACTACATCCTTATGCAGTAAGTAAAACCTCTATCACAGAAATAAATATGAATAAAAGATTGAATCCCCATAATACAATGTTATGTCAGAGTGTATCCATCCCTATGTGTATTTTCTAACTGTACGTCATGCTGTGTGGTCTTTTAATATGTTGGGGATTGATATATGATCCTTCATGGTATTGTAATGATCGATGTTCTTATTTCATCTTGCACGATATTACATAATTTATAACGTCTCGGTATGGAGTATGGGTTGTTATGGAAATTGTATACTGATCTGATTTAGGTTTATAGTATGTGTGTGTCATGGGAGAGAGAATGCCATACAAACGAGGATGGGTTGCAGGATGGGGGTGAGAAGATACTGAGTTCTGTCAAAGACATTCCAAAACAACTCTATGTCTACCTTCATGGCCCAGCTATTTTAAGGAAAGTTTAATAAATAAACTCTTCTTTGTCTTTGTGGAGACTGGTTTATGCTAGTTTGGTTAAAGGGGAACTTGAATAAACCATTTAAAAATCACATATAACTTGAGTGATCTTTTAAATTTCTATTAAATTGTTAGTAAATTAAATAATAAAATAGAGTATAAAAGACAAAGTCAGGGCGAACATTACAAATAAAGAGGATAAATAGAAAAAAAAAATTTATTTTCTCTTTTCTCTGTATGCTTTCTCTATACTGACTGCCAGGGGCAATCTGCCCTCTTATAATACAGTAATGACTGACAGGGAGCTAAGATGGAGGCGTCCAGGTGCAGAATAACATTTTGTGTATTTATACATTCAATTACATTTTTTCACACCTTGCAAAAAAAATATTTGTTAAATATAGGGATAAGTAAACTTAGTATTAAAAAATTCATGGAGGTGACAGTTTCCTTCTAAAGCAGAGCTATTAATAATAATGGAACCACACACCTACAGTCACCCTGAATTCTTAATTCCAGAAACACAATAAAAAACATACACAACAACACACACACACAAAAAAAACACTGTGTGTTTCCAGATGTATTGTAACTTTTCTTTGGTTAAGAATTAGAGTATTTGGATTTTTGGAGATTGCCATATCAGTATGCCATCCTGCATCCTATTGTAATCCTTTATATTCTGATATATTGTGAAATTGTAATGCCAAATCAGATTGCAAGTAACACGATCTACATATAAGCAGAGATGTGCATCAAGGACAGACAATATAAAGTTACAAAAATAACAGATAGGACGACTTCATACTTTATTTTGCAGATAGATTGGGCAGGGCTGCAATTCAGCCAGTAAAAAAAAAAAAAACCATAAAAAACTGCAGCCAAAATTTAGTGGGTGATCAATAGGAAGTGTACTTTTGGTTTCCAACGTTACTATTTGTTTTGGAAAACCTCCAGCCAAGCGCAGGTAACGTTCTCTTTGTTTTTACTATGTATTTTAAGCTGTTGGATACTACAGTACAGTTTTATTTGTTGGTTTCCTTTAGTTTGATGCTGTTTTTCTCACACCCAGTTTGTACTGTGTGTCCCCAGGTAACCTCCCGGATAGCCTGCCTGGATATCTAATCTTTCGCTGTGGAAACCCATCAGTCTGGATCTACAGCAATTACAAGTGCAATGAGATCAATAATTGTGGGGACTGCTCGGATGAATCGATGACATGTGAGTGTCTGGGTGGGTTAAGTGTTGGTAAAGGAGAGTGCTCAAAAAAGTGGACCCGCACACTGGTCAGTAGAGAGAGCAGGACGAACAAATTGTGACCTTAGGCGGCTGTTAACCTGCCTAAGGCCCTGTGAGATCTTAATCCTTCTCTGTCATTAGATTCTTCCTGAGAGCCTCAGAATAACAGTAAATGGCACAGATTAACATTACATGTTTAGAGCTGTGCTGTTCAACTCATCCAGTCATGAGGGATATATTTCCTGTTTTTCCTCATACAGGAGCATCACATATTTTTGTAATTCTCTCCCCCCTTCCCATTAAAGGATTACTCTAACCCTTTTGAGGGAGTGGGACCTCTTCTGTGTAAAAGGCCCCATTGGACAATAGGGAAAATCCCCCCCTCTCGTGATTTGCTTTATGACTTACAAAATAAAGATTTTAACTTACCTTGAATCCAAAGCCAGGCGAAGCTCCCAGCACAAACTTTCACGTCCCCTTTGACGTCACAGGGGCCGCGTGCAGTTTAATCACAGGCATCTCAAGAATTATTTAACAAACAATGTGCAACAGAGGGAGGTGGAGGGAGCGCAATAAGGGTGGAAGGGGATAACAATTTTTCACTTGCAGGTGAATTTGCCTGCTGGGCTTCATGACGACAGACATATTTGATGCACATAGGAATGGAACTGCCCCTGAGAAGCAGTACGACTTGAAGCGAGGTCACCTGCAAAGCAGCAGAGAAAGGGTGCACCTATTGTGACAGACCACCTGGTCACCCTCGACTGGTACATGTCTCCCAACCGCCACCTTCCTCCAAAAAGGACTATATCGCAATCATTTACCTCTCCAGCTCATGCCTCCCAACCCATCTCTGCCACCTCGGAGCACTCATAGGCCAGCTGGGGAGCTGTTGAGGCATGGTACGCCTGATCAGGAGCTACCCACAAACCTTCTAGAACTCCTGATCGGATCGTGGCTGGGTAAAACCTTGACGAGGGTGCTCTTGGTCCTAGAACTACCATTCAGGGCACTTTTTGGAGGTGTGACAGAGGAGGAGAACCTGAGAAAGCACCATTAGTTAAGGTGACTGTGACTTCTACCCAGCGGTGTGGAACTGAGCTGGATCGGAGGATGGTCAACTTCCATCTAATTCGGGCTAGATACCTCCGATTCGAGTGCTTCTAGGACATATTAGAAGCTTCTCGAGGATGGCACTATTGTCGGGATGTTGGCACGGGGGGAACCCTAAGTTTTACCTGTTTCTCTTAAACCAGTGCCAAGGTGTCCTGCTGCTAATTAAATGATCAGGTCAGGTACAGACACAAAGGTGCTGCGTATGTCGCATTTCTATTGCTTTCCTTGGGGACCTCCTGTTGAGGCCCCAGGTATAAAAGTGTGACTGTTTGACAATAATAGCAGTTCTTCTTCACACTTTACTAAGTCTTAACTAGTGTTTGGGTGAGACAGCTACAAACAAAATGGCAAGGAGCTTTGGGTACTTGTGGGTATAGCCCCACACCTATGAATTAATGAAGTGGTGGTAGAGTTGTTGAAAGATTTGTAGGTAAGAGTCAAAGGGACACTGTAGTATTAGGAATACAATACTGTGGTCTGGATGGCTATAGTCCCTTTATATATTGCATTTGTATTTGTAATTGTTTTCTTGGTGTTACTGAATTAATAGCAGAGCTTTACCTTACATAATAAATATGTTTAGAAACCAGTTTGTGTAAATAAGATACATAGTTTTTGTTATAAATTAGATTTATATGCATAATTTTAAATTTCTCAGAACCATACTTACCCTGGCCACACATTAACTTAAACTTCTAAAAGTAAAGCGTCCTTCTTTGTCTCCTTGAATGAAACCGTATTTTATAATAAATACTCCCCCCAGTCTTAAGTAAGGAATATGTATATGATACTTTTCTTTTCTACCCCACAGTTGCCTCCTGCCCTTCATGTGGCTCTGACTGGTGGACGTGCACTCCTGTTCTCTACCAATATTGCAACTGCATCCCACGGAGCCTGTGTAAGAATGGCGTCCAGGACTGTACAAACTGGTCTGACGAGTATGTGTGCTCCTAATGACATGAATAATGTGTATTTATCATGCACAGTATAAATTAAAATTGATGATTTGCATGTTTATTGCAAATTATTAGGGCATCCCTCATGGCAGTTCTCTGCCACCTGCTCCAAGCAAACCCCTAATAAAATCTGCTCTGGCAGTTGCCCCAAGATCAATGCACTTTAATTTTTTTAATTATTATTATTTTTTTTTAAGTGGGAGGGGGACCTTTGTGGTGTAATATGCTCTACTGGGAATTGTGGAGAAGTGCCCCCTCTCAATTAATAGTAAAACCTGCAAATAAAAGGTTTACTCATCTGGATTCCAGCGCTAGTCGAAGCTCTCGGCGCTAATCTTCCGAACCCCTTCCAATTTCACTTGGGCTGTGAATGGTTCAATCATAGGCTTCTTATAGAAAAACCTGTCATTGGACTATTTAGCAGGCTCAGAGCACATGCGTGTGCGTGTTCCAGTCAAGGGAGTGGGGAGGGAGGTTTTTCTTTTTTAAGAACAAAACAACCCAACAATTGTTCAACAATGGGAGGGAGAGCCCAGAGGGAGGGAAAGGAGAGCGAGCTGGGAAAATATTTTAATGTCTGTTGGCACCGTGCAGTGCGCGCTGCCAAAAGATGTAATTTATGCACAGAATTGACATTAGACAGCCCAGAACTCCAATGTCACGTGTACTGGGGAATGCAACTAGCCCACAGTAAACAATTACAAATATCTACAGATTGTGCAGTGTTTCAAGCTGAAATATTACACATACTGACTCCTACCACCATGAAACTGAAGTGGTCATGGTGGTTGGAGTAACAGTTTATATAACGATTAAAGACAATGGAATCTATGGGGGAGGAAATGAGTCACTGTCTGAAGTTTAGGGTAAATTAAAACACTCATCGTGGAAGTTACCATCTATTTTTTAACCCCTTAAGGACACAACTTCTGGAATAAAAGGGAATCATGACTGAATATTTCCGTCATGTGTCCTTAAGGGGTTAAATAATTATACAAGAGACATTTCATCTATTAAAAAAAAAAATGTAGGGGGGCGTGGCCACGCGACGAGCCAGGACGGACGTGTAAGCCGCAAGCTCCCGCACACGAGGCTCTACTCAGCGACTAAAACGGCGAAATAAACTAAAGTCACGAGCTCCCCTGGGTGTACAAAGAACATGGCACACCGGCTACTAAAAAACCCAAACAAAAAACGGCAGACCTGCTGATATCGGCACTTACAGCGCCGAGACAAAAAATCCAAGATGGCGCCGATAACCCGTCCTCGCCGGCTTCCTGCTCGGACGGCAGTGACAACACATCTGTCTCCACACATGCCTCTGCACCAGCCACAGATTCTTCCATACACAGAATGCTAGAAGAACTCAAAAACTCCATGCATATGGAATTCACAAAACTGGCAAGAGACATTAAAGCTGACATACATGCCATAGGTGAGCGTACTGCCCATCTGGAAGATAAAACAGATGAGATCATAAGTGCCCATAACACACTGGCTGATGCATATACAGATATAACTGCCAAACTCGATTTCTTGACAAACAAAGTAACAGACCACGAAGACAGGGACAGAAGGAGCAACGTCCGCATAAGAGGTATTCCAGATGATATACCCCCACAAGATCTGCCGAAATTCGCAGCGGACCTCTTTCACGCTCTGTCCCCAGAACTGACACAGGCTGAACTCCTACTGGACAGGATTCACCGCCTCCCGCGGCCAAAGAACCTGCCGGCATCCCTTCCAAGAGACACTATAGCAAAATTTCATTACTTTACGTCTAAAGACAAAATCATGAGGGCCTCAAGACTCCTCCCTGAACTACCAGGCAAATATGCAAAAATACAGATTTTCACTGACCTCTCTGCGGCCACACTCCTTAAGAGGAAATCACTGGCACCGATCACCACGGCTCTGAGAAAGGCTAATATTATCTACAGATGGGGTTTTCCAGCACGGCTGATCCTCAGGCGGAACGGCGCTGAAAAACATATCCTCACTGTAGAAGAAGGACACCGCTTGCTGAAAGAATGGAACGTACCCCAGCCAACACCGACCGGCGGCGATGTGCAGATCCCACAACGACGCTCCCCTGCACGGATATCCAGAGACTGGAGTACAGCTAAGTGACTTTACAGAGCACAGCTCGACACGCCAACCTCTAGCCGTTCCTACGGCTTAGTAATAACCTTTTACACCCGAGATGCCCTAACTTGATTTAATCCGCACATGTATTTTGTGGTAACAAGTTAGGAAACACGTCATGATGATTCCCCTACCGCATAATTTGTTAATTTCACAAAGACCACTCACGGGTAGCACGTTAGCTAAATACCCGCGCTATACAGAGTCCCTATACCCACAATTAGAGCCTCTTGCAGGCCCTCTGGTTCCCCCCATCAGGCCAAAGATGGCCTCCTATACGCCGTTTGTACCCACCAGTACCACCCTTAACGGCAATGTGTATATAGTTCAAAATGTTATACTGTTTTTATTGTCTATGTCTCTATATGTTAACGTGTCGCTAATGCCAGACCTCACCATTACCGACTACCCAACCAAGGGGCTATACACACGGGTCACACCCATGTCATTTATAGCCAAAGCCCATGGTACCCTCCCCCCCACAGGCAGCTTCCCCACTTTAAAACCAGGTAAATCACATCTAAACATGCTATGGCCATACCTGCAAAACCACACCACGCAACCAATAGGTTGCAACAGGGAGTTCACTCTTATGACAGATAAGCAATGGAGTGATAAGTTAAAAAAACCAAAGACCTATATAGCAGATTCCCGAAACTACATAAAATGACCCTAACAATTATATCATTAAACACAAAAGGCCTCAACACACCTCACAAACGACGGCTAGCGTTGGAAGAAGCCAAGAAATCCAAAGCCCAAATCGCTTTCTTCCAGGAAACTCATTTCAAATGGGGCAATAGACCCAAATTTAACTCGGTCCTATACCCCCACGATTTTCACTCATGTTATAAATCAAAAAAAAGAGGAGTAACCACTCTAATTAGCAAAGATGCATCCTTCACATTGGTGAAAAAAATTGGTGACAAACACGGTAGATACCTAATCATTCAATGTTATATCAACAACAACCCATACACACTGGTCAACATCTATGGACCAAATGACAACCAACATGAGTTTATGGTGAAAATATTTGGCTTACTTTCATTATATCGCTTCGGAGATACCATAATTGGAGGGGACACCAACTTTTTGCTAAATACCTCCATAGACACATCCACATACCACCCAGACCATCTGAAAACAACCAAACGACTAACAACCCTCACCTCCAAGATTGCACACACCATCCTCGCACACGACTTCGTAGACCCCTGGAGGATACTCCATCCCACTGACAAAGATTATACCTTCCACTCTACAGTACATAACACATACACAAGGATAGACAGATTCTTGATATCTACCAAATACATAGACAGAGTCCAGACAGCAGGAATAGGCCTCATAACGTGGTCAGACCACGCACCTATCACACTGTCCATCCAAGAACAACACATGTTCAAGGGAAAAGGCACCTGGAGACTAAATGATACCTTGCTCGCAAATCAAGACATAGTAGCCAACATACAACATGACATGGACATCTACTTCAAAGAAAATGCAATGGAAGGCACGAGCATAGAGACACTATGGCAAGCACATAAAGCAGTCATCAGAGGCACAATTATTAAAATAGCCAGTTACCACAACAAGCAGCGTAGGATGAAATACACAAAACTCATACACGACATCGCAGATCTCACACACAAAAATAAACTACAACCCTCCAAAGACACACACGCACAACTAACCTTGCTACACAAAGATCTCCACCAACTAGAAATGGAGAAAACCACCTATCTATTGCAGAGATACAAACACAAGTTCTTTGCCACTGGAAACAAAGCTGGGGCCCTATTAGCCGCACAGCTTAAAACCAAGTCACAATCCTCAAAAATAGCATATATACAAAATTCCAAAAAACACAAAATAATCAACCCACAAGACATAGTGAATGAGTTTGCATCCTACTACAGCTCCCTGTACAACCTTAAAGATGATCCGCAGACAACACCACCCTCCCCCCAATCTATTATAGACTTCTTACACTCCACAGATGTCCCCAGTCTAAGAGCTGAAGACATAGCAACTCTCACCTCCCCTTTCACAGTAAGTGAAGTGGAAACGACTGTCCATGACCTACCCAAGCAAAAAGCCCCAGGACCAGACGGCTTTTCCAACCTATATTACCAAACCTATGCCAAAACCCTCATACCCCACCTGACGAACCTCTTCAACTCCTGCTACACTTCAGGGCAAATACCCAGGGACATGCTAACGGCCCACATATCGACGCTCCCCAAACCAGGTAAATCACCAACATTATGCCAAAACTTTAGGCCGATCTCCCTTATTAATGCAGATGTCAAAATATACGCCAAGCTCCTGGCCAATAGGCTATCCCGAATTTTACCTACACTGATACATAATGACCAGTCTGGGTTCATCAAAGGCAGACAAGGCTCGGACAACACGAGAAAAATCCTAAACATACTATCACACATGCACAAATCACAAACGAATGGTCTAATTTTAGCCCTTGATGCCGAAAAGGCCTTCGATAGGGTCAATTGGGAATATATGCAACAGGTCCTCCGCAGGTTCGGATTTCCGGAAGGCCTTATTGTAGGCATCATGGCCCTATACAACGCCCCACAAGCGATAGTATCCAACTCAGGCTTCCTATCTACGCCCTTCCATATTACCAACGGCACCAGACAAGGATGCCCTCTGTCACCGCTTCTCTTTATACTATCACTAGAACCCCTAGCGTATAAAATCAGACACCACAGCTCGATCACAGGTATACCCATAAAAAACCACACATATTGTCTCTCTATGTTTGCGGATGATATTCTGCTTACAGTCAAAGAACCGAAAAAATCGGTGCCAGCACTGATACACCTATTAGACCAATTCGGACAACTATCATACTACAAACTTAACCAGAGCAAGACTCAAGCCCTTCCAATAAATCTACCGCATGCACTGCAAGTACAACTCAAACAAGCATTCCCCTTTGACTGGAGAACTAACGATATCACCTACCTGGGGGTAAAACTCGGGCCATCCCCCACAACCACTTTTGATCTTAACTTTAAACCCTTAATATCACTATGCATAACACATACCCACCAATGGAAAAAAGTAAAACTTTCCTGGCTGGGTAGGATAAACTCAATTAAGATGTTGCTACTCCCAAAGCTACTATACAAATTTAGAATGTTACCTATCTATGCTAACCCGAAGTTTTACAAACACCTACAGGCCATAATCTCCTCCTTTGTGTGGGAGGCACGTAAACCACGGCTAGCAAGCTCACTCCTCCAACAACGCACACAGCAGGGTGGCCTAGGCCTCCCAGATGTGGCCAAATATCACAAAGCATCACTCTTAGAAGCAGCAATTAAACTCCACGCCACCAAAGGAACCTTCCAATGGGTAGATATGGAGCATGCCACTGCACCTGGGGGTTCACTAATACCGATGTTATGGACACCCCCGCAATTCCGACCACACACACCCCATATGTTCCAGACCTCAGTCCTCACGATGAAACAATGGGACAGCCTACATCACTCTAAGAACAAGAGTGAAAAATTCCACCCGAGAGCTCCAATGGCAGCCCTAGGCTCCCTAGCCCCGGGATTGACATGGAGCTCCTGGAGGAAACAAGGCATCACACACATAGCGGACGCTTACCACAACCAACAACTTATGCCCTTCCCGGACCTCCAAAAGAAATACGGACTACCGAATTCCTCCATTTTCCAATACCTCCAACTCAAAAGCATCGCGGCCCATAAAATCCTTACACAAAGGGACACCACACCCCATGACCACCACTTCCTAGACGCCATACATGACAGATGCTGGCAGACACCCACCAAACCCAAGTCCCTTGCTCTATGTTATGCTTCACTGCTACACAACACCGCCACCACACACTTTCCCTACGAAAAACAATGGCAAGCGGAATACGCCCCCTCTCCATCAGGAGACGCCTGGTTGCGCTCTCTTAATGCACTTAAAGGTGTCACCAACTGCTATTCCCATGTGGAAGCCCACAAAAAATTGATTTATAGGTGGTACCTCACACCCAGTAGACTTCACAGAATATACCCCACGGTCACAGCGGAATGCTGGAGGTGCAAAACCACAGAAGGCACGATGATCCACATTTGGTGGGATTGCCCTGTCCTGCTACCACTCTGGCGACATGTGGACAGCACCCTCAAATCCTTAAATGTCAAGAATGTAACTCTCAATCCATCAGTTTGCCTATTCTTACACCCATACCCAAACCTCTAAAACAAGTAGCTATACTTACCATATTGGCGGCTAGGAACCTTATCGCGACAAACTGGAAAAGTGACATTTGCCCATCCAGACAGCAACTGTTGGACAAACTCAATCTATACTATACGTATGAACGTATGACCACAAATTCCCCCAAACGTTCACAGGCTCTGAGAGAAGCCTGGACGCCATGGGCCAACATATACGCCAACCAACAGCGAGTACCAGACCTACCCATACCTATATAAGACAACCCTTTCCCCGAACATTATATGCTACTACCCAGATCAGAGCTATCATCCCCGACCGCCTACAACACCCAAACGCTGACTATGACATTGGGCTCCGCTATATATAAATAAACAGAAACGCACCCATAAATAAAGGGAAACGCACCCACACACATATGCTCGCACTCCCCCCAAGGTAGACGACAAACACCAAGATCGTATGCGTTAGTGACACTATAACCGGTTATCCCCCAAGTTTGATAAGACATGTTACTACCCCCCCGATTACTAACCCTTCCCTCACCCTGGTTTGGGCCAAAGCCCCGCACTATTAGGTCATCGTCACAAACCAAACCTGAGGTAATCCATAGGATATACGCAACTTGAAACCAGCTGTATAGAATATTGAATGACTTTGTGATGTACCCCGCCCCCACCCCTCCCCCGTTTTCTTTTCTGTATCCCACATCCCAGTACTTTACTGAAAAAATAAATAAAAAGTAAATTTAAAAATGTAAACTAATTAAAATTCTATACTATATTTATTCTACGTAACCCATATTTGTAGGGTTTTACAGATCTTATAACATCTCAATTCATGCACAAACCAGGATCTGGCCAAGAATTCTCAGCCAATCCCAGGTGTCTTATTAAATCCTACTATTGCAGCAGTTTCTCCTTTTATTTTAATTTTTTTTATTAATAACTGAGATGTTGATTGTGCATACACTGATCAGTTGGCTAACAAAGCATCTGGTTTATAATTGTGTTTGGCAGTTCAATTAAGTGTGACTTTTGTAAATGTGATAAGTGCACCTGCCTCTTTATTTAGATACTAGCTCTTGTTGAAAATAAATTATTCTTAGAGAATTCACCCCTGGATCTTGATACAAAAGTATCTTAGCATCGAAAAACACTTTAAAAATGTTTTGTGTCTACAGCAGTGTTTCCCAATTGGTGTTCCGCAGAACCCTAGGGTTCTGCAAGAACAAAATTGGGGTTCCACAGTGATCTGTCCATCGGGTGGCCCATGCATTGCTGCACAGAGGCCTGGTCAGCAGCACGGCTGATTAATAGCGCAAACGGGTATGTTTGTTGGGAGGAAGTGACAGACGGCTACTTCCTCCCAGCTTCATGTAGAATACGCAGCGCTGGAGGGAGAGAAGCAGCAGCCAGGAGTGAGCAGCTCCCCCCAAACACACCAGCCTCAGCAAATCACCCTCCTTCAGACAACAGGTATGCTAACAGGAGGGTGACTGCATATATATATATATATATATATATATAATGACGTGTGCGTATTTGACAGTGTGTGTGTGTATGTCACTGTGTGTATTAATGTGTCACTGTGTGTATGTGCCACTGTGTATGTCACTGTGTGTATCTGTGTCAGTGTGTATCTGAGTGCATGCGCCAGTGTGTGTATCTGATAGTATGTGTCACTGTGTGTATCTGAGTGTCACAGTGTGTTTGTATTGGTGGGTTAAGGTGTGTGCCTGTGTGTGTTGCAGTGTATGTGTCACTGTGTGTCAGTGCCAGGTTGTGTATCTGTGTGTATGTGCCAGTGTGTCTATCTGTGGGTCAGTGTGTTTCTGAGTGTCAGTGTGTGTATCTGTCGGTGTGCGTGTATCTGTATGTTAAGGTGTGTGTGTATCCGAGTGTGTGTGTACGTATCAGTGTGTTTGTCTGTGTACGTGTATCTGTGTGTATCTGTGTGCAGTGCTGGAGGGAGAGAAGCAGCAGCCAGGAGTGAGCAGCTCCCCCCAAACACACCAGCCTCAGCAAATCACCCTCCTTCAGACAACAGGTATGCTAACAGGAGGGTGACTGCATATATATATATATATATATATATATATATAATGACGTGTGCGTATTTGACAGTGTGTGTGTGTATGTCACTGTGTGTATTAATGTGTTACTGTGTGTATGTGCCACTGTGTATGTCACTGTGTGTATCTGTGTCAGTGTGTATCTGAGTGCATGCGCCAGTGTGTGTATCTGATAGTATGTGTCACTGTGTGTATCTGAGTGTCACAGTGTGTTTGTATTGGTGGGTTAAGGTGTGTGCCTGTGTGTGTTGCAGTGTATGTGTCACTGTGTGTCAGTGCCAGGTTGTGTATCTGTGTGTATGTGCCAGTGTGTCTATCTGTGGGTCAGTGTGTTTCTGAGTGTCAGTGTGTGTATCTGTCGGTGTGCGTGTATCTGTATGTTAAGGTGTGTGTGTATCCGAGTGTGTGTGTACGTATCAGTGTGTTTGTCTGTGTACGTGTATCTGTGTGTATCTGTGTGCATGTCACTGTGTGTATCTGAGTTTGTGTATGCACCAGTGTGTATGTCTGTGTGTATCTGCGCCAGTGTGTGTATTTCTGTGTTTATGAATGTGTGTATACGTGAAGTGTATCTCTGTGTTAATGTGTATGTATATCTGTGTAAGTATGTGGCATACAACCCAGCAAACGCCAACACACCCCTGCAAACACAAACATTACATACAAAAACACCCCTGAATTCAAACCCCAAAATTATATACAAACACTCAAACACATCCTTCACTCAAACACCAATACTACACACATGCATTTAAAAGTCAACACTACATCCAAAAAAACCTAAACGCAAATGCAATCATTATATACAAAACACACCCCTGTATTAAAATGCTAAAATTATATACAAACACCAACTCTACACACAAAGGCACACCTGCTCCCAATTACTACAAACTGTTTACCATCTGTGGAAATTAGTGTGTGTGTATATATAGTAAAAAAAAAAAAAAATTTTGCTAATTGAAAAGGTTTTGGGGGAAAGGGACAGGCAGATATTGCAGGTTCTGTGCATTATATCCAACAAGTGTCGCTATCTGACTTTTTAACGGTTTTGTTTTTGTATTGGTTATTATTATTATTTTTTTTATAACAAATGGTAAATGGCAAAATATCTGTTAAATTTAAATTTGCAAATGATAAATAAAAACAAATGTAAAATCTGCTGGTAGAAAAATAATATTTATTATACACAAAAATATAAAATACTATTAAAAGTAACAAAAGTACATTGTGTGTGTATTCACCAAGTTTATAAATCTGCCCACTGATGTGGGTTTATTGGTAGTGTGATAACCTCTGCATTTCTCAAGATACCCTTAATAATCATTGAAACATTGAGGGTTTATCCACTCCCAAGGTAGGTAGATGAAATTCTGGAATATTTTGGACATATAGACAAAGCACTGAGCTGACTGGATCCTGATGAATTCAGGATATTGGAACTTTCAGAAACTCAAATTTATTCTCAACTCAAAAAGATACAAAATGCTATTGCCTCGATTAGATCCTAGCAATGTAAGTGCTATTGTGGGGACTGGACACTCTCAGACAAAAAAAAACTATAGTTCGGGATAAACAACCCCTTCCTGTCTTGGTTTCCTGGGCCAGTTCACTATAAACAGTGAGCCGACAGAAAGTTGGAAAAAAAATGTCAAAATAGTCAAGATGGAAAATGTCTTAAAAGAGACCAAGTTGGATATTTTTCCTATTTTTTTTTTTTTTTAACCGTGAATTTCATAACTTGCTTGTCAGCTACACAGAAAGCATAACATACATGGGTTTATACACTAAACTAGGAACAGTGGAGAGCTGATAAGAAAATAACATAAAATTGAGGCCAAAATAATCAAACTAGAAAAAGTCTAGCTATTTTAGGGTACAACTCTTAGTTTAGTGAATCAATCCTATATAGTTATGACTCAGTCACTGGCCTGTTGTAGAGCAGCGCCTGCAGTGTGCTTTCAGTGCACTGACAACATCCACAGGCAAACAAGAACCAAGTATCCACTCACGATGTCAAAACAAAAAGTGAATACAATACACATTGTAGCTTACTGACAAACGATTTCAAGTGCAAATTTACTCTTCAGATCACCACCAAACTTGTCTGCCCATAAGAAAAATGAGTAAGAGGAAGTTTGGTATTTTGTTTCAGAGTAAATTAGAAAACTGAGTTACTGGGATACTTCTCATGGAGAAGTCATAAGAAAAGGGCTCACAGTGGATCTAGGACCACTTTCTGGGTAGCAAGAGCTCAAGTTTAGTAACTGTTTAACATTTCCCAGTCTGCATCAGAAAATGTAAAACTTGGCTGTTTTGTATTTGGGTCCGGATTTGTAGCTTGTCTTCCATTCTCTAGAGCTCTGTTGGTTGAGTTTTCATTTGTAGTAGACTCAGAGTACACTGTGTCATTCTCTTTCGCCTGTAGCTTGTAAAACTGCAGGTGTTTGCGTGCTTGTGTTGGTGTGTTTTGCAAAATACACATTTTTAAATCCTGTTGGCTTTGTTTCTTTTCCTTTCGATCTAGAAGGAAAAAAAAATAATTATATGAAGATATTTTTGCCACTTTTGTCCACTAGGTTTACAAAAGCATTGTCCTGCGTTGGCCTCTACATTCCCCCAAATTCTCTTATTTTGATTCTTTAGTTTCTGAACAGTATTCAATTCTACTCTGCACCCACAGACATTTTTTAATCCCCTGGATTTCAAATACCCAATATGTAGCTTTCTTGCAGTTACTGAACAACAATTTGCAGCTAATCTCTGTTCGGACAAAATTGTAGCTGTGGATCACAATTAGTGCAAAAGCAGTTATGGATCTACTTATCGACTGCACTTGCTTTAAAGGCATACTATTATAAACCATAGAATTTTGAGAAATTAATTGAAAATAGCTGGAGATGTTAGATGTCAAACCTGTTTTACAGCAAATTATCCAACAACTTTGTGTATCCGGAGTAAACTAAAGTAACATGGTAAAGCAGAATTGTTAAAAGCAACCTCATTGTCGTTTATGGGGCATTTGCATAATCTCGCCCACCCCCCCTGCCAAAAAACAAACAAAAATAAATACAGGTTGCAAGCAGCCTTTGCACTTGGAACTTTTAGAACTTTAGAACTGATTTCAATTAATTCTATGAAAACTCAAAAACATGTAAGATGATGTCCTCCACACGTTGTTGAATCCACCACCCGCACCACATATGATACTCAAAGTCACCTGTGTATGCAGGGTAATCCCAGACTGGGGATTATTCTTTTGGTTACATTATGTTGACGTCATGTTATAGAAAAGTAACGCTGTATAGCCCTGTAAGTATTATTGTCCGTCGTAGCATGTACTCAAGGGCTACACATGTTACAGAACACTTATAGGTGAAGCACTGTCTGTCTGACCTGTGACACCACCTAATGATGAGAAATGCATGTTCATAACACTAAAAGACTTTGCGAGTTCTAGGTGATACAGAAAAGGATGGAGGGTTTGAAGAATTGAATGTGATCAATGTACGCACAAAATGTCTGGGCAGCAGTCTGTGGTTTTGCCTTGTCTTTTCGCTTTGATTTAATGGCTGAGAGGATATATTTTTCCCACTGATTGAAAAGCTGGAAACAAAAAGAAAGACTGTATCACGAAATTGGTTCCAAAACACAATGTTTACAATGTGATGGCCACATACATTACTACATTAACGGTTTATTTAAAAAGCATAATTATAGCAATATTTAAAGAATGGAATAGGGCTGAGATACGAAGAAAATGTCTGCATGGCTCTGAAACAAAATTACTGTGTGTACCTGTTCAGCCCAGCCCTCAGTAGTGCAGTTCACGTGATCAAACCGAGTTAGCTGTTCCTTGGAATGTTTTAATCCAATGCTCTTCTCGATCTTTCCAATGGTAGCATCCTATAAATTCAGAGGGGAAAAAAAGAACATTTTAATTCTGGATTGATAAAAAAAACATTAACGTTTCTCATTTAGAATAGCATTATAGATGTATTGTTGCAAATGTACTGCAGGTCCTTGGGATAATCTGGTACACAGATGTAGTCCATGTATAAATTAAGGGACACTATAGTAACCAGAACAACTACAGTTTATTGTATTTGTTCTGGTGAGTATAATCATTCCCTTCAGGCTTTTTGTTGTAGACACTTTGTTCAGAAAGAGAGTGTTTACATTACAGCCCAGGGATACCTCCACCGGCCACTCCTCATATGGCTACTAGAGGTGCTTGCTGCACAGTGGACAGCACTGCCATTCAGTGTCTCCACCCTCTGCATGGAGACACCGAACTTTGATTCAATGCATCTCTATGAGGAGATGCTGATTTGCCACGGCTGTGTTTGGCTTGTGCTGGCTCTGCCCCTGATCTGCCTTCCTATGGGAAAGCATTGTGATTGGCTTTGAATAACACTTCTAATGATGTCAGCCAAGCAGGCAGATCAGAGACAGAGTCAGCAGCATGGAATAAAAGTAAGTTTTTACTATATTTAGGAGGGTAAAGAGGTGACAGGGTGGCTCAATGGTGCTTTTCACACTACATGTTTGTGTTCCTGACCTTATAGTGTTTGTTTAACACACCATTTAGCAGTTCCTTTAATATTTCATAAATTAACTTTGATCTCCAGCAAAAAAGTGTATACTAGCATGACATGCATATACCCAACATGTCACTACTTATCAAAATACTTCTCCCAAATTCGGATCCAGCCATGAGTAAACAGGAAACCACAAAAAAACAAAAAAAAAAACCTTCAAGTTCCTTTTCGATGTCTAACCTGGCTTCCTTACTAATATGACCCTGAAGCAAAGCTTTTTAATGCCAGCCTGAAGATAAATGAAAATGAATCTATAAAATGCTTTAATATTTTAGAAATAAATATGGGACACTTACTCTATTTTTTTTGTGTAATACTTAATTGCTTCAAACAGAAACAGTGACAGATTCATTGTCTGCCCCAGACACATACATGGAAAGGCTTTAACTAAACAGTGAATGATTTGCACATCTGAGTGGCTAAAACCAGAGTTTGAAAAGTATTTCTAAGCAAAGTATATATTTTGAGGCTTATATTGTGCATGTACTAGATGGCAACAGCGATAGAGCAGCAATGCAACCTATCGGAAGACATAGGGTTTTTTTGTAATGAATGCCACCTTTGTGTGTTTTACCAAAGACAAACAAAAACCCAAAGCCTAAACACCCGACCAAGTAACAGACCTACTTTGAAATAGGTTTGATGTGCAACATTTTAATGCTCTTACAATCATTGGGCCATCTACAAAATTTGGGTAGTCAACACTAGCTCTCCAGCTGCAGTGGGAATGCAGTAGCCATCACTCTCAGCCTCCCCCCCTCCCCAGTGATATCTGGAGATGTAATCCATAAAACATATATGACATTATAAGTTTGTTTATCATTCTTAGCATCGTATTAGCCATCTTCTCAGCCTGGTATCATGGCACTGTTCATTTAAAAGTAATTTCTGCTTGTATTTGAATAGGAAGCAATACAGTGACTTTCCCGCCTCAAATGCTTATCAAACATTTCCCTGAATTCTCTCTAAAATATCTCACCTGTATAGATGTACCAGAAATATCCAAGAAGTGAAGCATTTTAAAAACAAACAGGAACGTTACCCCGATGTCTGTGATTCCTTGGTTATCTGGTACAAAAATAACAAAACATACAGGAGTTTTGAGTTGTTGGGTAAAAAAGTGAATGTAAAATTTTTGGCCAATACTATTGAATTGAAAAAATACTTGACTGTGAATTTTATTTTTTTAGTTCCAGCTAAAATTTTGAAATTCATACTGACTGTATGTACTGTACTGTATACTGACTGTCATAAAACTATGGATTGCCTAAAGTTTATCCAAGAATTTCCCACCTGAAGCCTAAATAGCTGAATTTAAATAAATAAACCTCCAAATCATCTATGTTTTAGCTTAAAATATGCAATTTTCTGGAGAAGTGTCAGCAAGTCTTGTTTAGTAAAAAACTCTATTTGTGCTCGGAATTTAATATGTAATGGATAGTGTCTGAGATGAAAGTTGGTTGTGATGTGCCGAAACCAACGTCCGAGTGGGCCTGTAAATAAAAGAGGGCCCACCTAGGAGAACTGTATGTTCTAAGGGTGCTGGTGGGTGGGGAACACTTGAACTTGAACGTCAGAGGTGAGTAGGGGCTGGGAGTTTAAGTAGGGGACTTACTCCTCCCACAAATTCAGGCCTAATGGCCTTTCTACTTGTTCTTGGAATTTAATATGTAATGGATAGTGTCCGAGATGAAAGTTGGTTGTGGTGTGCCGAAACCAACGTTTGAGTGGGCCTGTAAATAAAAGAGGGCAAAGAGAAGTTCTAAAAAAAAACAAAAAAACACACTTTATTGCATTTATTACATAACTAAATTCCTGAAGGCTTGGCGGAGCTCTCTTTCTGGTCGTGGAATGTACGTATTGTATATGGAGGATTTCCAACGACCCAGTCTCTTTATGATGTGGACCGGGGTGTTTGTACTAGAAGCTGATGAAGCAGCTCCTATGCGGAAGGAGTGCCCGGAGAACGAAGCTGGGTTGTAACCCAGTTTTTCCAATAAGATTCTTACATGGTGAATTTTGCTGTGGTGAGTGGGTGCCCTTGTAGTTGTAAGAGCGGTGAGTCTGGTAAGTGCGTGTTATGAGTTGACGGTAGGTGGTCTAGTGCCTTAACCGGACACCAAGCATTATCTGTTGGAAATAGGGGAATGATAGTGGGGTGTAGTGAATGATTAGTTTTGGTAGATGGAATCGTGAGAACATAGTAATCCTCTACTTTTGTGAGGTTTTAAGGCTGTGTGGGATATCTCCTTGACAAACAACGGTAAATCCCCTAGGTCTTAGGAACCCATAAAAAGCTAAATAGATAGCAGACTTGATCACCAGGTTTGTGTTGGGATCAAATGGGGATTAGTCAAGGAGATTGCTAAGTAATCTAAAGATAGGCCCATCTATCGGTAGACTGGTGGTGATAAGTGGAACCGAAACTTTAGAGATACCCTTTAAGATTTTCTTGATGGCGTATAATAACAAAAAGGGGATGTTGTTAGGGAAATTTGTGAGGCTATGATGCTGCACCGCCATGAGGTATAGTTTAATTGTATTGTGGGACAGTTTTAAATGTAAGTGGCAAAAGCCACTATAGTTTGGGTAGAAAAACCATCTTGTAATCCAAATTCAGCTGTGAATTTATTGAAAAGGGTAAGTGCCCTACTGTAGGTGATAGTACACTCCCAGTACTTATAAAAGTTACTGAAAACCTCTAAGCACATGGCTAAGTTTGATACAGATAAAAAGCCAAAAAATCTTCAGATCTAATGTACCATTTATTGCATTACAATTGTACAATATTATAGGGTAACCCCAAGCACCATAACCAATTCACTTAACTTGAAGTGGTCACAGTGCCTGCAGTGTGTATGTGCAGCATTTAACTGTGAAATGTTGATCATGCAGAGCTTAACCTCTCTGCTGCCGGTTTAACGCCACCTATTGTAACACAGGTTTTGGGTGGCTAATGTTAATTTTGTGCATATTGGAGTAACCCTTTAAAGACAATGCGAGTATTAGCAGACACTTAACTCACCTGAGAGATCCAACACTGTGAGGTTTCCAAGCCCCTTACGCAGGACACGTGTAGGGGCTGTCATTCTCCGGATTCCAGTATCTGACAAACAGTTGTCCTTCAAGTATAATTCCTGCAAGCTGCAAGAAGCAAATGCATCTCATCAGCAACATTGCACTGCATTATACATAGGAAATAATTGATGACTGTTTAAAGATAAAATAAAATACTATCATTAAAGGTAATAAAATGTAGTCTTTACATCAAGCTAGCCATTAAAGAACAATGATTACACTTGGAATGTGGAGGGTATACACCAAGGCTTCTATGCCATCAGAATGGAGGTGTACACTACAGATTCATGAAGCTTAATACCATAAAGCAGAGGAGCAGAGCATTGTGGGTATCAGTCGTGTGGATTCTGTGGTTAAAACAATCAATGCCCAAAGCAAAATATTATTATTATTAGCATTAATAGCGCCAACATATTCTGCAGCGCTGTACAATTACAGAAAGAAGATATTTAGACAAGCTTACAATCTATGAGGATTTGAGGTACGCGGACATATTGCTATGTGTCTAACTTAGGGACACTTCCTGGTGAGATTTTCATTTACAGTTATACTTGACTGGCTCACTTTAAGCATTACCATACCACTAAAAATGCATTATTATCAAGAGCAGGATTGAATCCCCCCTCTGTGATGCTATAAAGTACAACACACCTGTTCAGTGCTTCAGAGGTAAAGTGACCAATCAGTTCATGTTCATCTCCCAGTTTACAATATGACAAGTCCAGAGAGCGTAGACCTTGAAAAGACTGAATTTCCTCTAATTTCTCAGACACTAGCAAATACCTGAAAAGAAGCATAAAAATATAATCAAACATTAATTGGTAAATGTCATTAAAGTAGTACACTAGTTATATCAGGAGGAAACACATATCAGGCTGACCAGGCCTGGGTCCAGTGCAAAAGAATAAGAGGGGTGGTAATCAATCTCTTTCTAAAATTCATTTAGAATTGGGTGGCCGCTAATTGATGAAAAGCGAGTCAGTAATGTAGGGTATCTAACAATGCCCATCTTATGGGAGGTAACAGCTTCGCCAATTTCACAATGGTGTCTTTAATACCAGACTATATCCAAGGGATGGTGAGACGCCACTCACCCTGCAGTACAGGATTGAGAAATTATGGTTAACCTTACAGTTACATAAATATGCTTCATCCGGGAAATTGAAGATAGAATCACAAAGCATGGCAACAGGACAGCAAACCAGGGATACCAACTAAATTACTATGCCACCCAAAATCTTTATAAAACACTATATTTCTCACACCCGCAGAAGGCCCTTACTCATCATGCTATGAAGAAATCTGGCAACTGGCCACAAGATCATCCCATGTATGCGGATCACTTAGAGACTTGGGAGAAGGGTGCAGCGGCCTGTAACTGGAAGGGTACAGTTCAGTGGGACATCTGTGATCTCTCTCTCTGGGTCCTCATGCATTATATGTCGGGCATAGGCTGAACAAGGTTCCACTACCACATAGCCTACTATATGCTGACAGCCCTTGTATAGTCTATTTACATGTCCAGTGGTACCTTTTGATATGCTATGTGTCAGTCACTTAAGCGTGTTTAATGTTTGTCGTTTTCATAACCTTAACCGACATTCTGTTGCAATTTCCTCTCACTAGTCTATCACCTACACTTACCTACTAATCACCTTGTCAAGCAAGCTTCTCCTTAAATACTTTAGTCTTACTTTTTAAACAATGATTGCAGTAATCCTTGACATATTCAGTAAATATTTATTGTCATATATGCCTTAACTATTATGTCAGTTCAAACCGTTTATGTATATCAATGCACCACAAAAATAAAGAATAACCCCCCCCCCCCACTATATTTCTTGCAATAATACTGAAACAGCAAAAACCACTGCAAGCTGAGAGGCCACATTGCACATACCTGCCCCTAAGGCACAGAGAGGACAGTATTAGGTCACCATAAGCCTCTGTAAATTTCTGCAAGGCTTTGAGCCCACTGCCAGGCCTGTGAAATTTTTGTCTAACTTCTGCGGCAGTGAAAAGTTTCTCTGCAATCTGCTCTGGGAATCCAATGAGAGAATCCACATACTGAATGTTGTCGGCAATGAAATCAAGAGTCAGGTTGAAAAGTGGCTTGGCAGAGTACCGCAAGCTGCCATGCTCGGTGTAGGTGAAGAAGAAAGACTTTTCCTTGTGCCTGCTTGCATCTTCATGTTTCAGACACAGCTCCACGGAAAAAGCTCTGGAGAAAAGACCAACAGAGCGTGTTCTGCTGTTAGATAAATGGGACCCAGCAAGGAACAGCTTTCCATTTTCACGAACATACACAGGTCCTCCATCCTCTCTCACCTCTGGGCAGTATGACATTATCTTAAAATGAACACAGTTAGATAATAAACTCAAAATGTATTGTCGCAGTATACTATATAAATACTATAATAAATAGCATATGTTTTTCATACATGTAGACATATATGCTAGATAGTGATGTCCCGAAACTGTTCGCCGAACGGTTCGCCACGGACTCATCATTGAGTAAACTTTGACCCTGTACCTCACAGTCAGCAGACACATTCCAGCCAATCAGCAGCAGACCCTCCCTCCTCCTGGAGAGGATCCATTGTGAAGCTGCATTCTTAATGAGCTGTCCAGGCGAACAGTTCGGGACATCTCTAATGCTAGATTCTATTAAATTAGATAAGTTTACCCGTTGTGATTGACTAGCAGGTTTTCTGTTTTATTTATATGGAGAACATGCTGTTTACTTAAAAGTCCTTATCTCATCAAATACAATCAAGTCCAATTTTGGAAAATATAGTAATTGAAGTGGAACCCCCGTTTCCCAATTATAATGGTTTTAATTAGTACCAGGTTGCTCCACTAAAATGACATAATGGCAATTTGTTGCTATATGCTTGCTTCACCTTTACAAATTACATTAAGCCCTTTCTTTAGTATAAAACGTAAAATATGTACCAGCACTATATTATAATAGCGATTTAAAATTTGTGCAAAAGCTGACTAGTATAATATAAAACGCAGACGCTATACCACTGAAATGTGCGATCTCTCTCAACACAACAATACTGTTTAACCAACAGCGTAGCACTTTATTTTTCCAATAAAAGTGAATTGTGTGTGGTGGTAGTGAACATATATGTCTTAAAAGATCCTAAAGAAACCTGATAAAATGTTGTAAGCCAAGAATGTGGACCATAAAAGACGAAAAAAGTATAACAGTGCAATAAAATTTACAAACATATTAATAATAATAATAATATTAAAACACTCACATGTTCGAGAGCGAAGAACCTAGCTCTGGTATAAATCGCAGTAGGGTTCTTCAGGTGACCCTCCCCTTCTCTGTGTAGCTGGGTCTCCTGATAGGTTCTGTACTTTATTTGTGCCTGCATTATTTTATTTTTTTATCATATCATTTTTTTCATACATTTGTCCATTTATATTACTTCTGTAATGCTCTACAAAATTGACAATCCTTAAAATTAAGCCCTCTCCCCCTCCCATTTCCATCACTTTCTAAACATAACATTTATTTGTGCAAAAAAAGAAAAGAAAAAGTGTTTGATAAAAATGACTCACAATTCCCAGTTCTAACTGCTATAAAGTCTCTATATTTAGAGAACTCCACTATATTTTAGCAGCACAGTGCAGTAAATAAAAGGAGTCCTGCATGTTTCAATCCTATGTTGAGAAAACTCAAATTCTATCCTCAATTAATTTCACTTGCTGGGGCTGGCTTTTAGTGTCACTGAATCCCCACATTAAGTTTAACTAGATTTTGTCTGATTGAGATTATATTTCTATCTGTTTAAAGCTCTTATTATGTCCCATTTTAGCTCAGTTTTATTTAAAACTTATACTGTATCTATGGGAACACCCCCCCTTACTATGCTGGGGATTGTAACTACAGCTCTGTCAGTTAGTACACCGAAAATTAGCTCATTAGCAGAATAATTATTTCAATAAAAACAATAATCCATTGCACTAGCAAATGACACACCGACTCACCTTCTTCTCTGCTCTGGTCACAGCCCGGAACCAATGAACACGGTCTCCTGCGTTCCACGGTCACTTAGTAAAAACGGACTTCCGGATGCAGCAGCTGCATTTCCGGCAGATGCTCCCCGGTTACCTAGCAACAGCTTTCCACAAGCTAGTTCGCCGTTGTACTGTTTATATATATTGGTGGGTGCAGTAACTGAGAGCCATGAGCAGAGCTGGGGACTTGTGTTTGAGTTCTGCGGGGGCCTGGGTGAAGCTGGCAACCTCCAGCGACGAGAGACACCCAGCAGAGCATATTGTGGATGGGTGAGGATAATAGGGCTGGGACAAAGCTCCTAATAAATGACATAAATCACCTTTGTTATTGTTTTCTGTGTATTGCTATTCAATAAAATGGGAGTTTTTTAGGTCAAAATACCAGAACAGTAAACCCAAGATGGGTTTTTATTTACTAAACTGTAACGAATTGCTAAATTAAGGCTAAATGTATTGATCTGGAAAATAATATCAAATTCTGCTAAATTCACAGCTGGGATATTGTTATCCGAGTTCTGCCATTGCGATTTTAATTCAATTACAATTTGGAGTTTAGTGGGGGGGTGAAAACCCCCCAGAAATTTCACGTTTTAGGGTAAAACAAACAAATGTGTAAATTCCATCGCTGGAGGTTGTGAGGTTTGTTTGTTTTACCATAAAAATTTGGAATTTCATGTCCGCATCATATACTACCATTATCAGGATTAATTAGTAAAGTTAGCATTCCCAGCGAATTTCAAATGTTAGGGCAGAGTAACTCATCTGAAACAATAGGCGACTTAGAGATTTTTACCAGTTCAGCTATTTTGACCTTAAATTTGAAATTCACTTAGAATTCTTACTTTAGCAAATAACACTGGAACTCCGAATTGTAGCAAATTAAAATCCAAATGGTAATTTGTAGCCATAATTAGCCGATATAGCAAATCTTTCAATTCTACTATAGTGACAGCTAGGCTGTTTTTGCTTGAATTGTGCTATTTGGATTTTAATTCGATTCAGGTTGGAGTTTAGTGAATAAACCGTCCTAGAATTCATTGTGAATTCCCCAATTCACACTGCTGAATAGTCTAGTGAGCGCTTGCAATCACTAGTGAAGATACTGGGAGGGTAGAACATAGAACATGTCTCGCTTTAACTGCCATTACTAAAATTAATGCCAGTCTAAATAACAGGCGTGTTTTATACTCGGGTGAAACCCCTGCATTCAAGCAGGAAGTTTAAAGCGGAACTGTGGTAATGCAGGATTTTTAATATATTTTGTTAAATAGACCTTTATCTTGCAACAAAATTTTATTTAACTTAATCTTAGATTCCTGTCAATCATTGTTACAAATTCTGTCAAACAACAAGGTTTTTATTTTCCTTTCTCTTTGCAGTGTTTTCCCTGACTTTTTTCCTGGACTCAATTGGATTGTAGTTTATCAACAGCTGGATTTTCATATTCTTCTTTTGTGTGTTCTTTTTTTTTTTAGGAATCCAGAAACATTCTGGATGACAACAGGGATGTTTCCACAGGAGTTCATCATCAGCCTCAATTCTGTTTCAAAAATCAACAAGATTTCTATACAGAGTTCATCAAGTAAAAATGCTGTTTTTTTTATTTATTTATTTATTTATTTATTTTGCAACTTCATATTGACACAAAAAAATGTGTCCCATCACTGCAACATTTATTATCTTAGTTTGGGTCTTAAGCAGAATTTGTGGAGCCAAATACAGATTTACCCAGGACATACTTAAAAACGAGAGAAACCTCAATGTATGCTTCCTGGTAAAATATTTTATAAATAAATAAGTGTAATGGGTTACTCCAAGCATCATAACCACTACAGCCTGCTACAATGGTAATGATGCCAGGAGACCCCTGGTGCTTTTCACTGGTAATGAGGGAAACAGTTTTGCAATGGCTTGCCCTCTTACCTGGGTCCCACCAAACTCCAATGCTGCTCTCCTCCTGGGTGCGTTCGGCTTTTGCAGAGCTGCAGAAACCAGATGCAGATCCGTCGTCCATTCATTGGGTGAGAGTGTCAGCTGACCATGCCCAACCAATGAGTGTCATTCTGCATAGATCTATGCACATAATTGACATAAGCGAGCCAAGAATTCTTCTTACATATCTGACTGCAGAATGGTTAAACTCTGTTTGTGCAGATAGAAATACACAAGATGGAAAGAAGAGCAGCTTAGAAAAGTAAATATTAAAACGTAAACTTTATTAAAATTTGTATGATTATAAAATTAGGGACTGTTAAAAAGGTACCAATGTAATAAATAACATCCTAATCGAATGGAAGTAAATCTATTATGTCATAAATGTATATTGTCTGGTGTAATGCTTATGGCAGTAGCAGAGAAATCACGACTTGCAGTTTCTACAGAAAACAAATAGGTATCCATGTAAGGACACACAATGTGAAGTGAGTATCAATTTGTATTAAAGGGACACTATATTCACCTGAACAACTTTTAGCTTAATGAAGCAGTTTTGGTGTATAGAACATGCCCGTGCAGCCTCACTGCTCAATCCTCTGCCATTTAGGAGTTAAATCCCTTTTTTTTAACAACCCTAGTCACACCTCCCTGCATGTGACTTGCACAGCCTTCCATAAACACTTCCTGTATTTAGGCTTTCCTTATTGCAAGTTCTGATTAACTAAGATTTTCTTATCCCCTGCTATGTTAATAGTTTGCTAGACCCTGCAAGAGCCTCCTGTATGTGATTAAAGTTCAATTTACAGAAACAAAGTGATTTAACTCGTAAATGACAGTGAATTGAGCAGTGAAATTGCAGGGGAATAATCTATACACTAACACTGCTTTATTTAGCTAAAGTAATTTAGGTGACTATAGTGTTCCTTTAAAACCAGACATAGAGGTAGAAAATAACAACAGCAGGGAGAAACAAAGGAGTAATATAACATTTCATAATCTGTCCATGCCTTCAAAGGCACCTATACTAGACTAGACATCCCATTCATGCTGCAATATGCTGGATAACATATCCATTGCTATGCTACAGAAAGGAAGAAAGGACAGGTATAGCTATAAAAATAAACATTCAGCCAGGTTCCACAGTACTGCAATCACTCCATGTGCTATTAAATGATTGAAGAGGTCACGATGCTCTGGGTAACCCTTTATTATGCTATCTTACTCATACACACACATACAGCCTTTTGTACCTTTCAGTCTCCCTACTAATTTATAACTTCTTTCGCTTGTCTTGTTATTGCACACTTTTTTTTTCTTTTAAAAAATACTTTATTTAGATGCGGTTTAGAACATCATGGGAATGATATAAAAATTTCAGAAGATGACATCCAGTTTTTCATTATTGAGACAATTGTGAAATAAAACAAAATCACACCCAAAACAAAGAGAAAAGGAAAAAAAAGAAACCTAAGGAAGACTCTTCCTCTTCTACTAAGTGCCACTTTTAACCATTCACAACCCAAAACATCTTACCTTACTAGTGCCCACTAGAATACACATATACCACTGCAAGGAGATCACACTGATAAGATGGTACTGTCGACATAAAGTAGATTTCGCTGAGATTATGTATCACTAAGAGGACACTGCTTTCAAAAGGAAGTGCTGGAATTTATTTTTTATTTTTATACCTTCCTATATGTATCACTAGGGACCAAGTTTTACCAACATTTATCTTGCTGCGACTGTGGTTTTACTTATCAGCTTTTCTAGGGTAGCAAAGGTTTGCAGAGGCATATACAAAAGGAATGTCCATGGAAAGGGTATACTGGTTTCTGGATTACTGTAGCTGACAAGTACATAACATTTGCCTTAATAGATCTATCCAATGCAGCTTCATCAGATGTGATAGAAAGATCCTACGTAAGGCCTCAATTTAATCTTTTTGAAAAAGCTTTTTCAAATGTTTTCATATTTTTGGATAAACATTTGTGTTTTTTAAAAAAAATAAATCCATTGAAAAGCTTATCCATAAATATTAAAAATCGAGCCCTGTGTTAGGGATATACATTTTGATCTCAAGAAACACATATAACACACACACATACAGATAATGTAAAGAGTTGACAAAAGATCATTCTTATAATTTCTCTGTAAGTACAAGGACATCTACAGGCATTAAAATAACTGCTCTATCCACATTTAATTTTCTAATTTTGTGTTAAGACACTTTTCCTGTTTCTACTCTAGCTACCTTGTCTTTTTCTCCACATTCAATTTCCCCCTTTCTTATTCCCTCTCTTTGCTGCACTCTACTTTTCCTTCTTTGATTTTCACTCTTTCTCCACCATTGTGCTTCTCTGTTCCAGTTGTCCATGTTTTTCTTTCTCTAGTACTTTTTTGCCCTGCGCTTCCATTCCCTTTGTGTCATCACATATTTAATGACTGATTGATGCAAAGTTGCATCTGTGCATGCCCCCACAGCATTTTAGTTTAAAGTAATCATTCCTGCAGTTTATGTTCTCACCAGGTGAGTGTATTACATGCTCTTTTCCTGGAGCATATAGGTACATATGGGTCCGGCATATTGCGTCTTGCTGCTGCACTCAGATAGTTAACAACGTGTCATCCGCACTCCTCAAGCAATACCGTTTTGATGGTGGTCCAGATCAGATCTTAATAAAGTGTGCACATAGCTGTGATCTCGTCTACCACAGCTTGCACTGCAATCTATTTATTTCTTCACAGCTTCTGACCTTTGACTATAAGACAAGAGCACGGTTTTATTCTTTGCAATTATAAGAGATGTTTTTGCTTTTTTTTCCAGTACAAAGATTACAAATTGAAACAAGTATGTCTAAAGACCCGATAAATTTTGAACGTTGTGTGGAAAAAGGTGAGTGTCTTTTATACAAAGATGCTAATACAAATGGTTTGATTCTCTAAATCTCTGATTTGGAAGCACAGTTTTGAGAAATATCCAGAGAAACAATGAGAAGTTTTCCTTTTCCAAATTTAAAGGGGCCATCTAGCTGTAGACAACTAATGCATTCTGTTTAGTGCATTACATGGATAATCCATTAAACATATACACTTAAAAATAAGGAAGATAATTTTAAACACTCTTACAAAATCATATACTTTTTTCAGTCATAATTTTTCACATAATGCCATTACAGGTTATTTTATGTACCGTATTTCTTTATCTCATTATTTTGAGTGTTTTAATTATTCAGGTATTACAAAAATGTAATCAAAACACTACCCATCTATGTATCTGTCTATATTCATGTCTTAACACAATCCTGTTACATTTTCATACTTATACATCGTCAATTGTTTTTAGATTTGTGAATATTACATTGTTGGCAGTGGCTATGTAATAGACTTCTGTATTTTTGGGATAGGAAGGATCCAGAGCAAACTGTAGGTAAATAACCAGGTAATAGTTGTCCAGTAATGTTGTGAGTACTGACTTTTCAATACACTATCACTATCACTGATCAGCCACAGCCGTAAAACCATTGACAAGTGAAGTAAATAATGTAGATTTTTTTGTTACGACACCTGTCAAATGGTTGGATATATGAGGCAGCATTTAAACAGTCAGTTCTTGAATTTCATGTGTTGGATGCAGGAAAAAGATATGAGTGACTACAATGACCAAATAGTGATGGCTAGAAGACTTGGTCAGAGCATCTCCAAACCAACAAATCTTGTAGGGTGCTCTCAGTATTCAGTGGTTAGTATCTATTAAAATGGTGCAAGGAAGGAGAACTGGCATCAAGGTCATGGAGGGCTCATTTATGCATTTGGCTCAAATTGCTGAAAAACATAATGCTGTTCATGATAGAAAGGTATTAGAACACAAAGTGAATAGCCGAAGACCGGTTAGAGTACCAATAATGACCCCTGTCCACCATCAGAATAACCTTCAATAGGGACGTGAACGTGAGTACTGGACCATGGAGCAATGTAAGATGGTTGTCCGGTCTGATGAATCACGTTTTCTTTTAAGTCAGGTGGATGGTCTGGTGCGTGTGCATCATTTACCTGAGGAAGGGATGGCAACAGGATGCACTATGGGAAGAAGGCAGGCCGGTGGACATGTTATGCTCTGGGCAATGTTGTGCTGGTAAACATTGGGTCCTGGCATTCATGTGAATGTTACACTGACACGTACCACCTACCTAGAGATTGTTTCAGACCAGAAACACCCCTTCATGGCAATGGTGTTCCCTGATAGCAGTGGCCTCTTTCAGCAGGATAGTGCACCCTGCCATACTGCAAAGATTGTTCAGGAATGGTTTGAGGGACATGATAAACAGTTCAAGATGTTGCCTTGGCCTCCAAATTCCCCAGATCTAAACCCGATTGACCTTCTCTGTGATATGCTGGAACTAGAAATCAGATCCACGGAGGCCCCACCTAACAACTTGCAGGTCTTAAAAGATCTGTTGCTAATGTCTTGGTGCCAGGCCTGTTCAGAGGTCTTGTGCAGTCCATGCCTTGATGCATCAGAGCTGTTTGGCTGCAAGAGGACCCACACTATATTAGGCAGGTGGTTATAATTTTCTGGCTGATCACTTCTATAACATAAACACAAAACAAATTACATGCTCATATATACACTGTGGTTCCAATACCTTATTTATAGTGTTTCGGCTACTAGTTCTTGCTCAAATTTGTAACACTTCATATTGTACTATGTGTGCTTGTCAAAACTAGTCGTTCATACAAGTTATATTTCCTTATGACTTCCTTCAGTTTACTACTTGTCTTGTGTATCAACAAACAATATTTTCCACATTCCACCTTGCTGTAGAATGAGTGAATGATGCTCTGGTTTGCATTTAATATATTTGGATACAGTACTATGGATATTTTATTTTCTTTTTAGAACTTGAGCATGTAGAAGGACAGCGTCAGACAGAGGAGATTACAGTAAGTGCCTGGCTGGATACTCTGTGACCATATCATGGATAGTCAACCAGATGTCGTGTACTTCAGTTTCTAGCATGCTTTACCTAAAAAAAAAAAAAAATAGTTGACTGAGCATAACAGGTGCTCTTGTCCATGACATCTGTGGGGCAAGCATTTTGCTATCCCTATTATGGTAATCAAATTAAATATACAGATAAAGTCTATCCTGGCCTCCTCCATCTATTTTGAAGACTTACTTTCTATAATAACTCTGCACATCAACAGTTTATTCCAGGGACTCTTTGAGAAAGTCCAATCATTGATACTAAATCTCTCAATACCAGAAATAGTCAGCCGTAATTTGCCTTGTATAGCTCCGAAACCGCTAGATGTTGCATACATTCTTAGGGAATCAAGTTGTGAGGGTGTGCCTCTTGAAAGGAATATTTCCTGCATTTCCATGTGTTGGAGTATTTGAAGGATAGAGTATGTCTTAATTGATTACATTTTGTGGGTTTAATGTTAAATGGGAGCTGTCAGTTCCCTGGATTTTTATTAGTATGTTTATTTATCCTTATATTTAACAAATGTGTATTTATTAGGTGTGGAGATTAAATGCAGACATCCACAATTTTTATCCTGAAACTGAGCACCTCCATCTTAGTTCTGTCAATCATTTTGATAATCGTTGTGCTTTGCACCTGCCAGTCAACAGAAAACATACAGAGAAAATGAGAAATTAAATGTTTTTTTATTTCTTCTGTTGTTTTGAATAGTTTTCCCCTGACTTTGCCTTGTCTGAATCATATTATGATATAATTTGCTAAATCTTAAATACACGTTTAAAGGGAAAAAAAGCATTTAGTGAACGAAGGTTAACACCAGGTATAAATTACTTTCAATGTTTTATTTAATGGTGTACATTTTAGAAAAGGTTACAGTTCTCCTGATACCATAAGAGATTGCATCTGAATGTTTACATGGTGTGTTCAATAAAAACATGGCAACATTTCATTCTTTGTGTGTTATTAGTTTAAGCAGACTGTGATTGTCTATTGTTGTGACTTAGATGATGATCAGATCACATTTTATGGCCAATTTGTGCAGAAATCCATATCATTCCAAAGGGTTCACATACTTTTTCTTGCAACTGTACACGAATGTTTGAGTACATTTTTACTGTACTTTGTTATATTTTAGTGTGCATTGTTCTTAATCTGGTGACCTAATTCTGGTTTTCCCCCTTTAGCTCTCTGGAATTCAAGCTACTTATTTGCGCTTTGTGATCTTGTCCGGATATGACCCTTTTGTGGCCATCTACAGTGTTTCAGCTGAATCATAACATAATCTACAAAGTGTTCAAAAGACTACTCTGTGAAATAGGTCACACCGTGAAGCCTGTCAGCCTCAGTCTTTTAGGGAGAGTAGTGCAAAAAATGACAACCAGAATGTTTGTTTTTTGACAGGACTGCAAACTGTGGTTACATTATTTTTCATTTTCATAAGTGTATGTAATATTTGTAAATAAATGATTTCTTATTCATGCTTATATGTTGTATTATATCGATAGCTTGTATTAAGACCCTATAATAAACTGGATCTTTAATGACCTTAAACTTGGTATAATTGTTTTTGGCACAGAAACAAATTATCTTTGTTGAATAAATAGTCTTTTAATTCTGAGGAGTGTCCTAGTAATTTTCTTTTAGATCTACAGATGTTCATATTTATGTACACCAGGGGTAGTCAACTTTTTAATACCTACCGCCCACTAGTGCCGCAGTAACTAATTTTATAGCTAGTGATGTCCCGAACGGTTCGCTGCGGACGGCGAACATATGCGCTGTTCGGTCCGCCCCCCAATTCGTCATCATTGAGTAAACTTTGACCCTGTACCTAACAGTCAGCAGACATATTCCAGCCAATCAGCAGCAGACCCTCCCTCCCAGACCTTCCCACCTCCTGGACAGCTCACTAAGAATGCAGCTTCACAATGAATGTAAAATGGATGCTGTCCAGGAGGTGGGAGGGTCTGGGAGGGAGGGTCTGCGGCTGATTGGCTGGAATGTGTCTGCTGACTGTTACTGTGTGTATCTGAGTGTACATATGTGTATTTGTGAGTCAAGATCTTTGATCTCCTCACCAGCCCAAGAGGGCTTATTGCAAGGCTGGCTCTGCATGGATCCTGTTATCTTCCCTGCTGGCCTTGATCTGTTTTCTGCAGAACCCACCACCGCCCACCTGAAATCCCAAACCGCCTATGATATATTTCTCTTTTGTTTTAGGCTTCAGTGAGCTAAGAGATTACACCCTAAGAACAGGTATGCCATAATTCTTAGTTGAGCATCTCTCTGTTTGTTGCCCTAAAATTTGAAATTAACTTTTAATTTCACTTACATCCCAACAATTAACACATTAGTGAAAATATTTCAAGGAGGTGAACTATTGAGTTATAAATTGTGCACCATGGGCAAGAAAAAAAAAATTAGGGATGGAAGAAGACCGTATACGAAGGTAGGTAGAGTGTGGGGGCAATTGTGGATTGTAGATCGGGTGGAAGAATGGAAAGAGGAAAAAATTGTAAAACATTCAGCATCATCAAAAATGTTGTAACTTTGTTATGAGAGGAAGAAAGGATAGAAATTACAAAGGGGTTTATTTAAGTGAATTGAAAAAGTAAGCCAAATAGCATAACAGAATTGTAAAATTCTCTAAATAACTTAAGTTTACATTTTGAATTTTCTCTCCACTACATTTGTGTTCAAAGAGTAAACCCCACCATTATTTTCGTGGATGCACGAAGGATACCTGATAACCCTAGTTCCTTTTATTTTCATATGGCTATTTAATCCCTCTTTTGGCACTCAAGGATCAGTTGAACAGCAGGTTTATTGGGACAAAGTGCAACGTTTCGATCCCACAAGGGATCTTTCTCAAGCAGTGACATTTCCTACCATGGTATCCTGTCTGAAGCATCTGCTTCGTTCAGTTGCCTTGTTATAGAAATACACTAGTTTATCTCTCCATTTTTCTCCAGAAGCTAAGTAGTGATATATTTATATAATGCTATTAAATTTGTATCCTGCATGTATATCTTCTAATGCTACGGAGCCACTTATGAGTTAACACAATGCTTGATTGCAGTATTTACTTACCTACAACCAGTTGTCATTATCCTTAGATATTCAGTAAAACAGACTGTAGGCTGCAAATTCCACTTTTTGTTAAAACATTTTAATTTATTTTTTGACACTCTGAACACACAACATCTACAATTACTTGCAATATCAGGTAGAAGCCGGACATGCTTTAAGCTGCAACCATCACAAACAAATTAATTGTGGTGTTTGGTTCTGAGTTCATATTTAGATCATGTTTGGAAACTGTGGTTCATAAAGACACTGAGCATGGGCCTGGGTTAGTCCATCTTTTCAAGAATAAAGCGTACTTCTTCTGGCTTGTAGCCCCAGGGACCCATCTGGCCCTAGAAAGAAAATATATTACACAGTGACTATACGTTATAACATACAAAAACTATCAGATCATATAAGATTCTCTGCAAATCAACAAAATGTATTTACCATGTATAGTTTTCCACTACTGTATTTAATGATCGCCATGTAAGGATTTGCATGTTAGTTGACATTACAGCAACTTTAAATAGCTCAATTAGTTAATCTACTAATAATTGAATCTTTAAAAATTCACAGCATTACAGGTTCAACTTTGTATCCCTTTATCCTTTCTTCTTCCCAAGTTAATAAAATATGTAGTACTGTGTTTGGTAGTAACATCTATGCACCCGAACAGGGGTAAGCAAACTGTCACTTCAGATGACTAAATCTCTCTTAATGTACTAAAGCATCAGGGGGTATGTAGTCCACCACATTTGGGGTGCTGAAGGTTACATACCCCTGCACTAGGATATACAAGAAAATGAAAGAGAATCTCAATATATATTTTCTGGTAAATCACTTTGAGGTTTATTTACTAAGCCCTGAATTGTTGGTCACTGAAATTAAAAACTGACTGTTCCAGGCTGAGCTGTTCCATTTGCTTATCAGTTCACTTCAATTCAGAGTTTAGTGAATAAACCACTTTGATTATTTTTAAATGCAAAACTGTTGATGGGGGCGTGACCTGGATGGCAAGATGTCTAGTAGATGAGCTCCACGGTGCTACCCAGAACTAAAAAAAAGAAGTGATGTATGGTTTGGAATGGTAGAACAGGCACCATACAGGTCACAGGCTAACTCACCTTGGTCCCACACAACAGACAAAATGTTATCTATGCGGTCAGCCTTGGTAGGATCTGTGGCCTCTGAAAGATCAACAAACCAGGCCTGTTTGTCCGCTGGCTCCTCATTGGAAGCAATCCAGGCAGATCTGCACATATTCAATGCTAACAAAAGAAGACTCTACAACTATTCTGCATGAAATAGTAGACACCCAGACAGCTATAGGAGGGTTAGATACCCTTGTGAGACACTTGGAAGAGGCCTCACAGCAGCAAGATCACAGACAGCAGCAGGAAGATATGGCGGTAACAAGGCAAGGCAAAACCAAGTACTCTTAGAACTCAGGAGACACATAGAGGACATCAAAAAAAGAGGGACGAGAGGTAATACCCGTGTCCGCAGGCTGGCAAACTTTGATGAACCGAAGTCAATACCGGTTATTCTGATAGACCTGTTCAATTTTGTCCTGAACAATGGCGATCTTCGAATATAAAAAAAGCACCGGCCAATCACCTTCTATCGGCAGCCAAGTCCTTGATCAACTTAGAGTTGAGAAGATTAGGAGTTGAGGAGATCTGAGCTATGGAGGAACAGACAGCAGCCCTCCAGGATAGGACAACCACATTCCTGGAGATCTGGAGCCCTTGGTTTCTACCATGATCGATGAAGTGGAAGGAGAGGCAGTATGTGACAATTAGGCAGTATCGGGGCTATGGTGTCCTGGAGCACGACAAACAAGATACAATGCATTGGAGTAAAAATGGTTGGAAATACATCCAACCCAATATTCATTTCTAAGCACTGATCCCACCTTTCGCACCTCTTAGTTTGAAATAAAAATATGTTTCCCACTTCTTTTTTCTTCTCTTCTCTCTAGCTCTCTTTCCCTTCCCTATAATACCTCCACTATCACTTTATTGCAAGTGCCATAGACAAGTACAAAATACTGAACAGTTTGTTGGTGATAAAATTGAGGGCTTGCACCAATCCATAGTAACCTAGGATCCAGCCTATGCCCTTACTTGTTAATATGCATGCATTGACATTTTGTCGTGTCCCTTCTATGTGATCTTTCAAACTGCCACTAGAGGGCTCTGTGAGTCATAGTAAGGACACCCGTCACATCAAAATCAATTTATCAAGTTTTGAAAGGAATGGATTATTTTTTTTTCTACCATGAAGTATATGTAAAAAACAAAAACAAATTTGTTTTCACACATTGTTCGATCCAAGGTGCGTGTGTTTTTCTCATAAATTTAAAAAATAAAATATTTCATCATGAAACTTGATGAAATGGTTATTATGTTAAAAATAGTTTTGAGTTGACGGTTGTCCTTTAATTGTTGTCTGCTATTAATTGAGAACTTGCTACATTATTTGCTGCATCTGTCTCACCTGGACTAAGATGTTACAGCTTGCCTCATTCATTCTCAGATGTTTGTGTTAGAAATTGTTTTATTTCACACAACACCATAACAAAAACTAGAATATTTCTGCAAAGGTTATCTTCTTAAATTGCTCTGACTGTTGTACCAATGACCTCTTACAGCTCTTCATACACCCGAAATCAACGCTTGTAAAGAGTCCAAATGGTATAGATCATGAGGACAATAACATGTCATTACAACATGAGCATTCTGTATCTACAACCAAGTGTTGAAAGGCAGAAATCACGTGACCTTGTAATTATTGTTTACAGGTTTTTGTGAGAAAGTGATTCATAATTCTACAGCACAGATGAGTCAATGCCTCCAGTCAACTTTCTATGCTTAATTATATCTTGACAAAATAAATAAACACCAAGTTGTAATTCAATTGAAAAATGTATGGAAATCGGCAGAGTTCGAAAAAACCTCCAACTACTATAGTCACAGATTGGTTATTTTAGCGTAAATCTTTGCAATTTGGTTGTCAATTAACTGATGTTCTATAAATCAGTTACATTTTATTATATTGTTTTATTCGAGCTATAGCAGATCGTCAGAATAAAATACATTTAAAGGATCACTATAGGGTCAGGAACACAAACATGTATTCCTGACCCTATATTGAAAACCGGAATGGAATTCGTCTGTGTGAATTTGTTTGTTTGAATTAGTCTATTTGAATTTGTGTGTTTGAATTGACGGAATGGAATTTGCCAGAAAATTGAACATTTTGCCCCCAATGTAATGCGCCATCGAATCTAATGTGCATTCAAATTTTAGAAACTTTATTTTCCAAAAAAGATGCGCACTAGAGTCGAGTAAATGCGGTATTTATTGAATCATGATTTGAACTTTCAGCTGCATTTTCTTAACACACAAGTTAGTTTTGCCTTTTCTATAGTAGAAATCTGACAATTAAACATCCAGTCCGCACGGCCAGACTGGGACAAAAATTCACATTGGGCATTTAAAGGCAGAACAGCCCAATAATAGGAGTGGGGCCAGAGAGGAGGTGATGTGCACTCCCCTAAAGTGGGTATGTGAGTTCAGTGCCCTACAGGCCAGCTCATACGCAGAGCCCTGCTGAAGACCTCTCGCACGATGTAGTGGTTATGGTGCTCGGAGTGCTCCATCAGTATATATTTAACAATTAAGATTGGATTCACATCTGGCAATTAATTAACACTAAAATAAGTCAGTTTAGATAAAATACACATATCTTTCTAGATTATAAACTGAGCAGGGCCTTCCTCGACACTTTCTCTAATTGTAAAGCATCACACTATATAAATACTGCTCTTAATAATAGTAAGTCTTCAATTAAATGTGATATTTATAAGCTACTGAGGTGAAGAAATGAGGAAGAGAGAGGTGTGTAAGGTGGGTTTCGATATGTCGAGTAATATACTCCAAAGTCAGCGTTAATCCTACAGAGAGCAAATTAAGCAGATACATTTTTTACATAACACAATTTGGCTTGTAACTGCTCAGTTCCTGTTGTTACATAACGATGAATTAACCGCAGTTTGGCAGTGATGTGCAGTATTGGCTTAACGTCATTAAAGGATCAATATAGGGTCAGGAACAAAAACATGTATTCGTCTCCCTATAGTGTTAAACCCACCATTTAGGTGGCTTGCCCCCAATTCCCCCCCCCCTTCAGAATGGGTTAAAACTCACCTTATTTTTAGCTCTCCACAGCGCTGGCCCTGTCCCCTTGGTGGCATCATCAAAATTGCAGATTTTAAGCCAATCCAATGCTTTCCCAAAGCATTGGATTGGCTAAAATCTGCAAGGGGCAGGCCAAATGCAGTTTTGGCCAATCAGCACCTCCTCATAGAGATGCATTGAGACATTTACTTGCCCCCTCCCCCATCCCCCGTGGGCTACTGGACCACCAGCGGCAATGTCACTGCCGAATTCTGCAAGATCCACAGACGGTGACAGTGCGGCTTTAATATTGTGGCTGATCAGTGTATGTCTCATTTAATAATTTATGTTATTTTGTATCCATATGTACATATTTCCTGCAGGATATGTTAAAAGTTTATACAACCTCTATTCTGTTTTAGTGGTATAGGTGTCAGGCTAATGTATGTATTTATTCATTGCTTATGCACTTTCAGATTGTAATCTTGTTTGGGCAGAGCCCTCTTCACCTACTATTTCCATATGTAAAACCTTTTTGTTAGAATATTTTGTGTTGCTTTACCTATTGTACAGTGCTACTGAATATGTTGGTGCTATATAAATCATTGTGATTTAGAAATATACGTTTAATATTGCTTTTAATGTTTTGTATTTTTGATTATGCAAGGAGTAACTCCTATTATACACCTTATATTCTTTGATACACCCACGTTTGGGGTGGATCCAGGTTTTCTTTAGGAGTGAGTTTGGAGATTCTCTGAGATTTATGATTAAGTCTAATGGGATTATAGGACCAAACTATATAGATCATATTAAAAAACTGAATTATAGTGCTTACCAGCTTGAGTGTCGAAGATTTCTTCAAATTAGTTTCTCAATTTGCAGTACAATAAAAGTGTGACATCATGTAAGTATATCAAAGTATTTTGTAAAATACTGGTAGACCATGGGTAGATCTCTTTCTCCTCAGTTGCTATGTGTGGGCATCACAAGTAAGGCTGTATCAGATTTATTCTATAAAATGAATGTCTGTATTTAACTAAGGAATAACGAAGGCAATAAGGTGAGATGTGGGTATTGAGTAAGGTAGATGGTGAGTATCAGTGGAATTAAAGGTGGAGTCTTGTATCAGTGGAATTAAAGGTGGAGTCTTGTATCAGTGGAATTAAAGGTGGAGACTGACACGTGCTATCCACTAATCTCATCCATAGCCTGTGACTCCTGCTGATCTTGCCTAACCACCATTTATGTCCTCAAACAGTGACTGAGCATTGTGGGTGTAGTAAGCCACAGAGGTTTATGAATAAGAAGTGACTTTATTCTGTCATTACTGAATAGTAATAAATGATCATTTAGTAATAAATTATCATTTTATAAATTCCCCCAATTCCCTATAAACCACATTTAAAGGAGCACTATAGTGCCAGGAAAACAAACTAGTTTTCCTGGCACTATAGGGTTATTAGGTCCCCCCCTCCCTCAGGGCCCCCCTCCTGCTGGGCTGAAGGGCTTAAAACCCCTTCAGCCACTTACCTTAATCCAGCGCTGGTGACCTCTCCTCCCCCTGCCGGCGTCAGCTCCGAATGTGCATGCGCTGCCAGAGCAAGGGCGCTCATTCAAACCGCCCATAGGAAATCATTACTCAATGCTTTCCTATGAACATCAGCGTCATCTCAGTGTGATTTTCACACTGAGAATCATGGAAGCGACCTCTAGTGGCTGTCAGGTAGACAGCCACTAGAGGCTGGATTAACCCTCCCCTCTCTGAAACTGCCATGTTTACAGCTGCAGGGTTAAAACTAGGGGGACCTGGCACCCAGTCCACTTCATTGAGCTGAAGTGGTCTGGGTGCCTATAGTGGTCTTTTAATGAAGAAATGGGGAGCAATAGTCCAACATATCATATGCTGGTATGACGGTTACTACGTTTCTGATCTAGCAGTAACATAATGAGGAGCCTTACCTTGTAAGTGATCTTGCCTTCTTGCAAGATGTAAAGCCTCTCCGGGAGAGCTGCATATTTAGCACTGCACAGATTCTTCATGGAGTCTAATACCACAGGACAAGACGGCGATTCCTCCAGAAGACGCCTCGCAGCAGTAAGTCGATCTTGGATGCTTTGGTGTTTCTTAATATGTACGTTGTTTTTCAAGGCCCATTCATCTGCAGGTAGACCAAAGCACACAATATAAACCGCATGTTTCACTAATTAAAAGAAAAATAGACAATAGTACAGAAACATGAATTTCTTACATGGTAGCTGCTGACCAATGGTTCTTAACCCCTTAACACTGGTATGATGTTCTATGTTGTCCTTCACAAAGTGGGCTTAAAATGATCTTAGGGTGGCATAGAACACACTGCAGATTTGGTGCTAGTAGGGTGAAATCCCTGTACACACAAGGAAGCCTAAGGTAGCAATAGATACTAGGGGCTCATCTCTGTCTTTTAGATGAGATGTCTGCAGTGCTGGAAGCCAGCGATGCAAACAGCCCTTTAAATAGGCATGTAAATGCATATTGAAAGATCGTGGTGTGATCAGGTTTAACTCCCTGCTCACACCACTAACAAAAGGTATCAATGGATACCTGGAGCTTCCCTAGTGTACTGAGGCCATTTTTAGTGGCCCAAGACTTTTAAATGAGCTGGAAGCCAACCCTGCAAGCAGCTCTTTAAATAGGCATTTAAATGCCTACATAGAGATTGTGGTGCGATCAAGATTAAATCCCCGATCACACCACTAACCTGTGGCTGCATGGGGCTTCTGTTAGTCAGATAGGGCCATAAACATAAGTCTGTTTTATAGAGATATCAAAATGTAAAAATTCTATGTTTTCAGATAAGCTACCTTGGCCTCAAATTTGAAATTCACTTTGAATTCATGACAGATCACTCTTTAGTAAATAACCCTGAAAATGTAATTGATGCTTACTGTTACTCTCATGTTCCTAATGTGAAAACTCACATAGGTGTCAGATAGGTTTGCCTACCTCCCTTCTGCACTTACAGCAATATTATGGCGTGGGCTTGATATAATACTACTCTAGGAATTTTTTGCTGTGTCTCAAAAAAAGAGCAGAAGCTTCAATAGATGTAGCCGCATTTTGCTAAAGAAGAGTTATAATGAATGCGACTATGCAGGAAATCCCTTAGGGCTTTAACAGTCGATTTGTCTGATCTTTAGTTAGGACATGCATTGAAAAGGAGACTGTTTTGTAACTGATTATTTTCAATGGTTTTTAAAATTACAACAAGGTGGACCATTTTCTTGATGTGACCATGGTATATAGCCAACATTACCCTCTTTGTTCTTATCAGCAGACACCCCAAGCCAACCAGTAACCCCACTGTCTAGAGTAGTGGTCTGTTTGTCTCATTTATTTGTCTCTTATTTTTCTTTTCTGTTGTTCTACCTTACAGCAGCAATTAAACACTGCTCTACCTGGGTGCATGTGCAGTCGTTTATGTGCCTGGTTTTACTATAATTCTCAGGGCGATCATCATGGCATACCTCACAGTAACTATTGCCCAACTATCTATATTGGTGCCAGTGTACCCCTGCCTACTACTGTGATGGGATTTCAGCTATGCCCAAAACTTAGTAGGCCTAAAATCTCCATGTGGCATATACAAGTACTGGTATCTGTTAGTTAGTTACTGTCATCAATGTACTGAGCGTGTGCAAGAACTGAAACCACATTCCATTCTCCTTAAGGGCCATGTTGCTTGTCCATATAAGGTAATCCTGTGTAACCTGTTTGCTGATTGGTGTAAGGGTATAGTAGGGTGATGCATAGCTTATAAAAAGCCTATACTCCATGTGCTCAGGTCTGACATTTTGAACATGAGTTCAGCTGAGACCCGATTGGTGAGAACAAAGACCTTTGCTTCCTGAACTGACCTGTGTCTGGACTCTCTGTGCATAGCTTCTTCGGAATTCTCCAGTAGCATATCTAATGCAATTGGTTGGGAAATCATTGCAGAGACCACGAGATGGTAAATATTTTTACCCACCTCTCCACGGTAACACCCCTGGGCCGATACTGCATTGACTTACTTTCATCTCAGCGCCACTGGCCTTTTGTCCAGGAGACCATCGTCTTCTGCGCAGTGGGTATTTGGGTGTCCCGTCGATGAAATTCGATCCCGGGTCCAGGAGCTGAAAGGTATACCCATTAGGGGTTCATCTACTCTGTGTAGCAGAGAATGGCCAGTTTTGGTAACCAGTGGCCCTCCTGTGGTAGCCTTAATCCAGATTTAATACAGCAGGTTCACAATGTTATAATAAGTATGCTGGTACTTTATGATCAGTTTCCGTACATTGATTGCTGGAAGCAAATTTTTGGGAAAACAGCCTAATGCATCAAGTTATGCCACAAGGAACAATGCAGCCTCATGGTTGCCAGAACTTGTTTGTCCACTAAGGCCTCAACTCCACCTAGTTTGGACACCCCTCCCCCCGAATCTGATCTTCCTTTACCAACTCCCTACTCTTCCTCCCGAGCTAGAACTGATGTAGCTGGTGTTTCCACTTCCCCTGCCCCATTGTCTCCACCTACCCACTCACCCATCTCAGATACCAGGTCATCTGTCTTGGGCACAACTATTCCTGTGCCTACCCACACTAGTTCTTTGTACCCTGAACTGATGCCCCTTTTGGTAGGAGTGTATTTTAACTTATTTTATTATTGTTCAATTTTATTATTAACAGTCAAAATTGTGAGGAGAATTCTTAATAACAGTAATTGAGTCCATTAAATCAGATAATTCTCAGCAATGACATTGTACCATAACCAGTGACAACACCATAACCACTGACAAAGCACTATAACTACTGAGCCCTGCTTGCCTTCAGTAACGGTAACTGAGTCTAAAATACAACTGGACGAAATGGTCAATGGTATAAAACACTGGAATATACTTTTACCTTTTTTTAGTTACTGGACGGGCCCCTCCTAGCCTTGTCCGAGATATCCCCCTAACTAAATTACAAACTGATATGATTGATCTGCCTTCCTCTACCCACCTGACGACCCCCAACCGGAACTTGTTAGACCACAATATTCTACAAATGTCCGTAGTCCAGTTTTAACATGTACGATTACTGGTACCCTCCAACCCGGCATTTACAGATGCCCCTCCGACTTACTCCTGGCCCAACACACATTGATGGCAATGGACAGTTGCAATTGGGAGACCCTGTGTTTGTATACGTTCCCTTTACAACTACCGATCTGTTTATTTGGAAAACCCATAACCCCTCTGTGACGGACCGCTGGCACTCCGACTGAGTACCTCCGCCAATCGATGCTCCTAGTGCTCGCTGAGGACTCCAAGCACTCCAACCGACACCATCAGCACTGCAGACCCCACTTCCAGCGATGCAACTGCGCCGGGGTCTCTGCTGTCTCCACCCACCCTGGACCCAAGGCCAGGATCCAGCTTCCAGTGGGTGAACCTCTCTTTCCCCAGAGAGCAGGAACAGGAACAAGCTCTTAGCAGAACTTAGTGATCATACCCTGGGGAGTATAGTGATTATAGCAATCCCCAGAGTGTATTTCTCCAATCCCCCAAACATGAGCCAAGGCTTAATGCTGGAACAAGACTGATTTACTGGCACACAGAACTCACAATTTATGCGACACAAAACTCCTCCTCTGGGCCAGGCTAGATAATTGAGTTTCTACAATACACAAAGCTCAATTATCTGCTGGCCAGAAATAATACAGTTTTTACAGCATTCATAACTTCTAAAATATACATCACATTCACATAAGGGTCCATAGTCACAGGGCAAGAGGCGGGCAAGCAGTCCTCTCCAGGCACAAGTGGCGAAGGGCACTTCGTCACACCCTCATAAATGGAAAAACCGCAAGCTATGATTGATTTGGTCACATCGATCATACAAACCCACAACCATACTTGAGCTGATTGTCAACAGTTACTATTTAATTCTGAGGAAAGGACCCATATTAACCAAGCAGCCATTAAAGCTCTTGAGGAGACTGACCGTACCCAAAACCAAGCAAATCCAGTGGCTTGGGCTACTGCCCATTTCCACAATATGGATCCTAACTGGAATATAAATGGTGCTGATATAATTATTACAGGCATGAAAAGCAGGTGGGAAAAGGGCTATAAATATGTCAAGAATAGCTGAAGTATTAAAAAAAACTGATGAATCCCCCCAGTGCCTTTTATGAGAGACTGCTTGAATCATACAGACTTTATATCCCTTTTTTTTTTATTATGAAGCCCCTGAATTCTCATATGATCAATTCGGCATTCGTCAGCCAGGCCCAGAGTGACATTAAAAGGAAATTGCAAAAGTTAGGATTTGCAGAGATGTCCATAACACAGCTAATGGAAGTTGCAAACAGGGTTTATATGAATAGGGAAGCTAAAACGAAGCATGAGGAGGAACGCAGGATGAAAAAGAAAATGGATATGTTAGCTGTAGCAATTACAGGAGTAGGCACACGGGGAGGATGTGGGATTAGGAATGACAGACCACAGTTGGTTAGAAATTAATGTGCGTATTGAAGAGGGGAAGGACATGGGAAGAACGACTGCCCACAGAGGGAATATAAAGCAAGTTATAGACAAGATGAGAGAAGGAGACGAGATGGTTATAGAGGTGGCTATAGAGGAAGAGGAAGTCTTGGAGGGAGCGACAGTAGTAACAGAGGCGACGTCCAGGAAAGTAGATACTATCCCCCTAATCAGAGACTAAGGGATAGGGATGATAGGGACTTTGTGGGTCTGGCTGATACAGTCATGGAGGACTATTGATACAGACCGGGCTCCACCCCCTTAGCCGAGCAGAGTCTATGGTCAAAGTAACAATAGGGGGAAATAAATGTCCCTTTATGATTGATACAGATGCTGACCACTCTGTTGTGACCAAATTAGTAGCCCCTCTCTCTGGAAAGACTGTTACTGTAATAGGAGCTGTCACGAACACACCCTACTCCAAGAGTGTGCGTGACGTAGTTGTGGTGGTGAAAGGGTTAAAGTACACTATTTGTCTGCACTAGACCGGAAATAATGACAAAATCCCCCTTTAACACCACCCACACTTAAACATAATAATATAACTATTATTACTTTAACGCTGCCACCACCAAGACAATTTATAAATGGGGTGCCTTGGTCCCCCAGGTAAATCAATAATAAAACCCACCAAATATTACTTAATACAATATTTAAGGAATTATAAAAATACTAACTAGTCTCTTCAGGTAACGTGATCCTTAACCAGACAAAGGCAAAACTTAATAAATGAATGTTTATTATGAGCAAAAGATAGTCACAGTGCATATAAAAATATATGATAGACAAATTATTTACACCAACAACAGATAAAAACAAAAAGGATAAAATACAGAAGTCCTAATTACTCACTTAGGTTTTCAAAGTACAACTTCTGTCCAGGGGGTCTCTGGCAAGGAAACGTGGTGACTCACTCAAAATTAGATCTTGGCCCCAAGCAAGTACACAAGCACCCTTCAGGATCATTAGATATATACCCTGTGGTTTATCAAGTCTTGCCCAGGGGTGGAGTTAAGGCGTACCTACAGAAATAATAACTGACCACCTCCTTTGTTCCAGACCACTGTCAATCCAAATGGAAACATTTGACTCTATCTTCTTTTTTGTACCTGCCACAGAAATAATAATTGCATCTACAAATTTGTTATTATTTTCCCATTCCATAGACATGTTGCACGTCCCACCCACGATCCAATAGGACGGACATCACAATTCCTTTCCCTAGGGTCAAGTTAGGCCACTCATGTTTGGACTTGGTTAGAAGATGGCGCTTGTCACATTCCAAATATAACAAAAATGAGGCTTAATTATTATTCTGTGGGGGTAAATATGAATGTTTTTGTCCTTCCTTTGGATATGATACTAGAACAAAGCTAATGGCATTTACATATCAAAGAGATTTACTTACATCACTTCCATTTGGTACAGGCCAAATGGATGAAGAGACATTCAGACTTTTTCCAAGTGTAGAACCTCACACCTTGCAGACTTCACATCCATACAGTAAAATCCTTTTCACATTCCTATGCCATTCACACTACCCCTTCTGTCATCTGCCCTCTGTGGGGGTCCCAGCTTCAAAAGATGTAACCCCTGTTGACCTCAGCAATAGCATCTCTGTAATTTGTGCCATTTACTACAAGAAATCACATTAAAAGATGATATTCCATAGTGTCATAATAAATTATACACCCTTGCCGTGACACCTCCCCCAAATAAGAGACGCAATGGGAGAAGGCTCACATGCCTCTACCTTGTGTATCAACACCTTTTTTGCCTCCACCTCATATACTCATCTTTTTCAGAACTCTGGTTCTACATGAATGGGGTAACCCTCACGTGTTCACACACCTCCCCCAAAAAGGCTTGTCCTTTGTCCCTAAGCCATATCACAGCCATATACACAACACGCATGCCTGATTTGCCTGTTTCCATCTCCCACTGCGCTCTGATCACATCTCTCAGGCCACACCCACTGCGCCCGTGTAGTAGCTCTAAGGGGAAGAAACCAACCGATTTCTGCAGTACTCCCCTGTAAGCACACACAAGATGAGACAGAGGACACTCCCAGGGTACCTGCACTGTATCCACACTCCTTATCTGTTTTGTGGTCTGTCTGCTGGGCTCGTTGCACCTTTTTACTCTGAACCTTTGGTTCAGAATCAAAAAGTTGCTTAGAGACAGACGCCTTCTCCTGAGCTGGCTTGGGTGTATGTTGGAGGTGTGATTGTGATATGCTGACAAGGATGGTGGTTCCCCCATCAGTATGTTCCCCCGCGGCCATTTTCCCTGGACCCACAGGTTGAGACTGTCCATGCCCCTCACTTTGGGCAGACCGTGGACGGGTCCCCCTATCTACTGATGGAACCTCTGTCTCTCCCTCACCTCCACTCCATGTCCTCATACACACAGCACCTTGGGAACTGGATGAGTCTTGTGCAGAGTAAGGCTCACACACACTCTGCCCTCCCTCAAAGCCATGCTCTCCCTCCACACTTTCACACAGCCCAGCCAATACATTGGCGTCAGGCAGATTTTGGCACACATATTCATTCAACCCTCTCTCCCTAGAATTCTCTTCCGGCACATTGTCACATAACACCTTTAGCACCCCTTGGTCAGGCACTGGATGTGAAACACACTCACGTAATTTCCTCTCCCAGCTAGGCCATCCTTCCATAATCTCACATAGCCACTCACTTTGTCCTTGTTCTGGCACCTGACATACTCTTGACTGAGATACAGGTGAACACATCAACTCATCCTGCCCTGGTTCCCAATGGTTTGATCCACTTGTGTTTTCACCTGGCATCTTAAACAATCCTGGCTCTGACACAGATAGGCACACACACTCATCCAGCCCCGCCTCGCTGTGCAGCTGTTTTTGCCCACTCACACATGGTATTGCAGGCACCCCTAGTGCGGGCACAGACACACACACATGCTCAATTTGCCCTCGCTCCCAGCACAATTGCCGGCATACACCTTCACCTGTTTCCACAGACACCCCTGGTTCAGGCACAGATTGATACACATTCTGCCCTCCCTCCCAGTGAAGTTGTCCTGGCAAACTTTCACCTTGTACCACAGACAACTCTGGTTTTGGCACAGCCTGGCACACATGCTCATTCTGCCCTCCCTCCCAGCAACTTTGTCTTGGCACATTCTCACATGATATTGCAGACACTTCTGGTTCAGGTACAGACCAGCACACATGCTCAGTCTGCCCTCCCTCCCAGCACAATTGTCTGCATACATTTTCACAAGTTTCCACGGACACCCCTGGTTCTGGCACAGATTGACACACATTCTGCCCTCCCTCCCAGCGAAGTTGCCCTGGCAAACTTTCACCTGATACCACAGACAATTCTGGTTTTGGCACAGCCTGGCACGCATGCTCATTCTGCCCTCCCTCCCAGCAACTCTGTCTTGGCACACTCTCACATGATATTGCAGACACCTCTGGTTCAGGCACAGACCAGCACACATGCTTATTCTGCCCTCCCTCCCAGCACAATTGTCTGCATACATTTTCACATACTGCCCTCTGCACAGTAGGGCCCCTATGAGGCTTGGGTTTATAACATACATTACTTTCTGGCACATACTGTGATAACAATCTACCTAAGTCAGTACCAAGTAATACATTTGCAGGGATATTCTCATCTACCCCCACATTTCTGAAACCCTTCCCCACTCCCCAATCCAAATAAACTCGTGCCATTGGCACTACAAGTCGTACCCCCCCAATTCCTTTAACTGCTAGAGTCCTGCCAGGAATTAAGTCCTCAGAGCGCACTAGCTCTGGACGCACAAGAGTCACATCTGCCCCAGTGTCCCTGAGTCCCACAGTTACCTCTCTTCCAACTGTCACAGGTTGCAGATTCACATTGTTGCTGCCTTCTGATCTGGTTACAAACAACACAGAGGACGTTGGTTCTGAGGAGCGTCCCTCCCCAGCTGATGATGCTGGCTGCCGTTTCACAGGGCAAGCAACACTAATGAGCCCCACTTGGTTGCAAATAAAACATCTGCGACTATCTCCTTGCGCAGACATGGCACTAGCTCCCCCTCTCCCTGAGGTAGGAGCTGAAACAAAAGATGGCCCGCTAGGCCTGGTGATGGGGAGTCGTGGTGGTGTGGTCCTCCAGCTGGAGGTTCCCTTGGCAAACCCTCTGCTCCGGTCCACTGTTGCTCTGTTGGCAGTGTGGACATCTGCCAGCTTACCCGCTTCCAATGCTGTTTTGGGGTTCCGGTCCAGCAGCCATTCCTGTACATCAGCTTGGCAGAGCTGCAAAAACTGTTCTTTTATTAACAGGTCTTGCAAACTTTCCAAAGTGGTAATCTCCAGCCCTGTAGTCCACTGTCGGAATGCTGTCGCCAGGTGCCCCACAACCACTGCATAACTCTCTGTGGGATGCTTTTGCAAAGTCCTGAATTTCTTTCGGTACACCTCAGGAGTAAGGTTGTACCGTTCCTGCAAGGCAGCCTTAATCGCATCATAGTCCTGGTCAAATTCTGCTGGAAGCGCAGCAAATGCTTCCCGTGCAGGACCTCTGAGACCAGGGGTGAGGTATTTTGCCCACTGGTCCTTTGGTAGCTGGTACTGCCTGCAAACTTTTTCAAAACTGTGCAGGAAAACATCCAAATCACCATCTTTGTCCAAAGTTGGAAAATTCTCTGCACGTGGTTTGGGTGCAGAAGAGTCTCTGGAATTAATACTTATAGGGGAGGCAGTCAACCTCTCCAACTCAGCCATTTTTAGTTCATGCTCTCTGGCAGCTTGGCGCTCCGCGGCCTCTCTCTCAGCTTGGCGCTTTCTCTCAGCTTGGCGCTCTCTCTCAGCCTCCTGATACTGAAGGATAAGCTGTAGTCTTTGGTTTGTGTCTGCTGAGTCCACATATTTCAACACAGTTTGTAAGTAACAATCCAGAGGATCTCCAGATCTTGGTACATCACTGACAAAAGCTACAGGTATCTCCTCTGCAGTGTTTGAGGCATCACTTTGCACTGCTTGTTACATATCATAGTCCACCAGTGCTTGTAATAGTTCCTCTTTTGTTTTCCCCCGACAGGGAATAGATCTCTCCCGGCAAAGCTGGTCTAGCGCTGCCTTGGATTGCGTCTGGTACTCCATTTAGTAAATAAAAGATAGCAAAGAAAAAAAAGAGAAGGGGGAGGACTGTTGAGGTGTAAATATATTATATATGCACTGAGTTTAGCCTTTGGAAATTGAGACACAATTTCTTTTAGTGCCTGGATTAACCAACAAATCCAAAATCTGGTACAAAAAGATGAAAAATCTTTTTAGTTATCCCACCGCTATGCCACCAATTTGTCACGAACACACCCTACTCCAAGAGTGTGCGTGACGTAGTTGTGGTGGTGAAAGGGTTAAAGTACACTATTTGTCTGCACTAGACCGGAAATAATGACAAAATCCCCCTTTAACACCACCCACACTTAAACATAATAATATAACTATTATTACTTTAACGCTGCCACCACCAAGACAATTTATAAATGGGGTGCCTTGGTCCCCCAGGTAAATCAATAATAAAACCCACCAAATATTACTTAATACAATATTTAAGGAATTATAAAAATACTAACTAGTCTCTTCAGGTAACGTGATCCTTAACCAGACAAAGGCAAAACTTAATAAATGAATGTTTATTATGAGCAAAAGATAGTCACAGTGCATATAAAAATATATGATAGACAAATTATTTACACCAACAACAGATAAAAACAAAAAGGATAAAATACAGAAGTCCTAATTACTCACTTAGGTTTTCAAAGTACAACTTCTGTCCAGGGGGTCTCTGGCAAGGAAACGTGGTGACTCACTCAAAATTAGATCTTGGCCCCAAGCAAGTACACAAGCACCCTTCAGGATCATTAGATATATACCCTGTGGTTTATCAAGTCTTGCCCAGGGGTGGAGTTAAGGCGTACCTACAGAAATAATAACTGACCACCTCCTTTGTTCCAGACCACTGTCAATCCAAATGGAAACATTTGACTCTATCTTCTTTTTTGTACCTGCCACAGAAATAATAATTGCATCTACAAATTTGTTATTATTTTCCCATTCCATAGACATGTTGCACGTCCCACCCACGATCCAATAGGACGGACATCACAATTCCTTTCCCTAGGGTCAAGTTAGGCCACTCATGTTTGGACTTGGTTAGAAGATGGCGCTTGTCACATTCCAAATATAACAAAAATGAGGCTTAATTATTATTCTGTGGGGGTAAATATGAATGTTTTTGTCCTTCCTTTGGATATGATACTAGAACAAAGCTAATGGCATTTACATATCAAAGAGATTTACTTACATCACTTCCATTTGGTACAGGCCAAATGGATGAAGAGACATTCAGACTTTTTCCAAGTGTAGAACCTCACACCTTGCAGACTTCACATCCATACAGTAAAATCCTTTTCACATTCCTATGCCATTCACACTACCCCTTCTGTCATCTGCCCTCTGTGGGGGTCCCAGCTTCAAAAGATGTAACCCCTGTTGACCTCAGCAATAGCATCTCTGTAATTTGTGCCATTTACTACAAGAAATCACATTAAAAGATGATATTCCATAGTGTCATAATAAATTATACACCCTTGCCGTGACAGGAGCTACTGGGAAAGGAGCTATTGGACCGTTCTCAGGAATCGTACTTGTACAGTAGGGGGCCATTTTATTCAGCATCAGTTCCTATATATGCCTCAGTGCCAAATTCAACTTCTAGGACGAGATCTATTGTCAAAGCTTCAAGCACAGATAACATTTTCTATCCAATGGATCAACATCCCTGCAGTTTAATAAATCACCAGGCATGTTAGCCGTACTGGTGCCAAAAGAAGAAGAATGGCATTTGTATTCTGCAGTGATAACCCCAAACCCAAAGAGTGATGGATCATTATTTGACATTCCAGGAGTCAATAGTAAACCCGAACCCAAAGAGTGATGGATCATTATTTGACATTCCAGGAGTCAATAGTAAACCCAAACCCAAAGAGTGATGGATCATTATTTGACATTCCAAGAGTATGGGCAGAAAACAATCCTCCAGGACTCGCCCGTAATAGTCCACCCATACATATTGAATTAAAGCTTGGGGATTATCCTGTTAACCTCTGTCAGAACCATATACCACAGAAGGCCAAGAAAAACAGACAGACATATTTGGACAAGTTTGTGAACTGTAAAGGTGGCGTAAGTGACTCCCTGGATTCATCACTCTAGGGTTAAACCAATGGCAGATTCTTGGCAAGCTATCCCAGATCCTGAAAATCCTTGTAAGATCCAGTTGAAGCAAACTACCCAGTCCCTGAAGCTTGATTAAAGTGACATAAGGAAGAGTATGAGACGATTAAAAAAAAAACGTGGATGAGAAAGATATCAGAGAGCAGCAAGTAGGTGTTTTGAAAGCCATAATAAAGCCTGACCACCTACAAACGTTTCATAGCCAGAGTGTCTCGAAGGGACCTCTGTGAAGGGAAGAGAGGATCAGACGGACAACATTCCCTGCAGCCCTCACAAGTGGGAAGCTGAGATGCTGTCGCACAGTTGAAAATATGAATGAAGACTTCCATCATAATGTATTTCTTTGTGTGTTTTAGTGTTTTTGCTAAATATACGGAATGCAAAGGTGATGACATACAAGGCTGTGATAGTTGTATTAAAGGGACACTATAGTCACCCAGACTACTTTAGCTCAATGAAGTGGTCTGGGTGCCAGGTCCCTCAGGTTTTAACCCTTCAGATGCAAACATAGCAGTTTCAGAGAAACTGCTATGTTTACATTTGGGGTTAATCCAGCCTCTAGTGGCTGTCTTCCGGACAGCCACTAGAGGCGTATCTGCGACGCTGGATGCGAATTTCGCATCCATCGTGCAAAGTGTCCATAGGAAAGCAATGAGAAATGGTTTCCTATGGACTCTTTGAATGCGCGTTCGGCACTTGCCGCGCATGTGCATTCCGCTCCACTAGGGAGCTGACATTGGACGGGGAGAAGATGCCACCAGAGCCGGATAAAGGTAAGCTGCTGAAGGGGTTTTAACCCCTTCAGCGCCACAAGAGGGGGACCATGAGGGTGGGGGCACTTTGTTTTCCTGACACTAAAGTGATCCTTTAAGACTACAAAAACAGGTAACCAGATATCCCAAACTCTTATTTGGCACTTGCATTATGTATGTAAAGGATCTGTGTCTAAATGCAGATACTTAGACACTGATTATAGTGTGGGTCAGCCAGTTTAAGGTGAACCCAAGTGTTTTGATCCCCAATTCCAACCCTGTACAATCTGGCTGGTTCTTCGAAATGCCTACTCTCAGGGGGCATTGATAAATAAATAAAGTACCACTTCTTCCCTAGGCATCCTATTATTCGATGCATGCAGAGCGATTTCTGGTAGTGGAAAACCTTGGAACATATGTGGTTATCTTAAATGGGAACAAACCTATGGGTTTAATGATAAATACCTATGCCCTAGTAGAATAACTACTGACCCTGGTTGTCCAAATAGGGACTTCAACTTTTGCCTATACTGGTCATGTGTAGGTTGGGCGATCTGGGGAAAAACAGTAGACCAAGACCTGATAATTCAGAGGTTACCTACTACTCCTCATTGTAAATCAATGGAGTGTAATCCTGTACACATGACAATTTCTAACCCCCAGCAATTTATTAACAAGTTTGAGAATCTTTTCGGTTTACAAATATATGGTACAGGGACAGACCCAGGAGCCATCCTATATATTGGCCTTGAAACCGAGACACTGAATGCCCAAACTCACCAGGTATTACATTTCTTTTGAAGATGAGTTTTGAAGATGAAGTTCCCCACACTGTTAAAAACCTGTTCATCGATCTGGCTGAGAGTATTGTAAGTAGTCTTAATATAAATAACTGCTTTGTATGTGGAGGGTCAATATGGGAGTCCAATGGCCATGTGAAGCAATATAAGTATGGTACCCTGGTTCTGAGACAAATGAGCAATAGATGCCTTCCCACTCCAGTAATCAAGCAACCATATGGGAAAAATCAGAATGGCAATTAAAAACATCCATAAACGGTCATGCATACTTAGCTAGGGGAGGCCCAATGTATAACACCCCTGTAGGCGAGCTGACTTGTCTAGGGCAGAAAGCATATAATGCTAGTAGCCATAAAACTACCTGGTGGTCAGCTTCAAATGTCTCAGAGCCTACCAACCCTTTTGTTAATCACACCAATTTAAGAGAGGTATGGTTTGATCTATTGGCTACATCTAACCGGAGAGCCCCAGAAAATGTATACTGGATTTGTGGTAAGAAGGCATATTCAGAATTACCACAAGATTTGGCGGGGGCATGTGTGCTAGGTATGCTCAACCGCATCATAAGTTTACAGGAGGTGGTTGAGATTATAAGGCTGCTGATGTACTTTACCTCCTGGCAAAACAGAATACCCGTATGAGGCCAGCCTTTTACCAAAATAGGCTGGCCCTTGACTATTTATGAGCAGTTGAAGGAGGTATGTGCGGAACATTAATAATTGCTGTCTGCATATAGATGACGAAGGGCAAGCTGTGGTTGACCTTACTAGCCACATGGTTAAATTAACGCACGTACCTACTCAGATCTGGAACGGGTATAATCCAGGTAGTTGGTTTGGAAGCTGGTACGAACAGTTTGGAAGGTTAAAAGCACTGGTAGAAGGAGTGGTATTTATTATTATCCTGTGCCTCTTACTACCCTGCTCGATTCCATTAATAATTTGGTCAATACGTAGTGTTATTGAGAGCACTATAGTGTTGGCATTTAACAGTATTTTTCATCCAGCTGACAAGCTTGACACTAGCCAGAGCTACCACCAGCAAGCCTTGTCATTTTCCCCAACCATCACTAGTGACAGCTGTAGGGAAATGAGCTCTATTGAGTGGGATCCTGCATAGACATTAATGCTGTACTCTCGCACATGCGCAGGTCTTGGGCAAAAGAACGACCAAAAACGACCAAAAACAAAATTGCCACTTCAGCAACAACCTCCTAATGCATTCTCCATGAGTAATGCTAACTAAAGTTATCATCTTTAGGAGGCTGTCCAACCAAAGATTATACTGCATTTCCCGGCAGCATGCTCTCAATTTCAGTTTCATCAGCTGTCAATGCATGGTGCGCATGTGCATTTACTCAGTAGAAGCCAGGTCAGTTAATGCTCAGATACCGTGGTGTTTAAAGAGATAACAGCAGTAGCACACCTAGTAACGATGGCTGACCTCTTCAAAATGTGTTCACGCTGCTGGGTAAAATACATTGAACTTCAGCTGGGGAGGCCCTATTCCAAACCAAGGATCACTTAAAAAATGCAGCGCTGGGAGAGGGATCATATGGAGGTCACAGACATTGCCAATGTTCCTTTAATGTGTGTCGGTAAATAAAAAAGTTTACCTTTGCAAAAAAACACCCCAGGTGTATGGAAATAACAAATGTATTCATCTTTTTATAAACTCATAAGAGTTAGAATTAGACTGTAAGCCTGCAGGCAGGACTGTCAAAAC